CGCACTCTATTATCAAAACAATGCTTATTATGTCGACAATTCAAGCCGAGAGAATTTTAAAGGACTTGAATGACATTTTCTTATTGGCCCTTTCTCCGAGCGTAGACGAATTTTTCGCATTTTCAACTTAAGCGCCATTAACATGTTGATTGCCACGCTTGTTTCCTATATCTAAAAGTGTTTTAGATAGTTGCTTAAATATTAATGCGAAATACAAAGATATTTAATAGTTGAACGATGTACTTGTTATTTTACAACGTTTTTCATGACACTAACGTTATTCAAAAGTTCGTGAGTATTAGGGTTCGTTCACTTTAAATATTTGAAAGAAGCAGTCGAGAAAGTGGCAGTCAACGTGTTAACGTCGATCGTGCAGTTTTGAATAATACTGACGCACATAGCATATTTCTATTTGCTTTAGAAAGACTAACATTTTCAACTGTTACTCTACAAAAAGTAAAACATTTCAATTTTGCATTACTTTTTCGCTACGAAAACGAGTACATTTTGATACTTTACAACACTTTTCGCTTGTAATTATTTTCAAGTAAAACGTTTCTTTCAACCGATAGGAACATGTTTATTAATTTAGATATAATTGAAATAGAACTAATAAAATAAATAATTTGGATATAAATGGAATAAAACATAAATTAATTAATTAACAATATCAGTATAAAATTGAGTATGTTCGTTTAGGGTAAGACCCTCGGATATCGCCGCTAATAAACATTTTTCCTATTTTAATGAAAGTTCAATTTTACTCTTATAGCATATTTTATAACTTATAATAAAAAATATCCTGTTTTCAAACATATCTATTTCTTAACAAAAGACAAGTTAAATTTTTGTGATCAATGTTGAAAATTAAATATATATATCTGTTTGTAACTTTTCATTAACAATATATGGATTCTTAATTTAATATATATTTTATTCAAATCCCTAATTTACCGTCTCTAGATGACGCAACGAATTTTTATTCTTACATTAACACGTTGCCTGTCACGCCAGTTTCCCCTAAATATGGATATTCACAACATTTTTTCAAATTATAACGTAAAAAATAAAAGTATTCAATAGTTCGATGATATACTTGTTTTATAGTATCCCTGATATCAATGATATTATTCAGAAAATTACAAAAATTAAGATTCATTTGTTGTAAGAGTTTTAAGAACACTATATGTCATCGGTAACAGTAAATATCGAAACGTGCTACTTTTCGCTGTTGTGTTTAAAGTATTGCTTGTAGTGAGAAGTAAACGTAATCGTAGCAAAAGACAAAACATGCTGGTTATCAAGGAAAACAATGAAATGTACTTCTTTTTGTTACGAATTGAAATATACTAGTTTTCCCAAGGCAAGCGAAATATGCTATTTTTTCCTAATGCGCGTCGATATACTCACGGAGGGATTTTGAACGAGAAACGCGATGGGTTACGAACAAACTCACAAAGAAGAATAAACTCAAAGGCAAATATATATAGGTTTGGATGAAAAAAAGAAAGAAAATTAACTGTCATTCTTAATGTTTTATATATAAATATATATAAATATATATGTTATGTTTCAATGTACACTATGAATCGTATTAACGATATAACACGTATATGATAATATAACAATAATATATATTATATACATATATATTATATATATATATGTATCTATATATATACATATATATGAATGATATATCGTTAAATGGGCTGTGGTAGAAACCTTTATATACTTTATACACCAAACGAGTCAGATCTTCTTGTTTCGTTTGTCTTTCGAGAGATGTGAATGATTAATCGATAATAATGGAAACAACAACAAAACAAAAAGTGGAAAAGAATGAAAGCAATATACACATGGGAAAGATATGGCATCATTTTATAAAGACGCTTCGGTCGTTTGAGTGCGTAGCCACTTGTCCTATATTCTGTCACACAACGATTACCTTGCACAAATTGTACCTAATTATACTTAATATAGTAGGATCCGTCTTAATGATTGTCAATAATGCTGTACCTACCGTACCCGTGGACACGGGCGAATTATGATATTAGGCTAATAAGGCTGTAAGATGTAACTACGATTAGATAGAGATCCCAGTCGCTAAAACTGTGTACTGTGATGCATCTGCTTCGAAGACCAACGCTTCGAGTTCGTTGACTAGAAGTATGGTGCAAGATCGCAACGTACTTTTTCATACCTATTAGAGATGTGTACATACACGCTATCGGGGAGACAAGATACTGAGACACTACTTGCAAACTAAATGACACGAGAACAAAGGGAATAGGTCACATGTTCCAAGTAATTCCCTCATTTTTTCAGATCCTTAAGTCTATCGCCTCTTCTTATAGACGTAAACTCAAAATATTAACTGCCTAATAGCACAAAAATATTTCTCGGATAGTTTATGGCATGCTGTTAGTTTTGGTAATTCGTATCTTTTAATTCTATCCGAATGTGGAACATTATTTAACACTAACCATTCAAACAACTCAGTTTTTCTGGTATACGTCCGAATCTCTGTATTAAAGATGTTTGTAATTTTATTAATGGAGTAAGCTCCTATATCTGTAGTTTTCTGTATTGTTTAAATTTCTAAATGATTCCCCGATATATGGAAATTCTACTACTGTTCCAATTCCCCTTGTTCTTTGCGTCATTTGGTTTGCGGGTAGTGTTTCAACATCTCCTTCTTCCAGTAGTACATACGTCGCTGGACGCCAATCGTTTTCTGACTTTTTTTGTTTATCTTTATCTTTGTTTCTTCTTTTTTTACTCTTTCTCTCTTAGGTTAACTTATGTCGATAAATGATTTTTAAACATAACTTTTTAAAAGTCTCTATTTACAACATAGCAATATTTAATACACAACTTCTTAACGCAATTTTGATATTTCGAAACTTTTCTTTGCGATGTTGTTACTGTAACGACAATTAGATAATATATTCTGGTTTTAATCAGCACTAGCATCGATTCTAGCCGAATTTAGTAATATTTTACTAAGATGCTTTTTCCGATTCTCTTAACTCTCAAAGAGCTTCGATAATCTCGTTTTTTTGGAATCACAAAGCATTACAGTTTTGTTATATCGATAGATTCCAGCTGGTCGTACGAACAATTTATCAGTATTTTATTTTCACAGTCGTTTTTTATTAGTTTTAAAAACTTAATTACTTTTCTCACATTTATTTCTTGTTATTGCATCGATTTTAAGATGGCGAAAATAAGCAACCGCAATTTCTCTGTCAGGAGGGTTACTTTCTAAGCGTATCTTTGAAGCAGCGTGCACGAATAATTGTTTATATAAATGTCATAGCCTTAGTTTCGCTAGTTGAGAAAAAGAACGAATGTTTTAGAACCTTGCTCAATAAATAAAATATTAATTTCGATGTCACGAATTATATACCGATATTAATTTAAGTTAGAGTCCCAAGACAATATAACGTCAACCGTTCTCGCGAAATAAATCGAATGGACAACGACATACACTATCACGTGTACAATTGCATGACCGAGGCAAGCAACGGATTCTAGTATCATTGTTACCAATAATTTCATGAATTGTAGCTGTCCGGCCGACCAACAATCTCCGAAATTTTTATGTAAATTCAAGAAAATCTTTCGGATTCCTTTCGCGTGGTATCTTCAAATAAGCTTCGAGAAGTTCGCTTGCATCTAAAATTGCATCTTTGACTCGCGCAAATTATCGTTGATCGCCGTACCCTCTTTCGAACAAAATAACAGATGATTTATCCAACTGTTCTCGAACGAATATTATTGCGCGACGTTGGACACGCACAGGACCATGTTTTCGTAAAAGTAGAGATAAGACCTTGAGCTTAATGTATTCTCTCATGAAACCGTGTATAAAACTCCTGTTTGTACCTTACTAGTTTACTATGATGCTATTATAGATTACATATAGAGGAATTGAAAGTGAAAGAGAGAGGCGGTCGAATAAATAAGTGAAAGAGAGCACGCGAATAAGCAACAGAGATGTTTATTGTCCATTCGAAGACCACGTTAAGCCTTTTATTTTTCGCAACGAAGCGACGAAATATGAATGTTAGTATCATTTGCAAACAATGCGTATAATTATTGTGCTTTCGCTTAGAAACGTTTCGTAATTTTAATTAAATTGTTTTACGGCATCCTAAAACATTAACGTCGTTAAGTAAAAAGACTAAGTATCAGCAAGGCTGGTGATTAGATTTTGATTAGTTTCCTTTTTTATGTTAAGCAAATCGTTTAGCAAATGTGTTTTACTGAAAGTGTCCTTCCTATGTAAATTTACTTGTTTGTCCTCATAAATTATAAATAAATGATATCTTTCGTGTTCACGTATACCGTAGTTCTTTTATTTTTCTGCAGAATATAGAAACATCATCGAAAAGGTACGTAATAAATTTATTTTTACATTGTGTTAAAGGTTATCCCAGATTTTAACTGGTTTAAATAAGAAACAAATATTATGTAAACTTAGACTATCTTCATCTAATTGTAAGATAGAAAATATTTTCTATCTTTAGTTCTTAAAAGCTTTGATATTTTTAGCAATTTTTCAAGATTAATTAATGTCTGTGGTCCGATAGTAATATAAAATGTAATTTATTCAGGTCTAATAAACCATACAGCGAAATTACAGAGGTGGCGAAGAAGAGATGTTTTATAAAACTGTTTCGATAGTAATACACAAGCACGAGAGTTCCCCGCGACCGCGTGGCGAGCTTCTTCACTTGGGGGATCCCCCTACAGTCGGCCAGTACTGTGGCGGATGCCGGTTTGGTAGAATAGCGAAATAAATTCTACGCTTCAGGTTTCTCACAAAATATATTTCTTGAACCTTTCTCTCGTAGCCGCCACGTTGCAACTGTTTTACCAAAAACGCGTCAGTTACCAACTTACGAACTACACTTATCTTTAGTTATATTCTATGGTACAAACAAGGGGAATCGCCTACATCCCCTAGCGGTTCGGTGTTTTTATTTTTAATCCTAAACCGCGAATCTAACAGTCTTTTTACGGATATATGTCTTTGGTTCCGCGTTCTTTGACTCAAAATTGGTTTCGACACGCGCAGGCTTCAGCCACTCCACGCTGATCATCGTTGGTTTTCCTTTGTATTCAATTCGGAACACATCATCCGATGTCCTGTCCAACACGAGGAAGGGTCCCTCGTATGGCGGTTCCAGTGGCTTCTTGGCAGCATCAACTCTTACGAATACATGAGTGCATTCGTACAACGTCTTATGAACGAAAACCTTTTTCCTAGCGTGATGCGCCGTTGGTACAAGCTTGATCTTTTTAATCTGCTGCCTGAACTTGTTCATAAAGGTACCTGGGTCGGTGTACTCTCCCTGATTAAAAAACTCGCCAAGTAGACGTAACGGTGTCCCGTATAGCATTTTTGCGGCTGAGGCTTTTATATCTTCTTTGTAACTGGTACGTAACCTCAGGAGCACTGTTGGAAGAACCTCCGTCTACTCAGGATTATCATAACAGCTGATCGCAGATTTCAACGACCTGTGCCATCTTTCTATCATTCCGTTTGCTGCCGGGTGATAAGCTGTTGTTCTTATCTTACAGCAACCTAAAAGTTTAACCAGAGGCATGAATAGCTGCGATTCAAATTGCGCACCTTGATCTGTCGTATTTGTTAACGACGTGCCAAATCTAGTTATTAAAAAGTTGTTGTAGCTACTGCGTTCGCCGAGATGTCTATCACTGGGATTGCTTCCGGCCAGCGTGTGAACCGGTCTATAATTCGATGGTGGTAGTGGGCCGACAGTATCAACATGTAAATGTTCAAATCTTCCAGCTGGGATCTCAATGTGCTTCGGTAAGTAACAGCATGCCCATTCCGCGATTTGCTTCTTCATATATGGCCATACAAAGCTTTTACAGATCATTTTCCTGATACTGCGACCGCTAGGATGTGACAGATTATGGACGGAATCGAAAATCTTTTTCCTCAGGCTTTGAGGTATATGGTCTCAGAACATTATTATAGGTATCACAGTAAATGTATGTATTGCTGTCACGTAACGGTATTTTCTGTAATTTCCATCTGTCTCCCATCGACGGCTCTTCCAGGATATCTCGCAGCTCTTGGTCTTGCCATTGTTCTTCAGCTATCTCTTCAGTTGACGCAAGGACTGGTAGATCTATTGTTTATATGCGCGATAGGGCATCTGCCACTGTGTTTCTGTGTTCTTGTATGTGCTCGATTTGCGTGGTGTACTGCTCTATAAAATCTAGCTGCCTCTGCTGCCTTGGTGTCGCTTTATCGCTTTTTTGTAGAAACTAACTTTTTTAATCCAAGGTTCTGTGGAAGCGTAACTACTGGAAACTCCTTTAACATAGCTTGATATCGATTATTGTTATTTATTGTGGATATTGTAGGCATCTGTGATTTTGTTAACGTGCCATTGCGATACAAAGTTGTTGTCGGATCTATTAGGCGACGTTTGTTTAAATCTACCAATAAGTTATAGTGTCGTAGAAATTCAGCACCAATGATTGCCTTACCCACATCTGCCACCACATACTTCCAAGAAAAGTGTCTGCGAAGGCCCAGAAAGAAGGTTATTGTTTTGTTTCCATAAGTATTAATAGCTGTACCGTTTGCAGCGTAGAGTTTGAAATCCGCTGGTGCAGGGTGTCGTCTACGGTTACTGGGGATAACCGAAATGTCTGCACCTGTGTCTATTAGGAAAATATTCTAGATTCCTTATCTGTAATAATGAGACGGTTTTTTGTTTGGTTGTTGTTAACAACCATCTCCACTTGCCACAACCTGCCTAGTTTTCCTGTTTTGAACGCGCGTTCGATTCTGACCATTTACATGGCTGAGCGCCTTTGTATGATCGTTCCCCAAATGTCTTATGATAAAAGCAGTAGTCCGATCTTCCTGACTGCCGATAACGATCTGCGCTTCTTTCACGCACTTCTTCTTTTAATGGGTGCCTCTAGTTGCTCCATTTTTATTGATCACACAGCAATTTCTGCGTTCTGTTCTCGCGATGCTGCACCACGACGCATATCCGGATCGTCCTCCGTAATGGCCGCCACTTCCGTAAACACCGATCTTTCGATTGTTTTGTCCGCCAGTGCTGCCAACTTGTCTAATGCTACATCATCAACCACAGCGAGGATTTCTTGCACCCGCGTGGATAAACGTTGAAGCCATAACGTTTGTAAAACGCTTACACTGACCTTAGCGCCGGCGAGCAATTGCATTTCTCGCGACAATTCTGATGGTTTCCGCCCGTTTAGCTCGATCTCTGTAGGAGTTGGCGCAGTTGCGTTTCTTCGGACAACGCTAACCGGTTGATCAATGCTTCTTTAATTCGTTTGTACGAATCTTCGCAGTCCGGGGCTGAGATAATGTCCGCCACGACTCTGATGACATTTCCATCCAAATGCCGGAGGACTGCTGCACACTTTACAGCATCGGACCTTACCCCGTACGCGGAAAATTCCTTCTTCAACATGGCGAACCATAGCTTGGGGTCATCCTTCCAAAAAACTGGAAATTTTACGCTTCTGAAATCGCTGGCGTTCACCTCCGTTGCTATTCCAGCTTCCTTCGTTACGCTGTCATCCATCTTCATAGGGATTCGGCACCAGTTGTGGCGGATGCCGGTTCGGTATAATAGCAAAATAAATTCTACGCTTCAGTACTCCAACGTAAGGCGTTATCGTGCGGCCACATGCGCGTCATAATGTCACATCTCAAACTCGTAATCGAGACATTACCAAAATTCAATAATTTACTAATAGTATTAGTAAAAATTACGCTCGCAATGTTTAGTAGACATTAAAGTAAATATAGTTTAAACGGAGATAGATTGAATGTAAACATTTACATTTGGTGTTGGTATATTCCTATATTGTATTATAGTATTACTATTTCATTACTGTCTTATATTTTTATCATAACTTTTGAATAAAATTCTAAACGACATACATTAGTATATTTATTATGATGGTCCTCCTTTTTAAACCTTGGAATTTTTTTGGAACATCCCCTTTAATCATGCCATTAGGTGAAAAAATAACCTATGCAAAATCTGAAATTGATCGGACAACGGGAAGGCGCGGCACAACCAAATTTGAAAATTTTGTTTTCTTGTAATTCGGTTTTCTTCGTTTAAATTCACAGTTTTGTATATCGTTGAAGTCATCTTTTTATGCTCTATAAGAATATAGACAAAAAATATATCATTGCGTGAAAAGAAAAAAAAAAATAAGACTGATACATAAATAGCGACGATATACAGGGTGTTCGGCCACCTCTGGGAAAAATTTTAATGGGAGATTCTAGAGGCCAAAATAAGACGAAAATCAAGAATACCAATTTGTTGATGGAGGCTTTGTTAAAAAGTTATTAACGTTTAGTTCCGCCTGTACTGAATTCTTTTCTCGAAAATGCAAAGGATTTCGAAGGTATATCTATTCACCAAAAATGATTGTAATTGATCTCCACAGCCGAAAATAATTTTTCCAGAACGATTTGAAAAATTTATTTTTCGCCGAAACACCTACCCGATTTTTTTTCTCGAAAGTGGATAGGATTTCGGAGGTATGTGTATTGACCAAAAATTATTGTAATTGCCCCCCGCAACCGCAAATAATTTTTCCAAAATGATTTTAAACTTTTCAATTTTCAGGGTAACAGAAAGTTATGGCCTCACATTAGATTTTCAGTATTGAATTTTTTTCTCGAAAATGTGTAGGATTTATGGGGTATGTTTATTGATCAAAAATGATTGTAATTGACCCCTACAATCGAAAATAATTTTTTTAGAACGATTTGAAACCTTTCATTTTCGCCGAAAAATTTAAGCTCCCTTGTCGATTTTTCTTAAAAATTCATTTTTTATTTTTAGTAATTTTGTTTGATGCTCTGTAGAGAAATTGTCTAATACTTTTATGTGGTTACCCATAAGCTTTACTTCCAAAAAAGTTTCATTGAGATATATTCACTATTGTAGAAGTTATGGCTGTTTGAAAATTGAACCATTTTTATGGGATTTTTCTCATTTTCAGGGGTCAAGGATCAACTTTTCGAATATTTTTGGAATTTCTACATATTCTTGACCAAAATACGCGTTGTTTGCATTTTGAAAAATTAAAATCGTCCAATCCGTTCAGAAGTTATGACGTTTTAAATATTCATATGAAATTTTGGGCTAACATTTCTGGCCAGAAATTATATTTTCGGTAAGGAATTTTTTTCTCGAAAGTGGGTAGGATTTCGTGGGTATGTCTATTCACCAGGAATGGTTGTAATCAACCCCTGCAACCAAAAATAATTTTTTCAGAATGATTTGAAATTTTTTAATTTAATGTTTTAAATAACTTTTTAAGGAGGCCTCAATCGAAAAATTGATATTCTTGATTTTCGTCTTATTTTGGCCTCTAGAATCTCCCATTAAAATTTTTTCCACGGGTGGCCGAACACCCTGCATATAGAATTTCGATATTTCTATTTATAGTAGAACATATGATATAAAAAAAGCAATTCTACTGCAATAAAGAAATATCTAGGGGAGTAAAGAATGAAATTATTCTTATTTTTTTTTTTAATCAATTCTATTGAATATGAGTTATACATATATCTTTCATTAAAGTATGTTTTGTCATATTAGGAAATTGTTTTCTGCATTCCGAAATTATTTGTAATACACTTTTGCTTTTGTACATTGCTTTTCTTCCTCATTTTTTGATAATAATTGATTGTATTCTTCCATAAGTTTAACTCCACGTTCAGCAGTGTTATTGATCATCGTCATCTTCCCACGTAACAGGATCTTTTCTTAAAAATCCGGTTGACATGGAAAATCTCTCAAAAAATCTTATGATCTCATGGAAAACGAAATGGTCCAATCCTTTGTTAATATAATTTTTCATATCTTGAGTACCAATTTTCAGTCTTTTGCTAGAGTCATCTATGGCCTCATTGATCCATCGCCTTTACCATTCATAACTTAATGTTCTTTTCCACTTTGCTATCGAAAAAGGATAATGCTAATGCTTTCAGTGTTATATACCACAAGTGATTGAAAAATTTCTTTATTCCTATGTTGCTTACTTCTTCATCAATCTTTCACGAAACACATAAAATTCTGTAACAAATTCCAAATCTTGGCGTGAAATTTCCATTGCTGCTGTACTTCTAATTCATGTTTTCAAATACACTTTGGCAAGAAAGATACAAATATCTCTAATTCCACTTTCTTCTTTATCGCTTAAATGAAATTGTTTCTTGAATGAATATGTTTTCAAGCAATACAAAGCTTTCGCCATCCATCAAGCGTGATGAAAAGCTCCTAGAGCTTGAAAACTTATATATTTTTGGTAATCATCACGTGGTTGTTGCTCATTTTCTAGGATATTTGTTGAAAATTGGATAATTTCTTGAACTAGTGTAGTTTAAATTGTTTGATGGACATATATATTTTCAATTCCAGGTACAAATCTCAATTTATCACACTTTGGTCATGTTTTTCAGTTTCTTGAAACGTTTTGTATAGCGAAACACTGGGAACCAAAAATTTTTATAGTTTTTCTCTAAACACATTCTGTAGAACACATAAAAAAAATCTCAACTTTTTACCTGATGCACACTCAGATCAAAAGCATAATTTCAATTCTTAACAGGAAATAAGAATTCCAATGTTTTGGTTAAAAATTTTTCTTTCTTTATATTCTTTACTTATCAGTATATTTTTTACACTATTATGTACAGTGTAATTACAATAGGAAATGCACTTCTTTAATAACATGAGTTACAATCCTTAAATAACATTAACTCTTATTATTTATTGTTTTAATCCTTCAATTAACTTATAATATTACCATAATTTATTTTGTTATTGCCATTTAACATCTCATTATGAAAAACTACAGAATGCTCGAAGACAAAATGACTTATAAGTAATAATATGTATATGGAGAAATATTCAATATTATAAGATAGTTACAAAGTTTGCATTATAATCTTAATAAACATTAAGGCAAATGTGAAAGAACTTAGTTCGCTGCAATATGGAAATATGCAAATATTTATATAAATGGCATGTAAAAAATGTTCTGTATGGCAGCAATACAATTCAAATCAGATAAGTCTTACTAGGATACCTACTATACATAATGGATAAATCGTACATGCATGATATATACACATACTATTACATTCAACATAGGTGAAGTTAAATATTATTATATAGTATACAATCGCTCGTACATATTTGGTTAAGTATTTTATATGAAATGATTTGCATTCGTGATTTGACCCAACTATTGAAATGTGGAACATAACATAACTAAAAATTGTATCATTATACTCTTAATCTTGATTACACATAACAAAAGTCTAAACTCATAATATTGATTTTTCAAATAACATCAAATATCCAAGACATCGAATCTATGATATATTAGTTTAAATGAATGAATTTCCAATGTAAACATTAAGTTTAAAAAAAAAAACTTAGACTTCATATTCTTTTAAATTATTGCTGTTTCATTTATATTACATTATATGTAAACAAACAAAAATTGTATTATAATTGAAAAATCAGCATCAGAATTCAAACTTTTTATAATTTTCTGATTTCTAAACATTTATACGAATGCTAATAGATTCCTATATATACTGTGTACGTAAAATACATTTGTTTCATATAAGTGTTTCGTTCTCAATATAAGCGATACATACCAGAATGTAACAAAATAATTACTGTTATGTTTACAGTAATAATTGAAAGAAATTATATAATGAAAACCCAATCACTTATATGTCACAAGTACTAAGCATGATTATCAACGTCATATTTTACGCAATACTTTTATCTTTGGCATATATGTTAAAAGATGTAAACGAATAACTGTTACCTGTCTGCATCGTACATAATAACTTAAACAGTATAAACCTAAACGATTATAAGTTTACATATTTTTGCGCCATAATTAGTGATTAAATTGGTTTTTTCTCATTCCCCTTGGTCTTTTGTAAATTATATACCTAAGAATGTAAATTCGTTGAGGTTGTAAAATATAATACATTTGTAACTGTTACTTACATATAATAAAACAGATTACAAATTTGCATCAGCGATTATTAATATTATAAAGGAAATCACAAATAGCTTTACTAGATTTTTTATATCGATTTGAGTTTGAAAAATTTGGATTTATAGATAAGTAATGCTCGTCCGAAGTACAAGAACTAATCTTGAATATTTTAAATCCAATTAATAAAAATCAAGAGTATATAATAGCATCCTTTGTTCATGATAATATATATAACATTACAATAAATTATATCAAATTTTATAGTAATGCAGTTCAATAGTCTCCTATGTTCGTATAAACAAGATGAAACCTAAGAAATGTTTGTTTAATTTCGTTGATGTTGTAATACATACATATACACACACATACACGCGTGCGCACACATTTGAGGCATCAAAGCTAAAAATAGTGTATACATATTTACTTTCTAAATATTGACTATTTTTAAGTTTTGAAACTATGCATTCTATGACCTAATGTCAATTCAACTTTAATAATCTGTACTGAAAGAACTACAATTATAAGTCTTATTAACAATGATTCTTTTAAAGACATTCGAACCGAAAAGAAACAATATGCACTATAATGATAATTTAGGTAAGGTCACATTTATCCCAGAATCACACTTTGACGTTAGAACATTATTAACATTGTAACCAATACTTTATTAACAGAGCTCTGCTTTCTACGTATTAATAACGATTGTTTGCAATATCATATTGAAGTAGATTCAGCATTCAGTCCTGTTAACATGTGATAATGCTGTTGTAAACGTTTTAAATTGGTTGACAAACACGCATTTTCTATATACAAATCTTTTACTAATATATCAGTTCGCGCCAATCGTTCAGCCTGTGAAAAGTTACATAAATATATCAAAATATGTAACTAAATTATCTAAAATGTTCTAATGTATTGACGCTATACTATAATCATAATATTAATTAAAAATTATATTTGAAAATTTTAATATTTATTAAAATGTTGTTTAAAAAATTACGAACCTGTTCTGCGCTTGTTTGAAATTCTATTTGTAACCTTTTTTGTGTATTACGAAGAAGGTACTGTAATTCCGATACTTCTAATCGATGTTGCGATATAATATCTAGAAAAATATCGTTACTTTATTCATTTCTAATATTATAGTAAGGAGGTTCATAAATATAAATATATTTTAGGTATGCAATTTGAGATTTAAAAAATTCTTTGAACAAAATTATAAAAAAACTCACGTTGTAATACGCATTCAACTTGATATTGTTGTTGCTTAAAACATTCTTGCAATTGGTGTTTTTTACGCTCTTGCGTTTGAAGTTTTGTACTTAAGTTGTGTAGTATATTTAGATTTACACAACATACTTGTTTCTGTGCATTACTTTGTATGCACTGACAATTTGCAGCTCTTAAAGCTTGCGACTTTAATGAATTCTGCATTAAGTCGTATTCCTTATCGTGTATACTTTCATCCTTTGCAAAGTTTCCACAAACTTCTGTTGTCTTCCAATGGGATTCTGGCTTTTCAAATTTACACGTACTATTTACATCTCTGACAGAATACTGTGTATGCATTTGATGCAGATTACAATTGTTAATGCCCAAGTTTTCCTTTGTTACACATGGATTAAAGTCATTCGATAAGGCAGAAGATTCTAACATTCGATTGTATTTAAATTCTTCAGGAAGTTTACGAATATTATCGTTACATTGAGTAAACATGGAAGTAGATTCACTGGACGGTTGAACGTTAAATGAATTATTAGGAACATAATTTGATCGTATTAATAAAGGCGAAAATAGAAACTCGTCTGTAACTTGAACAGATATATCAGTCATTGTTGGCCGTTCTAAGGATTTCACTGTTTCATGCAAACATTTAATTTCTTTATCTTTCTGAGATATTTCTTCTTCCACTTGGGTCTTCCATTTTTCGAATTCTTCATCAAGATCTAGATACTTTATAAATAAAATAATGTACAATTTTGTAAGTTATATTTACTTATAAATTATTAAATTTTGATAACACTGTTAATAATAGATATAAGAGTCAAGAGAAAAATTATACACGGTGTTCGGCCACCCCTGGGAAAAATTTTAATGGGGTATACTAGAGGCCAAAATAGGACGAAAATCAAGAATACCAATTTGTTGATGAAGGCTTTGTTAAAAAGTTATTAACGTTTAAAGTTCCGCCCATACTGAATTTTTTTCTCGAAAATGCGCAGGATTTCGGGGGTATGTCTATTCACCAAAAATGATTGTAATTGACCCCCGCAACCGAAAATAATTTTTCCAGAACGATTTGAAATTTTTGAATTTAATTGTTAATAACTTTTTAACGAAGCCTTCATCAATAAATTGGTATTCTTGATTTTCGTCTTATTTTGGCCTCTAGAATCCCTCATTAAAATTTTTCCCAGGGATGGCTGAACACCCTGTATAATAGTTTCTCTTAAGAAAATGTCAATGGCATTGAACAGAATTTTTTTAACAACAATTTAATACGCTTTAAAAAAATGTTCAACTACTCATAAACATTAGGCTTACAACTTAAATAAGAATAACTTTTTTACACGTTATCTGAACTAAATTTAGTAACTTCTATTGAAATTCTCTTTTTTTAATATAATGCTAAAAATGAAAAAAATAAACTAAAATTTCAATTTAAAAAACTTAGTAGGACACTATATAACAAAAAGACATTTTATAATTACATGAAACAAAATATAATTACTGATATACGTACTAATAAAAATGGAAGACTTACTTGTTGTTCTAAATTGATCTTCTCTTCAATTGGAGACAGACGTCCACTACTTTTTACTTTATCTACTGGACTAATTAGCTCTTCATATTCTTCCATTTTAGCTATAAGTTCTGAAAACTTTTCATCGCTAATTTTTTGTTCTTGTTCAAAAAGTTGTCTTTCTTCTTCTAGTTTAGCAGTCCAATAATCTTCGCATTCTTCATATTCTATTTGCAATAAATCAAGACTTCTTTCTAATTCTGCACATTGTTCGGTTAATTGTTTCTTTTCTGTAGCATGTGCCGTTTGAAGTTCTTGTAGTTTTAAATTCAGAAAATTAACATCTTCAACAGACTCACTTTTCACTAAACTTGAATTAATTTTTGTACTGATTTCATTTGTTATCTTTTCTTTTTCCTTACTTGACTTTGAATGATCCATAGTTATATGTTCTTCTTTTCGAGGAGGATAATCTCTGAGACTTGGAACTTTATTTTGTGTTGCGCTTTTTAGATCTTGATTATTGAAATTATCATCGACATCACAATTATTCTCATTATTATTGGATATCGTAACTCGTTTAACAGAAAGAGAATTTTTATGTTGTTTAGAAACAACAAAATCTCTTAACGATTCACTCGTTCGTTCTTCACATTCTGTTTCCATTTCGGATGCAATACTTTTAATAGGATCAGCTTCTTTAAACATTTGCGCATTCGAATTTAATTGTAATTTCACGATTATTCTTGAGATTTCATCTCTAAATACACAATTCTCAAAAGTACATATGTTACTACTCGCTAAAATATTTTTTAATTGTTTTATAACCAAGTTTTTAACATTTGTTGAATCTATCTTTCTACAATTTTTCACGTTCTCCTCTTCATTGGAAATACAAGGGACCTATGTAAATAACAAAGAAATTTTATACGTTAAAAATGTACTTCACATTAATAATTTGTAGTATTCGATTTAAAAATGTATTTCACATTTTTATGTCAAATATATTTTTAAATCGAATACTACAAATTATTAAACTCAACTTACGGATGTGGAATGTTTTAAAAGTACATCTAAGTCATCTTCTTCGTCCACTATAAATGCTTCTTTGTCTGAAGGAACATTTTTCATATTAATCTTTCATAAATAAAGCGAAAACATAAATGAAATACGTAATATTCTTGTTACCTTCTATTTCATCGGACTGAATGTTTCTTGCTACACGTTCGCTTGATAAATGATTCCGTCTACAATAACAAAATATAAAATTAAATTTATTTCTTAAACATCAAATATATTCTGTAATATACATTACCGTGTATCTTTATTATGGGTATAACGTAGTTTTAAAGTTTCTAATTCAGCCATAAGTTCATCATTTTGGTCTCGTAAAAGAACAGCTTCCGACTGTATCTGTTTAATACGATCAACTAAATATATAACTTCTTGTTGATGCTTCATTTCTATATTTTCCGACTAAATAGAAAAGCAATAAACTTTATTACAAATATGAGAATTTTGTACATATTGGATGTTCCATAACATGCTGGGGACTACTTCAGTGACGAACATTTTTTTATTATTTTTATAACCCCTATCCACTTACTTCAGCAGCAAATAGGGTTCATAAAAACAATAAAAAATATTCATATAATCGTGTGCTGCACTTGACTTTATTGTCAAACTATGCTCTTTGTATCGAAACTATTAATACTACCAAATCAAAAACTATTTATGGGAATATAACAATTTCTTAACTAACAATTTTGTATAAATTTGAAGTCCCTTATAAATGCGAGTGAATACTATCGATTTCAGATAGTAATGTATAATTTTATATCACATCGTTTTGATACCAATTCGTTAACAATTTCCATACAAATATTTTTATAATGAATACTTGATTAATACCAATATAAACTAAATAGACATTGATATTGTTATAAATGTATCAAAAATAATAAACAAACCGCTTCTTACCACATGTTATGAAATACCCTGTATACATATATGTATCTTGTTTATCAATTATTTTAAAAATACCTCATCATGTTCTGCCGCCAATATTTTCATCTGAATTAGCAACTCATTATTTGATTGTTTAAGCTTTTCAATTTGACTACGAAGATTCTCATTTTCAGTTTCTAAAATTTGATTTTCCTGTAACGTATTTACAAACTTATTTCTAATTTCATGATTCTCTTTCTGTAATGTTTGTATTTGATCGTCCTTCGATTTCAAAGCATTAGCACTTGTGTCTCGCTCAGAACTAAGTTGATTTGAAAGATCTAGTACAGTTTCAGAGTAACGTTGTTCGAGTTGCTTCCGTAAGCTTTGCACAACCTCTTCTTGTCGATTATGTTGCTCATCAATTTCTTGAGCGAGAGTGTTTGCTCGTTCATTAGCTTTTATAATATCAATGCGTAATTTTTCTTTCTCACCATTTATATTCTCTATCATAAGACTAAAAATATAAAAATATTATTAATAAGTTACATATTTTTGTTTTAAATGCTCTCGTTTACAATGTTTATAATACGTACTTTAAATTATGTAATTCCTCTTGATATAGTATTAGAACATCTCGTAACAACATTATATGTGATCGAATTGCAGGATGATCTAATGAATCATTAAAATTTTTCAATTCATCACACAAAGTAGTCGTTAAATCGGCTAGACAAATTTCAGAATTTTTGAGACTGTCATCCGTTAACAAAGATGTATTCATACCAGAATGTTTCCATGTATCCAGAAAAGTATTACTCCTTGCGAAGCTATTATTCGATAAATGGAAAATAAATATACGTACATTTATTGAATATTAGATATTTAAAAACGAAGTTCATACTAAGTGGAACAACTATGGCATAGTACCTCGTTTTACGAGGCGGATGTATATCAAAATTACGTTTTCTAAAATCTATTTCAGTTAATTCCTTTGCAGACTCATTATTCTTATCTAACGTTAATTGTTCTTCCACGATTGTCTTGTTCTGAAATATGATAAGAAATTCATCCAAACTGATTAATCCGTCACAATTTTGGTCAAGCTTCTCAAAGATGCACTGTATGATCTGCACAAAAGATTATTTTTTATTACTTTAAAAACACTTGTCGTAAACACCTTATTCTCCAAATCTGTTTCAAACAATTCGATATAATAAAAAAAAAATCGAAGTGTACAAGATTTACTAACTATGTGCATCGTTATAAAAAGTAATAACTATGTAATTACTTGTTTTGGAAGAGTTGGAATTCCTAAACAATTGGTTATAAAATACATTGTTGCAGAATCTACATTTTCCTTTAAACAGCTATTTATTTTTTCCCATAGACATTTTAATCTATTTTCATCTAATGTCACACCTGAAATGTAATATTTATTTTTAATAGTTATTTGTTAAAAATAAAATGTCAGTTTCAACACGAAAACTAAACAAAATTCTTAGTTTTTATTATTCTTAAATAAAGTAGACGCTATAATCACCTGTTTTTACATTAAGAATATCTATGCGAGAGCTGGAATTATTAGGCGTTACGGAGCTACATGTTTTACTATCTACAATACATGAACTTATATCACTTTGCGACTCTGGTGAAAAATCCTTATCCACATGAGTAATTAATTCTTGTGTTTTGCCTAATAAAGTCAATAAAGCTGTCCTAAATTCTTGAAACGATATAGACTGCTTTTCCTGCTTATATTGCTGAATACAAGATTTTAGCTCTTCGCTCTGTTCTGTAAGATCTAATTTATGGCATAAACTAAGCCAATTATCCTCCTGCAATTCAGTTTCTTCTTTCGTTAAGCAACTTTGAAACACAGCATAAAGCTGTTGTTCATAAGGATCATCGTTGTGTTCATCCATGGCATCCTTTCATTGTTTTTATTTGTTATAAAGTACAATAGATCTACAAATACAATTATATTATCTTTTTCATATTTTTCAATATAAAAGTTAAATAAAATTAAATTAAAACACAATTGAAATTCGTAAGATTTAAAACTTACAATCTTATTTACTTTTTTGTCGTCAAAAGTTGAAATATTCCCTGTGTTTTATTAGAAACATCCCAACTTCGGACAACAAAGAGTTAGTAATGATTGTAAGTATAATAAATAATATAAAATATTATGCAATTCAAATTTTGTTAAAATTTAAGAAATTAGACATAAATGGTTTCAAATATATACTTTTATTTACCACTATAATACAATTAATATTATTTAATGAATCTATATGAAAACACGACTACACGTATTGAAAACTATATACTAAAAAGAGTTACAAAATTTCTTTCCACTCGTGTGCTTTGCAATTTATTAGAATTATTATTTACAATATAAATATTTTTAATATTCTTGGTTAAAAACTCTTCTATGTAAATTTCAAAAACTAATTTTGTTGAATGTTTTAAACATAACAGGCACTGCGAAATATTTAAAATGATCAAGATGTACTTTCTTGATTCGACAATGAAAAACGTTAACCTAAGAAATATATCCGAAGATTTCTAATTTACGATATAAAGTAAATTAATAACACAAATGTGTGTATGTTCGTGATCTTTCGAACAAATCAATTGTTTCTTCAAAGGAAAACCGTTACAATTAGTTTTCGTTATTTTTAGATTGCGTAACAAATATGTTGCAAAATAAATTATACCTGTAGTAGAATAATTGAGACTTGTACAAAACTTAGCAAATTTATAATAATTAGAAATCTAAGAGTATTGAACTGTGATTAACGAAATTCATTATTACAATCTTTTGTTATACGAGAAATTAAACATATACGTTATAAAATGATTATAACCTACCATTAAATTACAAAATTCGTATCACGAGAACACGTATCATGTATCTATATATGTATGTATATACATATCACAGTACTATGCCGACGTAGGAACGATACACAGCACTAAAATATTTACTACGCTTATATGGTTCTACCCTTGACTGTTAAATTCAATTTGACAGTTTTTCAGGAAGTTTCAAACTTGTACTACCTAAGTAATGTCATAGTCATACGATTATAAAAAAAAATAAACAGTTTAAATCTATTAAATCACAATGAGAAACGATAGATGGCGTATATCGTGTGAGTACTGTGGCTTCTTTTCACCACGATTTAAATAATAGTGTAACAGTTCAAACAATTTCTGTTATGTTTATACGTGCATACTATACTATATATAAAGTTTCGCAAAATACCATTTTACAAAAACTGTAATATAAAATGCAAATAATGGTTTGAAAAAAGTCTTACAAATTTAATAAATTGATTTGTTAATTGACATACATAATGTAATTTCATATACTTATACGTTTTAACTAAAGTGAAGAGATATTTATTTACATTTAAATCGATTAAGAACGATTATATTCGTTCAAAATCTATGTATAACTGAAATTCTTTAAGAACAGTGAATGTTGTGATATTTAACACCATGCAGAAATCACTATAATTCACTATATATTCAGAATTATGATTTTGATGACGCGTATCGATTCTATTGTTATCAATTTATAAATTTCGATCCAGTATCGATACATATTACATATAAAAGATGTGAGTATCAAAATACCTGTTTGATATTTTTATATTTCTGTAATACGTGTAGCATGCTTATGTATTCGCTAGAGGTGTGCAAGAGGTGTGTGGATTAGGTGGTTCCCGGAAATTTCGAAATTCCTGAAGGAATTGGATTTCCCGAGAAAGTCAAGATTCCCGAAAATTTTGAGAACCCAGCTACTGTTTTTAATGGGAGATTCTGGAGGTCAAAATAAGACGAAAATCAAGAATGCCAATTTGTTGATTGAGTCTTCGTTAAAAAGTTACCAACGTTTAAAGTTCCACCTGTAGAATGGCAATCTGAGAACAGCTGCGTGCGCACGACAGTGGTTCTCACTTATCAAACTGTATGGCTGTCGATGAGTCAGTAAGTAGAGTTTCTCACGCTGAGTGAGAACCACTATCATCCGCACACAGCTGTATGCAGGTTGGCTACCTACAGGCGAAAATTTAAACGTTAATAACTTTTCAACGAAGCCCCAATCAACAAATTGGTATTCTAGACTTTCGTCTTATTTTGGCCTCTAGAATCTTTCATTAAAATTTTTTCCAGGGGTGACCGATCATCTTGTATAGCAGCCTACAAAAGATGTAAATACACAGTTACACGTTTGTTTATATGACACTTTTAAAAAGAATTTGTGATAGACACCATTCTTTCAATTTTTAAACCGAATATAAATAGTGTTAGTGAGTTCTTGAAATTTTCGGAAATCTCGGTTTTTTCCAAAATTCCGACTTTTTTTAGAATCCCGGCTCTTTCGAGTATTCCAATAAATTCGATAGTCTCAAAACTTACGGGTACTCGACCAATCCCAAAAAAATTTCGTGTTCTCGATCCGACCCAATAATTCGGGGTTCTCTGCTTCTGGCACACTTCTAGTATTCATACATTCTTTTCATGAAAACCTTACACAGTACTTCAGTTAGTAAATAGTACATCTAGTAATGATATATTCATCGATTATAGTTTTGGGCGGTAATGCGAATAACGGTGCAGTAGTGAAAGTTCGTTTACTTAAATTTGTTAATGTTGTTCGTTATTTCTATTTAGTCTAAAATATGGGGATTACCGGTTTACTTCCTTTCTTAGAAAAATCTTCAAAGAGAACAAATATTAATCAGTTTACTGGTGGTACTGTTGCTATTGATTCTTATTGTTGGCTACATAAAGGTGTATTTTCTTGCGCTGACAAACTGCAAATGGGACAACCGACAAATGCGTAAGAAAGTTATTATAATTATATTATTTACCAAAATAATTTATTGTATAATCATTGTCACTCTTTAGATATGTTCAGTATTGTATGAAATTTGTACATATGTTGCTTACATATAAAATAAAACCAATTCTTGTATTCGATGGACGACATTTACCTGCTAAAGCCCAAACTGAAACTAAACGTCGAGAGTATGTATAATTCAATTTTGTTTTCAAATATTTATTCCATACATTAGTAATACATATTGCATATAATTAATATTAAATGTTAAATCGATATTCAATAGATTAATTAAAGATTTTTCAATAGAAAATCTTATTTAGTATTAATTATAATTGTGTATTCATTTAATATAAACGAATGAAAATTAAAACGAGCAAATTTGAAAATATATATATTTATATTTCCTTTAAAATCCTGGAATTGTGTTTATGTATTTAGAGCTAGACAAACAAATCGTCGTAAAGGTATTGAGTTAATGAAAATGGGGCAGTATGCAGAAGGAAGAAATTTATTACGAAGGTCTATAAATATAACGCATGAAATGGCATTAGAATTAATTAAACAGTGCCAGGAAATGAATATTGATTGTATTGTAGCACCTTACGAGGCAGATGCACAGTTAGCATATCTTAATATCAATGGAATTGCTGATGTTGTGATTACCGAAGATAGTGATTTAACATTGTTTGGTTGCAAAAAGGTTGATATTCTTCTGTGTATATTTTAAATTATTTTCATTTTATATAACTAATTTTATAAGCTCATGAATAGTTTAAATATAAAGCTAAATATATAAAATTAATCATACATGATTTCATAATTTCAGAAACAAATTTATTTTTCTTTTTTAAATTATAGGTATTTTTTAAAATGGATATAAATGGTAATGGTCTTTTAATTGATCAAGAACGATTGCATCTTGCAATGAATATAAGTCCTGAACATTTCAGTATAGACAATTTTCGTTATATGTGCATTTTATCAGGATGTGATTATTTACCATCCCTTCCTGGTATTGGACTGAGTAAAGCAAAAAAGTTTATTATGATAAATACAGACTGTGATATACATAGGGTAATTATTCCGAAATTTATATGTATAAATTTTCTAAATACATAATCAAAGATTATACAAGATGTTCGGATACCTTACGAAAAAAATTTAATGGAAGATTCTAGAGACCAAGATAAGATGAAAATCAAGCATGCTAATTTGTTAATTAAGGCTTCGTTAAAAAGTTATTAATGTTTAAAGTTCAGCCTGTAGAACGGCAATCTGCGAACAATTGCGTGTACGCGGTAGATTGAGGCAGGTCGGTCCTAGTGATTCTCACTTACAAAACTATAAGTAGGATGCGTCAGTAAGTAGAGTTTCTCATGTTGAGTGAGAACCACTAGGACCGACCTGTCGCGACCGCCAGATTGCCGTTCTAAAGTAATGTAAAGTAATTATATTTATATTACAGGCTTTAACACGTTTGGCGTCTTATTTAAATATGAAATCGCTTGTTGTAACAAAGGAATATAGGGATGCATTTATATTAGCAGTTATTACTTTTAAACACCAATTAGTATATTGTCCTTTGCAAAGAAAACAAGTTCGTTTAAATTCACCTGCGTTAGATGTGACAGAGGAACAATTATATTATGCTGGTGTGGAGACAAATCCAGATATTGCATTACAACTTGCTTTAGGAAACATAGATCCAATTTCTTTAAAACAACTTCATAACTTTGACCCTGATAAAATGAAGGTAAATGCTTAGAATAAATTCTCTTCCGGAAATCTATTTACTGTCTCTGAATGTTATTTGAATTTATATATCTTAGAATCATAATAACGAATCTACTACGTGGGGCCAAAAAGCAAGTCGCCCTAAACACATTAGCATTTGGTCAGAAAAATATAAGTTAAAAGAAAATCCATTACGAGAATCTCAAAGTAAGAATCTCATGACATGGCCAAATACCACTGGTAAGAAGATGGTTCTCCAAACAAGTCGCTTAAAAAAAACTATTTTGGCAAAACAGGATAATTTTGGTATGAAATTAATTAAATATATACATATTAGAAATGAACTGTTAATTAAATGTGTGTGAATATTTAAAATAATAACTTTACAAATATTGTAGAATGTACAGAATTGAATCAAAAAGAAATTTTAAACGCATATGAAGAGACTAGAGTCCCAACGAATGCAGAAAACAATTTAAAAATAGATGTATATACACTTAATGAAGAAAAAGTGTCTCCTATTTTAATTAGAAGAACAAATCCATTTTCAAAAGGGTCATCTAATAATAAAACTTCTCCGAGTCTTTTGTTCAACAACAGAAATCGAATAAAAGGAAGGAACGTAATGCGTATTAAACGAACAATTATAAATGAAGAAACTATAACAGAAAGTAAATTTTTTTCCAAATCAACAGATGATGTAGAAAATAGCAATATTAAAGGAACCAACAATATGCTGTGTTCGCCCAATAATTCAAATGAAATTTTACTGGGACAAGAAAACGTACAATTGCACAAAACTGATGAAACAAACATTAATTTTCAAGCTTGTGTGGTAACTAATGAAATGGAAACAGAATCACACTCTATGGATATAGATGAAGAGCATAATGAATTGTTCGAACCAAATCAATACAATAATGCAAAGTCGTCAGATAATTGTTGCAATAATGATATAGGATCATATTTAGATGTAGAAATAAATGAATTAGGCCCAAACAAAAGAAGTGAAGCATCGTACAATTTAGATAATTCGTTGAATTTATTAAAATCTGATATAGATCCTGATTTCTTAATTCAACAAGAGGATATAAGTACTTTAAATACTAGTTTGTATAAATGGTCCAATACAAAATTGACTGCACAAATAGATAATAAAGTTAAACAATGCAAAAGCTCTATAAATTCTGGAACAGTAAGTATTGCAGCTTTATTAAAAACACTTATATATTTCTTAAAAGTAACTCCTAACTTACAATATAAACAACTAACATATATTAAAATATATATTTTTTGTAGGCTGTAAATAAAAAAGCAAATATGACAAACAGTACACGTCGAAGCCAACAATTATGTTCAGTACAAAGACAACAAAGCTTATTAAGTATGTATGGATTTGAAAAAAAAAGAAGTAAGTATAGTATACTAAAATGTTCGTAATTTATTAACAATTAATATATTATAAAATTTTAAATAAAAATTTTCAACTCATAAAATTTATTCAAAATTATATGAACATCGTTTATTTACAGAAGTAACTTAATAAATACTTCACATACCAGGATTGTTTGACATAAAAATGTGTGCTGTGCTACAACTATTATGCAAGCGGATAATTATATGGACTGAATAAATGTGATTATTTACAAGAGACGAAAATGTATGTATGTACATACAAATACAGTTTTCTTACTGTTAATGTAACTTTATACACGTATATATAAATATATCATTACAAATGTAATAAAATTCATTTATTTTTGCTACAAACAAGAAACTTTTCAAAAGAGAATATCAATTTTTTGTATTTTCTGTTTCTTCCCATGGTCTTGGTATTCGAACGTTACTCCAGTTATCAATATCTAACTGCTAAGAAATATTAACATACATTATTAAGTTACTATTTACAATTTTTGTTGTAGTACTATAATACTTTTATTTGTAATGATTTAAAAAATGAACTACCTTATTAATTGCAACGATAATTAAATATATTAATCGTATTATTATGAAATATGTATAAATGAGGGGCTTAATTCTGAACAATTTTTCCTTATGCACGTTACAAAAAATTGTTGCTATTCCATAAAATTAAATTCTAATGCCACCAGCATTAATTTAAGTATGAAGGGGGGTTAGGTTTTGATTATCATTATTTGTAATAATAAAATTACATAATACATTACACAATATTTAAAATTAACTTCATTTTTTACGTACCTTTTTCAAATTTTCGTATTCTGTTTCCAAAGGAAGAGTTTCGTTCATTTTAATACCCGCTTTATCGAAGTCTTTCTTTACTTCATATAGTGAAACTTTTCTATATTTGTACCTAAAGAGATTAAACGAAAATAAATAATAATCGTTAATAATAAATTGTAAAAGCAAGAAACATACATAAAAGTACATACTTTATTGCTGTAAATTCGCGGACAAGAAATGATCCTCCTACGACAAGGATCATAAGTGGCAGAAAATGTTTAAATATTTTACCCTCAAAGAATTTTGACATTATACTAAAGATTATGTTACACACCGGTTACAGTGAGATTTAAGTTATCGCATCGCCTTATCGTGAGTGCCACTCAAAGAATGACAATGTATACTGTATCACAGCCCAGTCTAGTACTAGCCGTGCTATGAAACGTGGCAACACCGCTCATGTGCGGATCGGGAGTCCTATTTTCAATAGTGGAGTTTTGTGTTCAGGATTATAATTAACGTTATTTTGCGATATAAAATTATACTAATATACAGTATTTTTTATTAATTATGTATAAGGAATATATGAATATCATAACTATAGTAAGTAGAAGTAATACAGAAGTATATTAATATTTATAAATGTGGTATATATTTTGTGGACTGTCGGAATAGTTTGGTGTTGTGATGCATTATATTTGAAATATTTACAGAGATTTCAAGAAAATAGAAGTGTGAAACAAGTTTAAACCATCTTTGAACAAAACTGAAGGATTTAAAAATTGATAAAGGTATGTATAAGTTAATAGAGACCTGAAATAGGCAAAATTATTGGTACGAAGCCAAACAGGTTAAGTGCCCGTGGAAAAAGAGGTTAGCATAATTAGCTATTGAAAGGAACAATTATGGAGTTAATTATAAAATCGTGTTAGAGGACAGTATGATAATTGTGAAATATTTCCTCACCACCCTAGGGGTATTTACCATGGCGCGTTACCTTTTTTTTTTATTATAATGGGTGGTTCGCCAATAGCCATATCATCCCATTTTCAAAAATAAAATTAATATTTTTAAATAGAACATAACAAAAATATAACTTTTGTGTTCTTAAAGAAATAAAGTATTACATTTTGAAATAATAATAAATAATTTTGAATAATATTAATAACAAAACATATCAAAACATACTTTGAAATTCTCTTGAAATACAACTAATAAAACTTTGAATCTTGTGAAATAGTATTCATAATAAAAATATACTAAGCAAGTAAATAAAACTCTATTAATGTATTAAAACATATTGAAAGGAATAAGTTAAATATATATAAAAATTAATGTTTTAAGAAAGATGAAATTAAAAAAAATCATTGAAAATCTAGTTCCTATTAAAAGTTTTTAATTTACGATTTTTAGAAGTGATGTCTGTACGTGTTTCCAACTGACTATTATTTACAGTTTTCACATAATCGTTTAATAAAATATTTGAAAAAATTGATAATAATTTAAACCAAATACTTTGGTAAGCTCGACCACAAACGCATGTATCTGAAAATGCTAAATAATGTATATCTGATTGAATGCTAATATATGTTAATTTACATAAAATATGTTTATGATTTCCAGATTGCAAAAATTGAGATTCTAAATTGCCATCATTTATTATGGCTTCCATTATTGCATACATATGAATAAATGAGGCTATCGCTTCTTCAGTGGGGACAGAAAGGCCCCCTCTTTGTAAGTGATCAAAATATACATCGCCTACAGTTTTACCTTTATCCTCCACAACTAATAAACGACATATATTGCAATTTAATTTTTTAGCAACAGAATGGGACCCATAACCAGAAATATAAATTTTAATGGAATCATCTACAACACAATTGGACAAGTATTCGGTATCGAAGATTCCTGAGAAACAAGTCACATCAGTGGGAAGATCATGAAGATCGTTATTATTGTCATCACAAATTCGAAATTTATTTTTGATTTCAGTAAGAGAAAACGAATTTGCCGATTTTGTAAATATATGTTTTAATCTAATTTTTTTTTCTGCATGAATTATTTCGTTATATGACACATGATAATTACAACCAGATAAAAGTCTATAATTTCCAAATCGTTTTTCTAATTTTTCGGTTGTAAAATGGAGGGTACTACATTCCTTATAAGCCTTGGACATCTCAACAAAACATTCTCCAGTACACCATTGGGCGATAGAATACCGTGGTACCTTTCAATATCAGTTTCTGCAAAATGCAAACTACAGACGGCAGAATATTTTGATGGTGTCCAATTCTTACGAGGAATAGCAACCCTCCATTTTTCCCGCAATTCCTCATCTTTGGGGAATAAAAATATAGAATTGTAATTATTATCTTTTAAGGTACTATCATAATTTCCCTTGCAATTGGGAACACAGCAACGCCGTGGCATTATTAATGAATATGTGAAATTTATAAAAAAAGTGTATATAAAACAAAATGTCCAAAAATGCTATAGATTATATTAAATAAGTGTGCTACACACCAAAATCAAGATCTGTAGAGTTAATATAAATAAATGAAACACCTGGATTATTGCTCCGTTGCTCACATTTAATGGACTTCAGTACATTAATATTTGAAACATTTGAAAGATAGGCGGGAGACCGGAAGGGCGGTAGATGGAGCCTATGTAGCCCAGAGGCCGGTGGGTAGTGGGAGGCTGTTACGGTAAGTTGGGCTAGGTATATCGAAGCCGGACTCCCGCGGTGTTGCCATTTTACCTTCAGCACGGCTAGTACTAGAGTCGGCTGTGACTGTATACATGTAATCACTTTATTAGGCATCAAAGTCTAAAGATACATTTTCATGTGCTAATAAAAATTATGACTTTTACTGTTATTAAAGTTTATAACAGTGTGACAGTCTTTGCAGCTGTTTCACGTGCAATTCAATGTTATAACATTTGTCTAAATTGGTAATGCTAATTATATATTGGTTACTTTTTAATCTTCAATGATTTTTAGCGTTGTTATCCTATCGCGTGAATTTGGGTTTAATATACATAGCGCCGCAACGGGGATTAATTGAAACTCGATTAACCACCATCGAATGCAGGATCATGTAACTGCATTCAAATTAGGAGCGAAATTCAAACGGACTAGCATATTATAATGTACAATGCTATTGTATGAGATTCAACGTGGGCGATCAAGCAGGGGAAAGTCGAGGGTCAAGAGAGAAAAGAAAGCATTTCTTAGAAATACTTGGTTCATTTTCTAAAGGCCAGAATTTGGCATCTCTGGCTGGCACCTCTGAACCCATCTTCTCTTTTCCCTAAACCGCCGATTCAGGATCGGCACAAGTGACGCAACAGCATCAATGAGCATCATGATTATTCATGATTATTATTACAGATTATCGAGAGGACAAATTAACAAATGTCGAGCTATACTAGGTACTCATAGTAGTGGTACTTCTTATTGAATCCCTAATTTTTGGTTTATAGTTTATAGTGGTTATACGCTGGTGACTTTCCTTTTAGATAGGAAGAATTGTTGCTAATCATAAACTGATGTAAGAATTTGAGGAATGAGGATTAGTAGTGGATCTAAATGGATCACTGGTACAATTTATATTTTCTAATGTATTAATGTTTACGTATGTATTATTTTTATAGCTTCGAAATTCACTTATCTTTTTATTCGTATACTTTATTTACTACGAAAGATTAATAACAGTATGATGATGCTGAATATGAAGAACTAAATTTAAACAATATATATATATACATAAATATATATAATTCAGTTACAGTACATTCAGTACTTACTACGCAATAATGAGAGTTCATGATAAATTTGACCTAACAAAACTTCAGTAACAATTTATTGATCTATGCGAGCCTTCTATATGCGAAATGTGGAAATGATAAAATTGACAAGTTTTTTCTTCTAATTTTATATAATTAATACCTGCAAAAATTAGTAAGTTGGTAATAATTAATAAATCGAAATGATTAAGAAATCGTCGATGAATAACTGAGATGGTTTTGACTTTGAACTCTACCGCAGGTTAAGTTTGTGTATACGACTCTTGTTTGTTTTAATTGGAAAGTTATTTCTACAAGTAGAAAAAAATCGCAAAATGAACATTTTGCCAGGGACAGCATCTCTTCTTGAAGAACTTGACAGTATGTATTTTTGTTAGAATTGTGTCATTTTTTGGGTTATACCGGTACGTTATTATATCTTTTTAATTTATTCACCAAAAATATCAACTTATTTTTGTGCAAATAAACAGCGTTTAAGCATTAAAAAAGATGAAACATCAAGAACTGTATAAAAGAAACATTTTGTATCCATAGTCCCTGTACGATTTCTTTCAAGCACTGACAAACTAATAAGCTTTTAATAAAATTTATATAAGTCGCTTACGTTTATTATCATAAAACATTATGTGTCATTTTGATTTAGAAAAACTTATGGTTCTTCTGAGAGATGGCAGAACCTTAATTGGATATCTCAGAAGCGTCGATCAGTTTGCTAATATAGTACTTCATCGTACAATCGAAAGAATTCATGTTGGCCGGGAATATGGAGATATACAAAGAGGAATTTTTATTGTGAGAGGAGAAAATGTAGTTCTTCTAGGAGAAATAGTAATATTTTTACTTATAAAATTATTTAATATTTTCAAAGAAATTATATTACATTTATATTGGATGACTTTAATCCTATTATAGGACAGAGAAAAGCAAAGAGACTTGCCATTGACTAAAGTATCTGTAGATGATATTTTGGATGCGCAAAGACGAGAACAGGAATTAAAACAAGATCAGAAGCGGTTAATAAATAAAGCTTTAAAGGAGCGAGGTCTATCATACATTCCAGACATGAGTCACGATGATATGTTTTGATCCACACCTATGTCTCTAATTACCATCACTTTGTCATCAATATCTTTACACAGTTCTGAAAGTTATGATACCTGTTACACGTCGATTTCTTTTTGAGGGTACGTAATGATGATAGCTTGTGAAGTGTGAGTACATTATACTATTATAAAAACAGCAGTATTTGGTGTATATAGCATTAAAATGAAACATTGTTATCATGAATAATGAGAATTTATACAATATTACTCTTATTATATTAATGCTGTATCTAATGTGAAGAATATTCACATTACATTCTGTCATATTTTTCCGATTCTACAAATTTTCTGTTTTGTGGAACTATTACATTTAAATAGAAATCTATTGTAATTCATGTATGGTCTTTTTGTGATCTATATCAAACTCCCAAATATACACATTAATGACATTTATAAATTTGTAATAATCTCATATTTTTCTCCAATTAATTTTACATGCCTTTTTTTTAATATATGCAATTCTTATTTCAATAACTAACTTATAATTTAAACTAGAAATATGTTTAAAAAAAATAAGCACACAACAAAGACTTTGTGTTAGTTTAATACAAAAAATATTGCATGCAAATACTACATACGTTTTGTGTTTAATAAATATATAAATTATTAAAAATTTATTTTATAATTAAAAGTATTAATTTTTTTAGTAGAAAATCATATAGACACAAAAATCAATTATAAAAATTATCAAATTTATAGTGCATATAGTAACATATATGCATTATAAATTACCGAACATTTCTTAATTATTTGATAATAAAAATTCCTTTTTACAAATGTTCATATTATAATTTATTAAATAATTTAAGAAATAAGAAAAATTCGATGTTTCTAAGTAAATATTAATTATTGTCTATAAGCTATTTACAGTAAAGTTTAAATATACATATTCAGCAATATTTAGTACGTTGCATTGTAGAACATACGTACAAAATGTCTTTTTCATTTTCATACATCGCCACCTTAAAAACATGTATATTTGTTACATTAATAAAGTAATAGTATTGACACTAGAAATTTTATGCAAAATTTAATTTGAAATTTTTATGTTTGGTTTAAGTTTAAAAAATATAATTAAGTACAGAAGATCTCATAAAATTGGTGTGCAAAAAAATTTATTTATAGATTAATAATTTAAGAAAATATGTGTCGTACAAACGTTTAAGCAGTACAGTTGTCATCCCTCGAAGTACGCGGTTTTTTCGCGATCTTTGTATTCGCCGCCTTATCCGAAGTCGCAGTCTTTCCGCCACTACAAATGATAATTTTTTACGACATAGATTCTTCAAAGATATATGCATTCAAATTTAAATAAAATGTGGAAGAAGGATGGACACCATATAAAAATATTTTGAAAGAAATACAAAAAGAAATATGTCTCGTATGTGCCTTCCTGAATAACACTTTTTCTTTGCAATTCTTGTATTATGGTTTCTGGTTAACAGAAATTTGAAGTGTGGAGTAAGAGGAGACTGATACGCAGTAATGGGTGTTCCGAACCTCCGCGTACTTCGAAGGACGACTGTGTATAAAATAAATGCGCAATTTATACTTTAGTACAAAACTGTTTGGGATATAAATATTACAAATTTGTATACATCATATAACGAAAATACGCTTTTCTTTGTTATTATGAACAAACAATTAAAGTAAACAAAATCTGAAGACACAACCGTACACAATAGAATTACATCGTAAAATCTTCTAATACCATAAAGAAACAAACCTAACTGTTTTGTAGGTTTCTATGATATTGTCAATTTCTTTTCTAAGATGAAACGTACTATTAAAATAAAAGAAATATATATTTGCATAATTATATGAAAGTTAACGTATTATTAACACTATAGTTTTGAATTACATTGATCTTCATTTATACTTTAAGTATATCATTTTGCCTCAAAATGAAGTTTCTTGAAACGTATCTTGTACTTTTACTGAATTTAATGTCGATTCGCTCAATTGTTTGTACTTAAAACCTTGTCCTCGTATATTTTTTGATGTTTTGTTTTCTTTTATTGATCTTTTGGAATCGTTACGTTGTAAACTAGTTGCCCGTTTCCTCGGCGAACTTGCAACTTCGTCGTTTTTTCCTGAGGAATGATTTGCGCTATTAATGCTACCAGAAGCAATACCGGAAGTATCGGATTCTGGATCGTTTCCATTCAAACAACAAAGTAAACTGTCAGAAAGGCGATCTTCGTTTAAGATGTTTAAGTCGGACTCTGATTGCTCAAAATCCCCTGCGCGCGATGAAAAACTGAGATCAACAGGACTAGCAGTTAAAACACTTCTAGACAACAAATATTCTCTAAATGTGCTTGTTATGGACATAGTACTTTGCTGAGTAACTGTACAACAGTCATCTGCAACAGATGCGAAAAATTTCCGCTTTCCTGCAACATCGCTACCGATGTTTTCTTTTTCTTCCAAATCAATACTTTCTCCATAAATGATTTCACTGTCTGTACTATTAGGTCTTTGAGATTCCTCTAAAATTGAGGTGCAGTTTCTTGGTCTAATTATATCAAGATTTGAATTACGCATGTTGTTAGATACATTATGGTGATTCCAACTATTATTAACGCTGGCAAGATTACAAAGGTTTGAACCTGAGACCATCATCACTGGTTTTCTAGATCGTGGTGTCATCATTGTTTCCTGTAATCAATGTAAAAAATTATTTTTAACTGTTAAATGTTATTTATCATACATACATTGCCGTTCATAAATATAAGGATACTTGGCCGAAACGTTGTTAATCTTTAAGTATTATAACTCGAAAAAAGACAAGTCATTCAATAATCTTCCTGGAGATATTTTAAAGGTTGAATCTTCTACTTCCACACTCCTAAGTTGAATGTCTTATGAGGTTCTTTTATACAAAAAGGCGAGTGAAAAAGTAAAGAGGATGTCACTTTAAATAATTTTTCAAATTTTAATGATTTCCAAAAGTTTAAAAAATGTCGTACTCGTCTAAAACTACCATGAATTTGAAAATTAAAGCCGCTTGTTTACAATAACCTCTTCAAAAATTGACACCCTTCAACATTCTTTTTGCTTTCTTACTCGTTTTTTAATGTAAATGGATATTTGAAAAAAGTCAATGTAAGGATGTGAAAGTAGAGGGTTCAGCCTTTCAAATAATCCTAGGAAAATCATTGTAAGATTTCTTTTCACGAAGTTACAATAGTCCAAATTTTAACAAAAGTAATATTAGAAAAAAAGTAAATACATACCTGCATTGCTTTAGTCATTTTAGTTGCGCTTTGGGTAATTGGACTTATGCTCTTATCATTATTAGTAATAGGAGTTAACATGTATTCGTTAGTAACTAAGCTTTTGCGCAATAAATTTGATGGTGTCGATGTATGGGCGACATATACATTCCAAAACCTATTTTTCACAATAGGAGATAAGTGGACACGTGCGCTGTCAGTGTGTAATTCTATTTTCGAACGATCCAGTAGCTTTTTGTTGCTTTCAAAACATTTTGAAGAAGAAGCCATATCTACATTGTTTACTTTCGACACTGATAATGTAGGTTCTGAATTTTGTCTGATTAATTCATTTTCTGTAGTTTCATACAAAGTACTCTGAGAAGAATACATATCAGGTGGTTCGCTAAGTTGTCTAGATATTTTAACAATATTAGATATAGAATCACTATCATGTCTTAAATTGTCAATATTAAAACGTTCATCTTGCAAGGATGTGCTTCCATCGCCTATTTTTGAATATACAGAATCATTTATATGCGAATCTCCAAATCTTTTAACCGAGTTGTTTAAACTCCATTCATGATACTTTTCGTTTATTTGTTCTTCCTTTATATTTACAAATTTCATGAACATGGCCTTTCTCTTAACTTTGTAATTCCTCAACGTAGGAGTATTAAGACTACCAGTACTATTACTAATATGTTTAGTATGAAGAAAACTGTCATTGTTTGTGTCACAGTTTTCTATGCTAAGTTCATCATCTGATTTACTAAACAGTATTTTTGTTTGAAGTAATGATTTTTCTAGATTCTGTACAACAATACGCATGCAAACAAAATATATTAATTTTAACATAACCATGCTGTTAAAAACATAATTTATATAGATAGTAGAAAACAATATTCTGAATATGCCTTACCGATGATAATATATTTTCTTCGCTACTCGATCTAGTAATATTACAACCTATATTAAGATCAATAAATTTTTTATGTCCCAAGATTTTCTTCTGAAATATATGCTTCTTAATCGAATCTCCAAGACTTTTAGTTCGACAATTTTTAACTTGTCTTGGCGTGCCTTGACCATTTTCTTTGTTAAATTGTTTTACAAGTCTACGCTTTTTAGCTGATTCTGGCATAGCTTGTATATGAGCATAAAGTTGAGCTAAAGCTGCTTGAGTATTTTGTGTAGAATTTGCTTTTGCTGTTAATTTATGATCTACAAAACTAAACACAGTATGCGCTGTACCTGTTGTATCTGGTATTGACTCATTCAACTGAAATAATAAATATTTCAATAAATTATAGCAATTACTTGAAATATTAGTTACATTTAACTAATTTAAAAAAGAAAAAGAATTACATCAATATTTTTAGGACTCAACAACTTCCTTTCTTGTTCTACCCAATATGCTCTGATATCCGTAGCTAACTTTGGTGGAATTTCAAACAATTCTATTCCTTTCCTAATCATAAAAGCAACTAAGCACGATAAGTTTTGGGAATTAATATGTAAAGCTTCCGGTGATAATTTTCTTGGACACATCAAATGTGGCGTGAAAAGTGTAGCAAGCGTATCACAATTCATTTTATTCTTGCATTCAAAACTGGCTGTTTTATTAAGAAGCGTTAAAACATATTTGAGTAAAATTCTGTTCATAGAAGGTAAAAGTAACAAAAGCAATTGCAGAGATCTTAATAATTTTGCATCATTGCCATTTGCATCAGAGCTGCATAATTCTGAAATCAAAAATATATGTATTTTATTGCAAAAGGAATGAAAAAATTGCACATACAAAAACATAATCATAATACAAGTATGAAGATATGTGCAATTATGTGAGTTTGTAAATATTTTACCAGCAATTTGACAATGTGCAGGGTAATGCAAATCCGATAACAATGGTTCTGGCAACTCTGCCAGAAATCCCTTTAATACTGATGCACAGTCATGAACACTATATCGCCCATCATTAAGGCTTAATGGAATGCCTTGATACATTGTGACCTTTAAATCTTGTTGTCTTGTCAATTTACCAGTACGACGAAATATGCCCTCTTGAATAATATCTTTAAAAATGTTAAAGAAATGGATAAAAATAAAAGAGAATTATTTTAACTACTTATAATGAAATTAATTTACAGATGCTCTTAACAAAACCATTCAAGTGTTGAGTTCAGATAGTATCTGCGCATCATTGAGTTCAGATAGTATCTGCGCATCATTTTAATTCAAGGGATTAAAAGTATTATCTATTTAATAATGTTGTAAGTTTCTATAAACTAATAAGATCTACACTTACTTTGTTCCTTCGATAAATACTCTATCAATTGTTTCACTTGGTTAATTCCATTCTCTGTCAAACTAGCACCTTCTACACCTTTTTGTAAGTTAATTGTTGATTTAGGTTTCTTTGTAAAGCTTAAGAGACCCCATTTCTTTAATTTTGCTTTTTCATTGAAGCAGTCATTGCTATATAATTTAATAATTAATTTTATAATGTACAAACTCAGTTTCATAAAGAATTTATCAAATTACAAAATAATGTTATAAATAAAAGTTTGTATAACATTAATGATCGACTTACTCCTCGGTATTAAGATCCAATTCGAAAGACAAATGCATTTTGACGAGGGTGTGGAACTGTTCTGGATTGACTTTTCGCATTCTAAAAGCCAATTTGCCATCCACACTATCATTAAAATCTTCCATTGTCAATATCACTATAACGACAATTTAAACACGTTCTGACATCTTCAAATCTTATACGTACACTCGTTACCGTATCATCAACGGCGGTTATTTTCGTTACGTCTAGATGATTGCTCTTTCGCTATAACTGCAATGTTCATGTATTTGCGCAAACAAAACATTTTTTATAAATTAACTGGCCTATACGTATAAGATAAATTACGTGACAATACCATTTTCATCCATTCGTATTTGAACTAGCTATACAATCATTCAACCAATCCAACTATCCGCTATTTGCCATTAAGTATTAATAACATAAAACAGAATATAAGTCTAACCTATAAGATAAAACTGAATGTAATAAAACTTTCCGGCATTCACCATTAGAGGGCTATGAACAATATCCAATTCTTGCAAGTTGCAAGTCCTCTAGTAACACCAAATTTTATTTGAATTATTATTTAAACAGAACAAATTTACATATGTTTATTAAAAGTGAATAAATTTTATTTTATTATAATGTAAAACAAGAAATAATTTTTTTAGTGACATATCGGTGATCTATATTGTATTCAATTAAAAATTACGTGTACACAAAAAGTTACGCGATCAGAACAAAGTTGAAACGGTAGGAGCTACAATTCACAATTTTTTAATAATAGGTAATTATTATATTAGATTTTATCATGACTGAATGGATTATGAAATTTTCAACATAATTTACAAACAAAGCATAATGTATTATATATTTAAATTGCTTTTTGTATACAAATTTAAGTGATTATGTATCAGTACATCGATCTTCTTGTCTACCTAATAACTAATCGCATGTTCGCTTATTATAAAACATTAATTTAACTAATGTTTAGGAATGTTATTCTGAGAATCATTAATAGAAAGAGATCCGTACAAAAAAAGATTAAGAATCACTGTTTTACCCTATGTGTCACATTTATGATACGCCCCTGATAAAAAAAATAACAGATGAACCAATGAGATTCTTTCGTGATCACTTGCTTTGTTTCGTAATTCTATGTGAATTGATCGTAGTATAATATAGGTATATACAATAGTAATAATATTTTCATAATTGTTCACTACAATTTGATATTTCTAGAGTAACAAGATATTTTTCACAATTAAACATAAATCTTAAACAAGGCACAATGTAAAATGAAAGCAATAAATAATACATTACACCTGTTTTTCTACTTTAAAATATGACTATTTCTGGACTTGTGTAATAAGTTTTGTATACATAACAATACCACAATCGACTTTAGTACGAGCCTATACTGAGCGAGAGGCAGTAAAACTATGAGAATCCGATTTTGCACTTGATAAAAAGAATACACAGCATTTGTGTATCTCTGTCTATTCAGTACAAAATCGGACTCTCATAGTGTTGCTGTTTCTCATTCACCATGGCTAATACTATTCTTCCACGAGAAGAAGGCACAACGTGTTTACATCTCGCTAGCGCACGGTACTTATAAGACAGTGTTTACATCCCTATTTCTGTTGCTGTCCGCTGACTCACAGGTATTGGTCAAAAACGGTGACAACGATCGGTGACAGCCAATCAGCGAGCTGCAGCCAAAGTGGGGATGTAAACACGTTGTGCTAGACTGTGCCTTTTTCTTGTGGAAGGACGATACTAAAGTTGACTGTAAATACACATATAAAAAGTTTCAATACATGTATATGATAGTATTATTTTGCAAGCTTACATGAGAGAACATTACATATTAGTTGATATTTTTTATTAATGAAGATTGTTGAAAAATTCAGAATTCTTTTCGTTGTTGTTGAGTTCTGAAAATGTTAACGAATTAGTTATATTGACAATTTGCGATCAAATACAAAAATACAATATGAAAATTAACGAAAGGAACTGCGATAAATTGAAAAAACGGAAGCTTATCCGATTAAAATTTTGTTTCAAACAATATGAATCCCACGATTCAAGCTATTGTCATCAGTTTTTAAATAATCAGTTGGCAACAGTTCAAATAAATAATATATTCAAATGCGACGTAAACATATCTAATTACAAATAATGATAATCCTGTTTTAAATAACTAAATACATACAAGCATCAAACAATGTATACTTAACAATTAACTAGTTAATGTTAATTGGTGCGTTAAATTTATTAAGGATAATGTGTTTAGTGATTTATTCGATTAAATGGAAATTAATTTAGTCTGGTCGCTAAAAGGATTCTATAGATTCAGTTGTCGAGCAATAATTGGAGAGGGATCATAAAAGTGTTACGTAGGAAAACGCGATAACGAAAAGTGAGGTTGGCAGACGTAAAACACCTGTGACGATTATTAGTTGAGTAGACCGTGGTAGGGATAACATGGCCACCGCCTGGTGACGTTCGTTCGCCGTCGCCGTCGCGAAATCAAATGCTCCCAAAAACATCTGGTGAACATTTATCAGTGTAAGTTCGATAGTTTTCTCGTGGTAAACGTGTATTACATTCTGTGGAAAGTGTAAATTACGATGATGAACATGTGGAAAGTGCGGGAATTAATGGATAAGGCGTAAGTACGATTAAGTCAATTACACGCGATCTAACCTTGCTTTTACTTTTTTCAACACATTCCACTCTACTTCCTTTGATGCGCTGAATGATTTTTCGTTTACCCCTAAATTCTGTGTTCGTTAATGATGACTTTGCTTGTATTATTTAACAGATCAAATCGCTCTCTGCAAGCCTACATTCGAAAATTACTTTTTTTACTATTACAAAACTATAAAATCGAGGTTCTTGTAAACTTATTTTCAAATGAATCTTTTTTACAATTCTTTGGAATAATTATGTTGTTATATTATACTATTAAAGCGAGTTATTGAATACCGATTATTCGATCGAGTACAAGTTTCTGGGTCAAATCACAACGAACGCCTTTTACAATATTAAGCAATATTATGCGACTATAAGAAGATAAAATAACCTATTATCTCTGTATACTTTTTGTTAATGACGACACGTATAATTGTATTGTTCCTTCAGCTATTTTTGTATTCTTTATTAATATAACATTCAATACGCTTTTTACATTTATTTATATACTAATAATGTTTATAAATATAAACAATAATAGATATATAATTTGAAGCAATATTCATGAAGTATTTCGATAAATTAAATCAGGTATTCTAATAATACATTATTTATTATATAACTTAACCATTTTCGTATTATGTATTTCTGCTTTATTGCTTGTTAATAGTATTTCTATAGAAATATGTTATGTTTATATTCGTTACTAGAATCTAATTTTTTTTACTTTTTTCTTAACTAGTTTACTTTCGAATTGAAAATATTTATTTTTCTCTTAATAAGACTGAACGAAAAAACAAAAATTTTCTCGTAGAAAAGTCTAGAATTAGCAGATAAGCTATCCCCTACTAAGTTCACGAACAGGTTGCTCTCCACGATAAATAAGACTATCAATTGAGAAAGTGTTGCATATTTAAAAGAAAGGAATGAGTTATATCGATGCAGTATTAGTTTTTGTCAATAAAAACATGTGTCAATAAAAGACCGGATTACATCCATCAATATTTTTTAATTGTTTGTAACGCGCAATAAGTTTCAGTGATATGTAAAATATTACAAATGCTGATAAAAACATTTCCGAACAAATTTATCGTAAAAATGATGTGTAATCATTGTTTAGTATAATAATCGCTTTTTCACTGCCTGCCGTTCGGAAGAATGCTACATATTCTCGCGTGATTTTCACACCTGTTGTTAAGTTACGCTTTGATGCAGATTATAGTTGATTCGTGTGAAAAATATTCATAAAAATTGAAAGCAACAAAATGTCATGTCTAAATGAACATTTTCTTCTTCTTTTTTTCTGCAAAATCATGTTGTATATGTAAGTATGGTATGGTTACAGCACCGGTTCTTATGTTCATATACATACACATATACGCTGGTAATTTTGAATTAAACAGTGGTTCTCAACCATCAGTATTATCTGTTTTTTTTGGTAATCCCAATTCTTTCGATTATTTCTCTACTATCTGTTTTCCGTAAAATATTAAAGTGTAACCTTTAAGGTGCAATTATCGTTTACGTTTATTATTTGTTTAGAACGGTAACAAGTTAATTTGTACTCACGATCGGAAATATGAGATACTTCGTGATCTGTGGAAACCGAGAAGCGGAAGAACACTATTATCTCTAACAGTGCTTTCTGAATACAAATGCAATCCACGAACGTGCATGTGAAGATTCCTGATTTCAGACACGAATGTTATTTTAACCGATGTGCTGTTCTCACGAACGACCACATATTTTAACACTTGTTAGTTCATTTCACTCAGATTATATTTTTTTCTTAAACAAGTTTATATAAATTTTATTGTAAAGCATGTATGTAAAACATATTTTCCGTAATAAGATATACATTGATTGTTTCTTGAACTTCTTCCAGAGATATACAGGGTGTTCGGTAACTGGTGGTACAAGCGAGAAGAGGGTGATTTTACATGAAAAAATAAGTCTAAAATATACAATAACAATTTTTCATGAGAAGTTTTGTTTTCAAGAAAATCGACTTTGTAGCGCGCATGTGGCCGCACGATGGCGCTTCCCGTTCGAGTACTGCGCTCGCCTGGCGGTCGCGGGGAATTCTCGTGCTAGTTGTATTACTATCGGACAACAGTCTTATAAAACATCTCTTCCTCTGTAATTTCGCTCTATGGTTTATTAGACTCGAATAAGTTACATTTTATATTACTATCGGACCACAGACTTTGAATTTTCGCCGGGTATGCGTGCACTTAACCATGTCTCGTTATAGCGGATCTCGCTATAGATGATGGTCTCGATGAGTATTGTTACAGTTTAAGTTTGTTTTTATCGTAACGGAAAATTAGAAACATGTAATGAAATAGGATGGAAATTCTAATCAAACTTCTATGAACGTTTTCTAACGTATTCTGTTGTTTTAATGTATGAAAGGCTACAATCATTTTTTCTTTTAATTTGCGAGTTTCATAGGGACGGTTCTGGTCGTAAAAATTCTTAATTGTCTAAAAATGCGACGGTCTCTGCGACCCTTCTCGATATAAAGTATTATCCTTCCACGAGAAGAAGGCACAGTGTGTTTACATCTCCACTTTTGCTGCAGTCCGCTGATTGGCTGTCACCGATCTTCATCACCGTTTTCGACCAATACCTGTGAGTCAGCGGACTGCAACAGGAGTGGGAGTGTAAACACGCTGTGCCTTCTTCTCGTGGAAGCACGGTACCTGTGTTGGGTCTCAACATAGTGTTTAGCGGTAAAGGTAAGAAAGTAAGCTGATAGGTACAATAAACAATTCTGTGACACTGGAAGTGTTTATCAACATAAACTTCAATCGAGACAGTGATCTACAGCAAGATCCGTTATAACAAGCATGATAAAATGCACGCGTAGTCGGCAAAAATTCAAAGCCGATTTTCTCGAAAACAAAGTCTCACATGAAAAATTGTTATTTTATATTTTAGACTTATTTTTTCATGTAGAATCACCCCCTTTTCGCTTGTACCACCAGTTACCGAATACCCTGTATAAATGCTTCTTCCTTAAACATTTTGTTGAACGTTAAATAAAGTAATGAAATCTTAAATAATGCGATTTTGTTTAGATGTTACTTTTAATTTTAAACGAAAATATTATATAAAGTATATTTGTTTTTGTTAATATACTTAAGGAAAATATAATTTTGATACTCCTGTAATAAAACTTTTGGAAGTAACATCTAGAGTCTATTTTATATTGTTATTCTCATCAAAAGTGTTCAAGGGGAAATAAATACATATGGAATAATATTCAAAATTCTTACATATTGATTTTGATAATAATTAATGCGTAAAGTTTAACCATATATTTTATCAACCTTCCTATAATACATTACAAAGTCGCTTATCGTTACACGTTATCTTTCATTAAAGACGTTATTTGATCTTCTTATTTGATGATAAGAGTTAAAAACATTCGTGTATTTTTTCCGTCAATTTACCTTTTCCTTCGTTTAACAATTTCAGTTGATCAATCGTTATTTTTTAAATAACTGTTATGTGTGACAATTATTGTGTTTCAACAATAAAATTCTACTTAACTTATAGTCAAATGTTATTAGTTCAGCGATCAAGTTATCTAGAGAGATGGACAAATTCGTGTGTAAACTAAATATAAAACAGTTCGTTACTTTAACACCGAATGATATAAATTTTACGAGGGATTTCATAATATTCAGATTATTAATTCTAATTAAATTTTCCATATACATACTTATAAATGAATTCAGCGTACTATTAAAGAATGCATAAACAATTTGAGTTTTGAGGGGGCTGGGGGTTCAAATAACGATCCCACGATCTACCCCAACAATTATTCAAATGTTTATTTCCGCGATGTAGTCTAACAAACTGACTTAGCAAACGCGACTACGTCTTTACCAGACTGGGGCGTCTATGACAGACTGGCCGTGAACGCGTCTTTTACGGACTGGGAACTTTCTTCCAACGTCCCTTCAATATTATACACTCTCTTAACCTAATAGCAAAGGGAGAGAAAAAGAGATAGGACAGAAAGACGGAAAAACGAAACTGGAAAATACTTAGCGTAGAAAAAGTTTAGCTACAGTGAAAGAGAGTCATAAAAGTCAAGAGGCTCACCGAGCCCGGATCGGGGTGGTCCGAGGCCCAGGCGAAACCTTGAAGGAAAACAGGCGCCTCGCACGGCTCTGGTCGCCAAGTGTTTAACAGGACGACCAAGCTCTCACGAGGTCCAGGGAAAATGGAAAAATAGAAAGCTTAAACCTATCCTTACATTCCATTCCCATTCATACTCTGGCAAGGGCGTAGTGGCTATACAATGACCGCTACAGTTTTAAGTTTCGTATTTTTCATACCTTTTGTTTAAATCGATATACAGATTGTTTGACCACCTCTGGAAAAAATTTTAATGGGAGATTCTAGAGGCCAAAATAAGACGAAAATCAAAAATATCAATTTGTTGACGGAGGCTTCATTAAAAAGTTATTAAGAAATTAACTCAAAAATTTCAAATCGTTCTGGAAAAATTATTTTCGGTTGCGGGGGTGAATTACAATCATTTTTGGTAAATAGACATACCCCCGAAATCTTGCGCATTTTCGGGGAAAAAATTCAGTACGGGCGGAGCTTTAAACGTTAATAACTTTTTAACGAAGCGTCCATCAACAAATTGGTATTCTTGATTTTCATCTTATTTTGGCCTCTAGTGTCCCCCATTAAAATTTTTTCCAGGGGTGGCCGAGCACCCTGTATATTGCTGTTTGAACTAGAAAATCGAAGTCAATTATAGTATACTTTTTCTTCTTATACATTTAATTTTGTATTCTTCGCAGATTGATAGATATTAACTATTATACTTAGAAAATGTAGAATTTTTTATTCGATTTATTCACAAATTTCGAAATCGGTGATCGTAATATCACTAGAATGCCCTTGTTAGATGCAATTTAATGTTTGTAATGATTTCTATACGTAGGAATATTAAATAAATATAGAAGCAATGAATTTTTTTTGTATTACAATAATGCTTTTACAGATGTCATTTTATAAAGACAGTATTTACAAACGATTTTGGAGTTTCTTGAAACAGTACATATGCTACTGGAAACTAAAAACAGAAAATTATTACGTGCAACTAGAGGCGTAAAATTATTGCGCAATTAACAGGTGTTCGTAGTATACATATACATGAACACAGTGAAAGTAATTCTACATCGGAATTAATAGCATCAACGCATATGCTGTTTTATGGTGTTTAAAAATATTAAAAAAGGTGTTATAATTTATTGAAAAAATGAATGTTGATTTTACAGAACCAATGTGGTAATGAATTACACAGAAACTGAGGCAAACGTTCGAGAAGCAACAAACGATGATGCTTGGGGCCCTACAGGTACATATGTATAAATCTTAATATTTCAACATGTATATTACTACATATATCTTTTACTTGTATCTTGAAGGAAATAATTATGTATATGTTAATTACATCTTATTATTATATTAACATGATTTTTTGCAATGTTATAAACCTTTTTATACTTCATCCTGTACATTAAAATCTTTATTTATATTAAAAATATTATTGAAAAACTTATACATAAATAAATTTTATTGATGTTACGACCAATACTCGACATCAGAGTTTTATTTTAGATTTTATTTAAATTGGTAATATTTGAAATTCAATGTTCCGAAAATGTTATTCAGAAATTTTATTCTGTAATTATAGTCGGCGTAACTTTTGCGCGATAAATATTATATTGGTATACTTATTGATTGTTTATTGTTTAAACAATTGTTAAGTTTTCTTATATAAGATTCCTTTGTATATATTTGCAATAGTAACTACTGACTCTGTGTAATGTTACCTCTTTTCGAAGTTCGACATATGGTAAAATTAATTGTACCGTATGTATTTCTTCAGGGGCAATGATGCAAGAACTGGCTCAGGCTACATTCACATACGAGCAATTTCCCGAGGTAATGTCCATGTTATGGAAAAGGATGTTGCAAGAAAAACGGAATTGGCGTCGGATATACAAGGTACGGTTATTTTCATTATGGTCACATTTAGTTCGATCGTTTGATAAACGAATGCGTTAGTTAAAAAATTGTGTCTTTAATGGGACATTTGAACAACATTATATAAAAATAATTTTTTATATAATTACAATGTACAGATTTCGTACCTAAGGAGTTAATAGATTTTTGTATAACGATTAAGTTTGAAATTTAAAGCTGATAATCGCTTGACCGATACTTTTAGTATTCGTATCCTAATTGCATTTATTTAATGGATAATAAGATATTTTCTTGTCCTATAATAATGAAATAACACGTTATTTTTCATTTTGTATTATTATAAATTTATCATTTATTTAATCATAATTAATTAAATTTAGAATAAATGTCGTACTCTGCACTAACATCGCATGTCACTCTAACTTTTAGTGTTTAATTTTTTTTCTGATCCGAATCCGGAAAGAATAGGTCGAAACGTCGAAAATAATCTAAAATTTGTGTTTATCTATAATAATAAAGAAAGGAATTCATGCATTATGCAGAGTTCGAATGCAATCTGCCGATTTTCTTAATAGTTATTGTGAAATAGTAGCTTATAACCTGCACGTCATCTGGTGCTTCCGGTGTCACCAGGGTTTTTTCCGGTAGAGGTCGAGCGTCCCTTTTGTTAAGTATGCTAGCACGTGCCTTAGCTCATCTGTTGCAATCAAGTGAATAAACCTTCTTCAATCATTATTACTGCATTTTTTATTTAAGCCCAACAATTATAAATATTATATACACATACACATATACATATATAGGGGTCCCGTAGCATGTAGGATTCACTTCAGAGATGAATTCTACACTAGAAAACAATAATAAGAGTTCATATAAACACGTGCCCTATTTGACCCTATTTTCAAGCTATAGTCAGATCTGTGTTGGAATAATTTTTTCGAAAAATGAGGATAATTTAACTAATTCCACTCAACCATTTATAAACAGAGCCTAGTATCTGATATTCAATCTAGTATTTTAATTCTGTAAATACTTCCTGCGAACATTAGAGTACTAGATGTCAGATTATTAAAATACATGGTGTGTGAAAACAGGAACTTGTCTAGTCAACAAGTGGCAGATATGAACCTTGACCATGGGCTTATTATTATAAATAATACCTTGATAAATAGAGAGAGTAGGACAGCCAATGGCAGAATATCTTCATGCTTATGTTTAGATACAAGGAGGTCATTTTGAACACCTATTGTGAAGGTAAATAGGTTCAATGTGTTCAAGAAGAAACTTACTACAATTTGAAAATGGGATCAAATAGTTTGTGACACATGTTTATATGAACTTTTGTTATTGTTTTTTTGTGTAGAATCTATTTCTGAAGTGGATTGGATCCCACCTACTACAGGACACCCTGTCTAATAGTTATTTTCACTCAGCATTGATGAGAGTTATTATATAAAATACAATTGTATTGGAAAATTCACTTTTTCTATTTTCTAATAATTATTTGTTTTTTTTTTCCAGTCACTCTTACTTTTACATTATCTAGTTCGCAATGGTTCCGAGCGAGTGGTTACATCATCTAGAGAACACATTTATGATCTTAGATCTTTGGAAAATTATACTTGCACAGACGAATTTGGAAAAGAGCAAGGGATAAACATTAGGCATAAAGTTAGAGAATTAATTGACTTCATTCAGGATGATGACAAGTTACGAGAAGAGAGAAAAAAAGCTAAAAAAAATAAGGACAAATATGTAGGTTTATCCAGTGAAGCAATGGGTATGCGATTTGGTGGTGGAGATAGGTGGACAGACAGTCCAAAATGGGGTAAAAGTAGTATAAATGCTTACAATGATTGGGATCGAGAAAATCGAGGAAAACGTTTTGAAGATACAAATAACAGGTAGATATTAACATAAATATATTCTTTAAACATTACTTAAATATCTTTAGCATTATTTATTTTTTGCTTGTTTGTGATAGTGACGATGGTGAAAGAGAGGACTCAGATAATGATGTTCATCCAAGTCCAAAAAGGGGAGGTAGAGAATATAGAGATACAATGGATAATACAGATCGTGTTAGTAAAATTACTTCTGTGTCAACAACTTCCACAAATGCTTCGCCGGCACGAATGCCACGAACTATTAAGAAAGTAGATTTAGGGGCAGCTGCAAATTATGGAAAAGAACAATCTAATGTAAGCAAAGAAATATTAACCTCTCCGACCCGATGAACATATACCGTATGTCGACACGATTCATTACATGCGGCCGATGGACATACACCGTATATTTTGATTCGACCTTAACAAATTTGCGATTTTTACCAACGTATGAAACATATTTTGAATGAAAATTATTTCATTGTAACATTTAAACATGTTGTACATTAAGTTCATGTATTTATTAGATACATTTTCTTATTTTATCTTTTTTAAATATTAACCCTTTCGCTACGGGCGGGTTCTCCGCCGCGGTACTCCCGCTGAACGGACCGCCGCGCCAAAAATGTGCACGGTGCTCAAGTAAGATCGTCAGCGGCCGCGTTTACGCTTCACTGCAACCCGAGTTGGTTTGACGGTGTTTATTGAAAAAGCAAACTTAAATGATAAAAACAAAATACTGATGTTACATTCCAGGAAAAGATACTCGATGTGAAATAACTTCAATCGCTGGTCATATATGCAATACGCGGTATCTTATGCAGGGCGGCTAAAGTCGCCTGTCGTATGTCAATTGCATTTTATGAAGCGCGACTGTAGTCGCCCGTAGTACATCAGTGGCATTTTATGCAGAGCAACTATAGTCGCCCGTAGTAGCGAAAGGGTTAAGAGAGGATAAAGCAAATCCTTTGATTTTTCACTTTCATATCTAATGCTTTCGGGGGAATTTTCTTTCGCTCGAAAAAGGTTTCAAATGTTACCGCTATCCGAAGTCAGTCAGTCAGGAAACGATTTGTTTATTTGAAGTCTTGATAAAAGTTTTATATTCAAACTAAAATGCTAGCAATTCGAATTATTCATTATTTTATTATGTATATATAATGATAGAAGAAACCGTATTCGAAAACTATGATTCATTTAACGCGTTATATTCAAATCTATGCCGGTCAGTTTCAGGTTGCATAGTATCGGCTGCGTGTGGAGATACGCGATATGAATGTGCACGGTCGGAGGGATTAATTATTAAAGATTGTAGTTAGCGTTATTGATGTAGTAATTATAATTGACGAGCATTAATTATAATAGTACAAATTGAAGATTCTAAATGATATTAAATTTACAGAATGGTATATCTGGATCACAAAATAACTCTTTGACTTTACCTATCAAACAAAAAAGTAAAAATGACATTCTAAATGATATCTTTGATTCTCAAAATGAGAATAATACCAAATCAGTTGATGATGACGATGATTTTAATCCAAGGGCAAATACTCAACCTACTGTACAAAGTCCAAATGCAAACGTAGACTTTGGAGATTTTACTAGTGCATTTGGCAGTCCTACTGTGAAAACGAAAGACAGTAACGATGAATTTGCAGATTTTACATCTGCTTTTAATGCTTCTGTAACAATATCTAATTCTCCGGTGCAATCGCAATTGCCACAAACACAAATAAATTTGATAGGAGCAACAATACCAAATATTAATAGTCCTGTAACTGGCAATGCGAATAATACAATGTTTATGAATACCCAGTCAATAAGCACACCTTCTTTTGCACCTATAACTTCTGGAAACGCACTTCCACAAAATTCTAATGTGAATAGTAATCTGTTTGATACTTTACAACCACAAGTGCTCAGTAATCAACAAACACTGAATAACAATGCAGGTACATTATGGATAACTATTAGTTTGTATTAAATTGTTATTCACGATCAAAAAGTATATGGATTTTAATATAAAACTATTCTTTTTTAGCACCTACGACTACAGATCTTTTATCAGATTTAGGTACTTTAAATTCTGTAACTACTAGTTCTATTGATAGGCAAACGAACACCACAGACAACTCCAATCTTTTCATGAACATGAGTTCACCACCTATGATTAGCCATGGAGGTAAGCATATTATATTCAGTTATATTAATGCAATTATAATTTTATGATTTAGCAATACTTAATCGATCAAATTAATAGTATCTAAGAAATATTTATTACATTCTAATATAATTAGAGATTGTGATCGTATAAACAAGAGCACATTCCGAAAGCAAAATTTTTGTTCTAAAAATTACAGTACATCAAAAACATTAAATAATCGCAAACATTTATTTGTTTGTTTCTGCTGTTAAGCCGTTTAAAAGGATGAAACATTTTTTCAAAGTTCATTGCCTGAAATAGTCTCTTTATAATTAATTTCAAACTAATTATTGAATTTGAAAATCTAAAATAACATCAAAATACAAAAATTAGTCCTTTAGCAACTTTGTACCCCATCAATTTCAGTTATTAAAAATAAAATTTGTTTCTTTAAATTATAAATTAAAAATTCAGTAATTTGTGTCTAAAACATTTTTCGATTTAACAAATAGTTTATGATTAATTGTGGATTAATTTTGAAAAAAGCTTTGTCAAAAATAACAAAAACATCTAAATTTTTTCAATATTCTATAGATTTATTCTGGTTATATTAAAAAAAAAAACATTGTTTCTTTGTAAATACATTTCTGTATTACTAAATCATAAAAGGATTTAAAATGCATTTAATATTATAAAAAAAGAATTTTTATTACACTTGTCTTGTATTGCTTATTAGTTCAAAATTATTTATACTATATTTTTATTTGGAAAAAGCATATAAATTTTTATTACAAAATTTTATGCATGCCATATTTAATCTTGAGGATGCATTTAAAGATAATATAATATCCCCAAAAGAGACTTTCCTTGCAGCATACAAGATAGAAGAAAGCTTCATCACTTCAGCTGAAAATCTTTCAAAACATGCTGCACATCGACTTTTGGGAGAATTATGTTGTATGGGTCCTATCAAAAGCCATAACAGTTTGAAAAAACTAAAGTCGTATATTTCTGATTATATAAAATTCTTACCAGGCTCGTATACACCACAAAAACATACTATGCTTGATTCTGATCCTGAAATTGATTTTATGTTACATGGAAGAATTTTAGAAGAAATTATCGAAAAATTTGATCCTAATTGGCCATTGCAAGAAAATACATTAGATCCAATAGTTAAACGTTTAATCATTGTTGACGGCGCTACTTTATCGATCTTTGCTGAATCTTTATCAGCATTAAATTTTGCTTTAAAACAAACTGAAGATGAGAAAAAGATGTTTACTATTTCAATAATTTTTGAATTATTAATGAAAAGTGATTCTTTGTTTTCTGCAATAATAAATGTATGCAAATGTAAAACTCAAAATGTAAGACAAGAAGAAGAGATGGATCAGATATGGCGAAATACAGTACAAATTTTAATTTCATTACCGAATCGTATAGCTAATAAACTGAAAGATAAAACATTTGATACTTTTCTTCCTCAAATGTATTTTAAGATTATAATATTTCATATTGCCCGTGCAATATCGTTTATAAATACTGGATTGTATTATGGTGTCTATTCAGAGATAAAACCACTTTCAGTTTTAATCAGTAAATTGATAATTTCTACAAAACCAGAAAATTTGTTGCCCTTGACACATATTTTAGCGGAATGGTGTTTTCAAAATAAATATAATATACAAGCTTTAGTACAAGATATACTAAAAACATTAGATACACCAAGTATAGAACCAATAGCTGTGTTATTTTTAAAACATAGCAATGTAAAATTTGGAATTTATCGAATTTTTGGCGACGTGTTATCAAATTCAAATTGGAAATACACATTAACAACGAAAATTCCTTTAATGCGTTACTATAATGACGAAAATTTAGTAATGAATCTGAGCTCGTATTTATCGCAATTTTTAAATAAAAATCATATTCTGGTTGAATTATTAATGAAACTTCTTGATGTTTGGGGCGATAGAAGTGCTTTGAATCATACTTCAGTGGATCAACATAAATACATTTCGAAATTAATAATTATGTGTATGAAGAAATCAACAAATTACTTAAGTAGAGATGAAAAGGATAGTATCCAAAGATTGTTGTTTTCTGGTATATCAGTTCATCTTGAATGTTCACATATTATTTTAAGAGCAATAGGAATGTGCATTGGTGAAATTTTCACTAATGAATTATCTGCATCAGATGACGCGCCAAAGCTTTCTTTTGAATATAGCAATATGCCAACTGATGTAACAGATTTAGTTCAGTCTTTAAAAGAATTAGATACATTAACAGAAAATTCAAAAATAATGGAACATACTGTAGAAAATGATTTAATTTTGGATGATATTGAATTTGACACATTAGGTGATAAAAAACTATACGAGCTGGGTGTGGAATGTAGCTGTATACCTAAAAAAACAATAGAAATAAAAGATAGTAATAAATGTGCAGAAACTTCTACGAAAATAATTTTGAAAGAATCAGTAACGACACATGTAACAATGTCAAAAAATAATGCATCAATCAAGAGCAACATTGAAAATGATTCAGAATTGGATAGTGATGATGATTTAGTGCCATACGATATGTCTCACGATACGAAAAGTATTGAAAAATTACGTCCAGCCTATTTACGAGATCTACGTGATAATTTAATAAATGAAAAAAATTCAACAAATCCAGATATCTTTTCAGAATCATTAGAAGTTTGTGAAGAATTAATATTATCGCAGTTACCAAGCGATGATGTATCTTTTAGTATTGAATTATTGGAACTTCTTATCACACTTAAAGAAACTTGTTATGTACAAAATTTTGACGTATTAATATTTAAATCTTGTGTAGCTATAGTAACTGTGTATCCCAAAGAATGCGCTGCATTTTTATGTCAACAATTTTATACAGAAGTTAATAAATATTCTATAAGTCAGCGATTACTGTTTCTAGATGTTTTGGCAGAATCGGCAAGAAAATTATCAAGTATTCCAGTTAATCAAAATAAACAGAATACAATCAACACCACAAAGCAAAAGCCAAGAAAAAACGAAATGTCAAACAAAGTATCACTTTTTATTAATACTGAAAAAAGTCAGCAGTATAATGTACTTTACAATGATGATTTTGAAGAATTTGAAAGGGCAGAAACTCAAATTGTGGATTGGCGAGAAATTGTTGATAAAAGAATTGAATTAAATACAAAAAGATATACACATAGTACAAAATCTTCCAAAACATTTGAAAATAAATTTGCAAATGTTGCATTCTCGTTTTTCTATCCACTCTTGTATAATTTCGGTAAACAGGGAACTTGTTTAAATAGTGGATTGCAGATTTTCTTGGATCAAGAAAACATCTTATTAATTCGATTTCTCAAAACTTTATCTACAGTAATGGTAGCAGCACAAAATTGTTTATTAGCTCCAAAAATGGGAAAAGAAATCTTGGAATTATCATGGTCCCTGCGATATCATGATCAAGCAAAAGTTAGAGTAGCAGTAATAGAAAGTGTTGCAGCTGTACTTATTTCAGTATCAACAAATGCAATCATAAATGAATTATTTGTAACTATTATTGAAATAAGACTATGGCTTTTAGATTTGTCTCAAAATGTAATTAGTGGTGATCATGACAAAGAATGCAGAAGTTTAGGTGCTAGAGTGGTATCTTTGATCAATTCTATTATAAGTTCTATATATAAAAGTTAATTATTAAAAGAAATTGGATAAGATTTTCGTGAATGCATTCTAGTATTTTCAAAACAATGAGACGAATATTGTTGAACTATTCGTATAGTTCACTCTAGAATTTGATAGTGCATTTTTGCATGCCATTTAAGATATGAATGAAATAAAGTAAAATAAAATAGTACAGTGAATGTTGTATTTTGATTCATTATTTGTCATACACGAATAAAAGTTTAAATGTCGACTAAAAAGTATAATTTATGGTACATAATGCGGTTTATAAAATTTAGATAATTTATTTTTTCAAGCGATTGTAATAAGTCAGTATAATATCATATATTAAATAAAAAATTATTAACTTCTAAACATTTAACCTTTTTGCCATTTAATTAGTTAATGTAATGTAGATGCAAAAATATAATAAAGTACTGAAGAGAAACGTGTGTTATTAAAACTAAAGGAAATGTCACATTTAGGAACAATTGGATTACCATCTGTTACAAATCTTCTAACTCCTACATCTACCAATTCCAAAAATCAAATGTCAAGCAATACATCTACACAAGTTGGTTCTACATGGGCATCTTCAGGATTGAATATAGATCTTGACAATATAATGGGAAGTAAAGCTAAACAAATGGGACCTGCACCAACAATGAATCAAATGGCAAGCAATAGTCCACAACATCAAATTAAACTTACATGTAAGTGAATCATAAACTATAGCTTTTTAACTTGGTATGGTACAAATAATACTGATATCTAATATAATATTTAAAATTCTGTAATAGTACAATAAACTCTTCAAAATTCAATTTACATTGTGTTTCTTTGAATTCGAAACGTTGGAATATGTCGCGTGGGTTTAAAGTTATAAAAGAATATTCTTAACAAAAATTATTTGATATAAAGAAGGACACTATACAGTATAAATGTTATTTTTGTAGGTGACATAGTGGAAATGACCTTAATAAATTCATTAGACTACAATAAGATGAACTTCAAATGATCTTGAGTATAGACATGTTAGTACATGAATACTTTAAATATCTTCGTACTTCTAGGTGGTACAAAAAAATGTCAGAGAAGGAAAATATTTAGTCTAAAGGGACAAAGGTTATGATTGGTAAAAAAATTTACCTTGAGAACACTTTCAACATTTCAAAGTCATTGGTACTATTTTTATCACTGTGATATTATAATTAATGTCAAGATCAATTCAATGATGCGTGATAATATGATTTCAAATAACCTTGAGGACCTAACATAGCCAAGGTCATTTGAATCATACCATTATCCTATTTGAAAGCAATGTAAACATTTAAGGTCATTTTATTACAGGTCAATGAATTTGTTACGGAATGAGCTATACGCTCGTATAAATAAAAACATATAGTTCCATATAATATCTCTCTTTATACCAAATAATTTTTGTAAGAATTTTTTTTTGATAATTTTAATTTTTCACGATATTCCACTGCTCCTAGTTCAAGGAAACATCATGTTAGAAAAGAAAATTTGTATCATAAAAAGTGTTTTGTTAAAAACTAATTGCATTAAATTACTACACATCAAAATAAAAAAACAAAACTGAATTTTTCTATTTAGTAAAACAGAATATTTTAATTTTACAATTTAGATGAACAAGAAAAGGTTTCTATTGTGTCCTTATTTTGTTTAATATTCCAACTTCGATTAATTGAATTTTACATCATGCAATATACAATATATTGTATTGTAAATTGTGTAAAAGTAGTTATTATATGACAAAGAAAATATAATTATTTTAGCAACACCAACAATGGGATATGCATCACCAATGATTCAACCTCAACAGCAAAAACAGCAACAAGTAAATCCAGCATTTTTTCCTGCATTTCAATAAACTCTTAAGTAAGTGAATGTTGATACGAAGGCATAAATGGAGTTAAAATAAATTTTCTATTTTATGGGCGGAGCAGTTTAAGTATATACAGGGTGCAGCTGTAAACAATTGCATATTGTAAATGTCAGAGCAAAATGATCGATGAAATATACATTGCATAATCATGTGTTCATATAAAGTTGAAAAGGTATTTTCAATTTTTGAATTTTGTATATTATAAGTCTCAGTTGATCAGTTTGTTAATATTCCGCTGTATGAATTTTGTTACTGTCATTTTACTATCATCTAACAATTACTAAGGAAAACAATTTATTGAAAAATATACATATAATCGTAATAAGTGCTTCCCTGTTATAGTTAGTTTTGCACGAAAGAAAATTATACAAAATTATAGTATTTAAGGAAAATAGATGAATATGAATGCATGATGCAGGATACAAGACCTTATTACCTTAAAAAGAAGCACAGAAGCACAAAATCGGCGCAACGGAACGTTTTCGTGCTTTAAAAGCGCTCCACTCAGCATGGTGATTTATTAATATTATATGTTTATGGTCCATTGTAAATTATTTAAGGACTTTGTAGTTGCGTAATTATATAGTTATGCAAAATTTATCATCTTTGTGATTGAATGATATTCTAGAATTTTTGTAAAGTAGACGAGGAAAGTAAAAATTAAATAGCACTTCCTTAGTTACTTGTTACTAACAATGAAAAAATGCATATCTTTCCGGGTAATTGTTTATGCGATTATTAAGAAAAAAAATAATTATGAATAATTAATCATTAACCATTAGATTATTAAGTCATATTTCCTTTACGTGTGCTGTTTATTAGCAATGATTTCATAAATCTTTGCTGCATGATACTGAAATATATCATAAAATAGGTTTGTTATAGAATATTTATTATTAATGAAAGAATGTTGAAAAAATTGTCTGCATGCTATATTCGTTATTTTTATTTTAATACAATAGATATTATGTTCTGTTATTTATAAAGTAGAAAAAAAATTTAGAAGTTATTTCAGAATTTGCAGCAAAGTTCAGATTTATATTTATACGTATTCTTGAATGAATGATTTAGGTAATCTGTTGCTTTCACAGAACATGTACTATACTATTAATATGTATAGAATAAGAATCCTAACATCGTGTTTTATATGGTTGAAAGTATTTTACATTTATCAAACAGTTTTATTGTTAAGTTGTTATCAAATTCTATTTCGATTCTCATAAAGTTGATCTGGAATTACAGGCTTCTATGCAAATATCAGAGACTGAATCGTGTAAGGGAAAAATGGATCCTTTACATTTTCCATTATTTGAGCATTTTATATGAAACAAAATGTTTGATGTAGATGGGAATATATTTTTAAAGTGTTAAAATATACATATGTATGTATGTATTATTGTACAAACATAAACAAGTATAGTTAATATGAATAAGTGCGGTAATCGATCAAACCGCTTGAATAATAATACAGAGGCACGATTACAGTCTGGAATTCAGAGGCCTTTATATGAGTCAAACTCGATGAAAATTAGAATCATGGAAATTAAACAATCTTTTTCTGTTAGTGAATAAGTTTTATAAATTTTTACACAAGATATTGGTAAAAAGTTATATATTCAAAAACTTTTATTAATTTTACATCTGAGAAATAGGAAACAAAAGTGATATGTATTGTCTCATTGAAATACGCATTCTTAATTCCTGTTTAAATGTAAACTGTATTTTTATGCTATTTGCGCGCGATGATATTGTTCATTGTACGTTTTACAAATAGAACTCGTTTGTTTTATTTAATTACACGTCGTTAATGAAATTTTTTAATTTGCATCATTGTTATGAGTACACTTATAAAATTTATTATGTGTACTATCGTATATGTGTGAAACGAGTTATAATTACTTACGTGTATATAACAATTTCAAAAGTACTTTTTATTGTTCTTTATATATGTATATATATAATTGCATTTATTATCAAAGTATTTTTAAAATAACAAGTATTACATTGAAACCATTAAGCAATATTAATCAATATGTACTGGTACATATCAATATTAATCGCGCGTATAGAGTTCATAGTTAAAAGTTATATGCCTTACACAGATTTATGTATAAAACAATAATACAGCATTGAAAGTCATTGTTCCTCTGAAATAATTCGGGACAGTCATGTCACTTACAATATACATATACATACGTGCGAATGATAACCAATGGCTCACTTGTCGGTTTCTGACTGAATATTGTTTACAGTAGCCGCGATATTTGTAATTATTAATTCTTCAGGTATTTATACTTGCATCACAGTTTTATCGTTATTAAATATGCTCATTGGTGCTGGTGTTAATAAGAATTCTTAACTATTATAATTTATTCACTTTTAACATCACAAAGTACCTTTCCCTTATATTATTGGCGATTTCCAATTTATTATCCTTTTGTATACTATTTCATATTAAAGTTGAAGTTTAATCTTGTATTCCTGTAATATACAATATTTTACTACATACATTTCAAAGTAAACGTATAGAAATTAGGGTTGGATGGATTCCCCGACATTTTGGGGTTGGGTCGCGCCTCAAAAGTTTGCGATATTTTGAAATTTTCGGGTATTGACATTGAAGTCGGCTCAAATAGTGCTTAAGTAGAGTCGATTTACAATTTACAATCAATCGAAAACGTTGTTGAGTAAATGCAGATTGAATACTCTTACTACACCTGCTATTTTTGTCATTGACAGTGGCAGCAATATTGTAAATGCAATAGAATTCAATAAAGATTGAAGAAAGAATAAGTGTAAAATTGTCGATTCGACCTAAGCACTACCTGACCCGACTTCGATGTTGGGTACCAGAGTACCACAAGCTTTCAGGGTCCAACCCGACTCGAGGCTCGGGTACCCGCCCACCTTTAATAGAAATATAGTTGAAATTCTTCAAAGTGCAATACAGTGTAGTTCTGTTTTTCTGTACTTAATCAATTATTAATTTGTTATTTACTTGCATTTTTAGATTTCTGTATTTGTTAGTTTGTAAAAGCATTTATAAGCAAATACAAAGCCAAGAATAATTCGCATTTTAAGTAATTTTTTAAGAAAGTATTAATTTTAAAACGCTACTCAATGTCAGAAAAGGTGTAAGTTTAAAAGAAGTTCGAAAATGATGGGCATAACCGACCATTGTCAGTTAAGTAAACAAAATTAACGAATCACGAAAAAAACTTTTACTCGGACAAATTTTACATAACTAAAAATTTCATGCTATACTTTATAAAAAAAAATATACATATATGAAGAATAAGTTGGATGGATATAATAATACTTGGGGAATGTTTTTGCTTATTAAAATATGTTTGTATTAAAAATGTCTGGAAATCAAAGTTTGATTACTATCTAATTATACTCGATCAGATTGTACTGTACGAGTGCAATAACTAAAAAGATAATAATATACAATGAATTGAATAATTTTTAATTATGAATAAAATGACAAATCCAAATATAAATACATATACATTTATTTCTAATACTGCACGTATTAAAGTAAAAGAAAAAACTGGATATAATACAAGAAGGGAGTAATGTACAGTATATGTGTATATAATTATTTAAGTTACAAAAAATTATATTTAACAGTTGTTTTTTTTCATAAAATTATACACATTTTGAAAAAAATTTCAAGAGTCAAGTAATACGTTAGGTACATGAAAAATACGTCTAAGTTATAATTGAATATAGCTGTCATGTTTTTAACATAACTTTAAAAGTAAAATATTTAATTAATAATAAATCAAATAATAATTTGGTAGATTACAATTACAATTGAAATTATTTAGAAGACACAATCTATTTAAAGTTTGAACTTAATATGTAACTTACACAGCTCATTGACTAAAGAAACTTATTACAATCAACATACCATTATAGTTACAGAGAGACTCGAAATACAGTTTTTATTCGTCTTCAGTTATGCTTTTTGACTTTTTCTTCTTTTTCTTTTTCTTTACCGGTTCTTCAGTTTCATCTTGTATGCCATTCTCAACAAACCCATTTTCTGTTCCATTGTTTGTTCCATTTTCTAGAACATCGCTTCTTTTCCTTTTCTCTTTTTTCTTTTTCTTTTTAGGTGATTCTACTTGCATACTTTCTATTATATGTGCAGCTTCTTGTAATGCTTCTTTCATTACGTCTATGTTTTTCTTAGGTACTTCACCAGTTTCATAAAATTTCAATCTATCTTCTACTTGTTGCCGCAACTTTTCGCCAAACACATTAGTTGGCGTTTCAGTAAAACAATCGATTCTTGATGCTATAGAACATTTATTTGCAAGATACCTTGATATCCTACCCTTATTTTTCGTACCGGCACGACCAATGAATGTTGAATGAAACAGTAATCCATATTTTGGAGTATTGCCCTTTGTTTTTAATGCTCTAAACAAAGCCTTTTCTGCTCCCAGTATTTGTACAGTAGAAGCCGGATATTTGGCTAAATTTGTAAGAGAACCAGCATGTGCTATTAATCTAGCTCCTACTTGGTCGCCAATTAATGTAGCCAAATTGGGAGCTACTCCAGCCATCTTAGATTTCAAATATTCTGATAATTGCTTTCTGTAATCAGCTAATGCAATAACACGTGCTGCAAACATTTCAATATTAAGAAGATCAACAGGACTAATATCCATTCCCATAGATGATTTTGATGCATCAATAATTGCTTGAGCTTTAGCACTGTCCATAACAACTTCTTCCAAAGCTTCTAATTTTTCTTCCGTGAGTTCTTTTCTATTTTTTATTAATTGTGCAACTTTGGCATACATGTAATTCTCAGGAACTATTTTCACAAGTTCTGGGAAATGATAACTGTACCATTCCCTACAATTATACAATACGATATACACATAAACATAAATTCTACTCAAATATATATTATTTTATCTATAATTTGGAAAAATTGAATTACATATTGTAAATGCTTACCTTATACGCATGCTAAATGTGTTTATGTCTTTATCCAATTGATCTAATAAAGCAATGCTTTGTATGATCATATTATCTACACGATTTACATTAAATTTCACTTTAGCCCTGGAATAACTATGACCTAATCCTAGTTGCGCAACACCAGAACTTTTAGCTGTGAAACCTTTTACCAAATTATGGAAATGAAATCTAATCCCTCTAATAATTTCTGGAACAGCGCCAGTATGATCGCATTTTATATCCAATGCTTCTGTGATACTAGCACCAAGTTTTGGATCAGCAACACCAAGAACAACTTTCTCTTTTTTTCCTGCTTTTGGTATACATGAATCTAGGAATAACTGTAAATCTTCTGGAACAATTCCTTCAGAGACATTATTTATATTTTCCAGAGCAGCCAAAGCAGTTTTAAAAGGTGAAAATCCAATAAGTTTGACGACTGCATTAAAACGCGACAGATCCGTGACAGATGCTTCAACCTGAGGCATTAACATTCCTACCTCTTCAAATTCCTTAACGGCAAAGACAGCATAGCCAGCAGCATGCTCGAATAAGACAAACAGCTTCGACTGAAACATTTAGATTGCAAACAATTGTTTAGAATGATGGTTCTTAACATTTTGACTGCCACGTTGGTCACACATAACCAGCCACGGATTCTCCCGTGAGACCATGTTGGTCATCAGTGACCGGAGCGCTTGAACTACTTACAATTGTAAGAGTTGAATGAAAATTGACACTTGGTGCATTCTGAAAGTAATCGCTAATTAGAAGATACTTTTGAAATAACAAGTGCCCCATTGAGCAATTAAAAATTTTCATTAGAACATTAAAAATAAAAGATTAATTTCTATGAAATCTTGCATCTGGTGGTGCACATCTGTGGCGACCTGAGCAAAACATGTGATTTTGGCGTGGCAGTCAAAGGGTTAACAAGTTCACGACAGGCTGAACCATTGATGGATTTGTACCGGTACATGGTACAAATTCAGGCCTGTCGTAAACGTGTCAATCTTTCAGTTATTATAAATAAATAAACACAGCTGCAGCATCTATAATCAACCTATGATTTAGAGTATTGCAATTATTTAAATTTATCGCAAAAATTTTCTACTGCTGCTAATGTAAAAGACATTAAAACTATTTATTTCTTTTATAGAAACATTTTATAAAATTTATCTTTATTATTCAAAATTGTATTAGTTTACAAGAATGTTAAACTTAATTTGAATGTAAAATATCTTTATAAGGTTCTATTTAATATCATGGATACGAAACAATATGTTTCACAGATATACTTAATGAACAATATCATATGGAAACACAATTCATTGAGAATATTTCAAGTATTTTTACACGTGTTTTTATAGACGCTAAAATGAAACTTTCTGATGTCTATATTCGTACCACGCATGTTTCAGTATTTGTTATTTCGTTAAAAAATCTGTATTTTCAAATACAAATACGTGAAAATAATATTTTCATTTTATTTGAAACAGAATACCTATAAAATTAAATAAATTGCAACTTCAGGCATCTTTATATTTAAGCCGAAACATCGTATAAAAAGTTCTGTTTGTACGTAATCTCATAAAACAGTTATACCAAAAACAAAGGTTATAGGTATAATAGTTGCGCTGACTTACCATATTTCGTTTATTTTGTATTCCATTCAATATTTCGAACAATTACTACACAAATCCGAAATCGTAGTACTATGGTTAGAAAATGAGCATGTGTTCCGGATATAGTACGATTTCAGATACAGTATAAACAGAAGGAAAGATGGAGTTTGTAATGTTTCCTGGGATTTGAACTTATACTGATATTTTTGTACAAAATTTGTTTAATTTTAAAATCATTAATTTAGATTCGAATATACTGCGACTTAAAAAGAACACGTTCTTAGAAATTACATTAATTTGTTAAAATTGTATTTATTTCACGATTTGTATTTTAAGCATTAGCATTTATGTTTTAGTTTCGTGGTTAAGTTCTACGCTCCCGTTTTTGTTATGTGTCGAGTGGATGTTCCTATCTTGTACAATACTTAAGTTGTATTGAAATCAATTTATATTTAGTATATCGTTAGTTTAAACAATATATAAATCTATATTACTACTCCGAATAAATATATTGTTGCTCTATTGTTAAGAGCAAATACGTTTCTTAAAATGTATGTGATTGTTTTACTATTTGCAGGTTATGTTTATTTCCATTATGTAGTGTATACGGTAGAGTATTATCTTTCCCTTTCTTTTCATTTAAGTATGGAGTCTCGGACAGAATTTAAAATAAAATCTCCTCCGACCGATGCAATTTCGGCAGTGGAATTCGGACCGAACTCAACGCAGTTTCTTCTTGTCTCATCATGGGACAGCACAGTGCGACTGTATGATATTCATGCAAATACTATGAGATTAAAATATAATCATGATTTGCCAGTTCTAGACGTTGCATTTCAGGTAATTATAAATTTATCGAATACTTTTTAACCGATAGCTTTCTATGTAATAATGCATTTATTATAGAAATAAATGAGTTATTGTGCTTATGTTTATTTGAAACAGAAAAAGAGCGAAAGAAAAAAAAAGTATAGCACTGACAAAATAATGTAAGTTAAAACTTTGCGTGGTAAGGAAAACTAAAGTAAAAGTAATGAGAAAAATTATGTGTATTTTTTAGATATCCATAAGTAATACTATATGCATATTATCAGACAAACGTATTTGGACAGACATCTTTTATTGTGTAATTTCAGTATGTGGTACAATACGTAATTAATTAATTAATGTACAAAGAGAGGGATGGTATGTATATCATAATAAAATTAATAAATTGTTGCAACAAACATAGTCTCAGAATTAAACAAAATTAAATGTGATAAAAATATTCTACAATATTTATACATTAACACTAGGTTTACAGAGCGTGTCAGTTTGACACATTCAGATTCTAAATCTAACGTTACAGAACTCGTGTTAGCAATTTATGTTGAATTTAATTGATGCAATGATATGAATGTATACCCTAATTAAGAGAAAAACTTCATTTCAACGTAACTGTCAACACAGTGAATTACAATAAAAATATGCGCAATAAGCCTTTGTAAACTTAGTATTAATAATACATCTTTTTTTACTGAATAAACAGTATGCTTCAGAATGACTAAATGTCAAGAAACTTTGAATATTAATTATCCATTTATTAAATTATCGATGATTTTTTCTTTTAAAACTTTTGATAAACTTGTGTCTTGTACCATGTTGAAATAGGTTTAGAAAAAGGATATAATATGATATTTCAATAAAAATCATGTTTTAGATTATAATTTATGCTTGTAAATTGGTCATCCAAAATGTCCAGTTATAAATAGATAAACTTACTATATGCGTCATAATACATAGTTTGTCTGATACCTACTTACAAAATGTTCATGTCTGAATACATTTGTCTGGTACTGTATTTATAATACAATATAAACATAGTGTTTAATACAATGTAATCTACAGATATATTGAGCTTGACATTATTGTTTAGTTATATGATTGTACTTGTAATCTAATTTGTTGTCATTCTTTTGGAATACTGTAATAAAAAGTTGTTTTTATACAGGATGCTGTGCACGCTTATAGCGGAGGCTTGGGAAATACATTGAAAATGTATGATATCAACAGCAATACTGGTAAGAAATAATTTTTAAATTCTTATTTCTAACTATAGCAAGTCACAGAATTATTTATGTACTCTCAATTGTTGACTTTGGAAAGTATATATTTTTTTTATAATAAACGTTTCAAGACCCTCGCCAACAAATACAGGTTATTTCAGAAGTAAACATAAATACTTAAGGATCTAAATCTACTTACTAAAAGTAGTAAAAAATAACATTTTCTTATCCAGAAAATCAATTTTGCAATATGTTTATCTGTGCAAACAATTAAATCCGAATTGATTATTGCACATTCTACTACCGGTTGTATCTATCCAAGGTAGTATTTATGAATATTAATAATGTGGTTAAAGCAATACGAAGTATTTCTACTGATTAGTTGCCTTTTTATTCCTCAGTAATTTACAAGTATGACTGAAAATGTCATTGCTATTACTGCATACATAAGTGTGCTCGACGAATTAACAATGCCTGAACGGAACATAAATGTTTTGACGCTTTCTAATCTTTCTAATCAGTCTCAGCTGCTGTTTGCTTCACTCTTTGTATGACTCTCCAATCAGCATGTCAACGATTAAGAAATCACTTTTAGTAGTATCTATCTACTTGTGACAGTAGTACCATCACAAGCTCCTAAAACAAACAAGTAAACAAATATCAACATATTCTCGGTTAGAATACCTTGTTGTAACTTGGCGATAACTTGAGACAAATAAAAAAAAATGAACTGTTACGCAGTCTGATAAACTATGACTTCTGTCGCACCTTGCACTACGTACACACATTTCGCAATGATACATATCGTTGTCAATGTTTATAAACACTATCTCGGACGGATACAACCGGTAGTAAAATATATGATAATAAGAACGTATTTAATTACAGTTGAATAAACATCAAAATCGATATTCTCGAAAATAAAACACTTGATGAAAAAATGTTAAACCAAATTCTTAATTTTTTATGTAGAATCACCTCCTGCCCGAATATACTACGGTTTGCGATTCACTCAGTATAATCAGCTTATTAAAAGAAACAATTATTTCATAAACAAACCCAAAATTTTCGGGTCTTGATCCAAATTCAAGAAAACTATTCAAATTGATCCAAACCGAAATGTCAAATATCCGCATACCCCTATTTGTTATACAATTTTTATCTATAAATTGATATTGTTCAAAGTGAAAGTATACGTATAACAAAAAATAAAGTTTCATTGAAATCCATTCGATCGATTAGGAGCAATCATATACCCCAACGTATATACGCACATAAGTTTAAAAATGTTTCTTTTTTTAATAGTGAAAATGTGATCAGGAGATTTTAATACATGTTTTTCTGTAACAAAAACATTTTCGTAATTACTTTCGTTTATGATACTTTACTTCTTTATAGATCAGAAAGTACAAATATGAAATTGATAGTCGAGAACTGTTAAAATGAAAGCTAATAATAATTTTAAGTACTGTAGAAATAAAATATATCAAACAATCGACTTACAATATATCAGAGTTTAAAATCTGCTATTAAATCTAAACCTGATATAAAAAAAATATTTACTCTCAAAATGCTGATTATTTTTAGTATCTTCTGCGCGAGTCACTTTTGTAACTCAGTTTGTTTATAATTTATTTGTAATATGGTTTACATCAATTGAAAGTTTAATTAATATATAATGAATTTTTATTGATATAATGTGTATTTTAAAAAGATCTCAGCAATCTGAACTTAATATTTCTTTGACTTACTATGTGTTCATAAGAGCATGGAAAATACAATGAAAACAAATTGTTTTGTAGAATCAATAATGGGAACACATGATAAACCAATTAGAAAAATTGAATACTGTGCTGCAGTAAATGCAATATTAACTGGGGGATGGGATGCAGCTGTAAAACTTTGGGATCCTAGAACACCCACTTGCGTAGGTAGTTATTTACAACCAGATGTTGTTCTTGCTTTATCCGTGTGTGGAGATAAATTTGTAGTAGGTACAGCCAAACGAAAAGTTTGTATTTGGGATTTGAGAAACATGGCTGGTATGTTTCAAAGACGTGAAAGTAGTTTGAAGTACCAGACACGTTGCATCAAAGGTTTTCCTAACGAGCAAGTAAGTTTAATTCTTTGTTAATTATTCAAAAAGTATTTTATTAGTAATGTCTTAATTTTTTGTTACTGACTTTCAGGGATATGTTCTTAGCAGTATAGAAGGTCGTGTCGCTGTTGAATATCTTGACACTACACCAGAAGCACAGAAAAAGAAATATGCTTTCAAATGTCATAGGATTAAAGAAAATAACGTAGAACATATATATCCAGTGAATGCTATTAGTTTTCATTCAACATATAATACGTTTGCAACTGGTGGTTCAGACGGTTATGTGAATATTTGGGATGGTTTTAACAAGAAGCGCTTGTGTCAATTTCATAGATATAATGCTGGTGTTGCTGCCCTTAGTTTTAGTCACGATGGTTCTGTACTTGCTATAGGAGTATCATATTTGAACGAAGCTGAAATTCCTCCAGGCGGTAAAGATGAAATAGAAATTTATATAAGATACGTAAATGACCAAGAAACCAAACCAAAATAATGTATTTATGTAAAATAATTTTTTATAAAATAGATTGACAATTTTTCATTTATACTCTGCTTCATTAAAGCAGTAAAATTGAATGCTAAAGCCTTTTCATAGAAACTGATCCATTTGTAATGTACATACTAACAGTGTATTTTACACTTTTATATCTTAAATACTTAACTGGAAATTACACAAATTCTACAAAGAGAACTGTTCAGAATAAATAACCTGTTCAGAATTATTAGGCTAGTCAAATTTTAATAAAATATTCTTTTTGTATAAAATATTTTTTTATTTAACACAATGAACCAATTTAACAGTATTTTACAAAGTAAGCATGTCTTGCATTATGCTTCACAAACATCACTAATATCATAGGAAAAACTTAATTCACATATAACATTTTAATTCTAATTTTATTTTTGAATAATCTCTTGGTACCTGTAATATGTCACTTTTATAATACATTAATTAAGTTTAAGTAAATAGAGCCATTTTATTCAAACGAAAATATATTCGGATGAAAAAAACATTATATATTGCAACATATTCGCATATCAGTTATAACATATTAAATAATTAAGTACATTTATTTAGAAACGACACAAATAAAAAAATTTTAATAAAAAATGTACTTCAAGAAAGGCATTTTAAAAATTGACGTGTTTATTAAGCCAATCAAAATTGATTAAACAGCAGAATGTTTTCCAATGTATAATAAAATTTTGAAGTAATAAATTGGGTATTTACAAGGTTAAAACCATTTGGAGCAACATAAAAATATAAAACTGTTACAAATCTTCATGTACAAAAATAGCTAATGTGAAAAAATATTGGTTAGAAATAGTTTGCATCTTTACAAATAATTGTGCTAGTTTTTAATATTGCACGTTACATTTACAAGATTATTGTCAGACTTAATTTTTCTTTAAAGAATGTTGCTACATTATACAAAATTTAATATCGCTATTTAATCAATAATACAAACGAAAGAATTATTCGTTCATGATTATTTTACAGAATTATTTCGATTAAACTGTTAAAATATAATCAATAACGTAATCAATTATTCAAACAAGAAAAAATCCAAATTCTTATTACATTTTTTAAAAAATCTCGGAATCATGAAAAAAATATGTTTACTACTTTAATACATAAACGCAATTGCATTGACAAAATTCATATCATACTTCAAGCGTAATATACAGATTAAAATGAATATTTGCGCAATATGTTTTCATTAGAGATATGCAACAACCCGAGAATGTCGGGTCGGGTCATGTTGAAAATTGTTCTCCAAATCAGGTCAAGATTTCTAAATCAGTGGTTCTTAACCTATGATCTATGGACCCCAAGGAAACCATTTACGAGATAAATTTATGTAACTTAATGCTTATAAATGACGATAATTATAAGATTACAATAACTTTGTCAATGTCTTGAAGTCTCTATTATGTCTTGTGAAGAGGAATTACTACCGGAAGTGTTATCAAGACGTAGTTAAAATTCAAAACTTTCTATCAATTTCTTTAGAAAACGAAATTCGCGAATATCTAAAAATGCTACAGAAAACTTCAATCCTTTTCTATCTAATATAAATTCTTATTTAGCAGAACACTAGTTTTAAAATCATTGATGAAACTAGTATTTTAAAAATATCGTTTTGAGAAAAAAGTCCATGAATTTTATCTTAGTGTCAAGAGGGATCCGTAGAAAAAAAAGGTAAAGAACCACTGCCTTTAAAGCATTTCGTGACATAAAGAACCGAAATTCCTAAAATTTCAAATTACTCGAATTTGTGGTTGTGATATGACTGGAAACCTTAATGTTTGAAAAATGTTTTTCTATTCTTTGTGTTGTTCAATTTTAGTGCTGAATTGGGAGCTTTCTATGATCAATTATGGGAAATTATTTCTCAAATGGAATTATCATTTTCTTTTATACAATATTTTACTTCTCAATTCCTACTATATTTATAATTTGTTTTGTACTATTTGAAGATATTCAATGATTTATTAACAATTATTAAATTCTTAAATTCTACTGTGTTAAGATAGATACAATTACACGTAGTGTGTAGTGTCTATAAACATTATAAGTTCTTGGATTATATCAAATGAAGTGCATCCAAAATAATATTTCGGAAATCTTGATATTTTTATATTACAAGATGCTTTTGGAATTCTAATCTGATCCGACCCGAGATTTCGAATTCTCGAACATCTCTAGTTTTCATTGACTTAAACATAGATATTTGACATGCATTTTCAGCAGTTCAACAATTTTTTATAACATTTCTGATAGTATGTACAGTAATAATTTGTACTAATGTCTCCCTGTCTTTAAAGCGTGTCCTCTGAAAATAGTATAATTTCATTGAATTGCTACAGTATTACCTTATGTATTACAATTTTCTTCCATAATAATCAACTTTAGGCATATTTATATTTCAAAGGACACCTCTGCAGATAAAAGTAAATTTACTTTTTACCTATAATTAGATGCCTTATGTTAATGGATAATTAGTCGCTTTTCTTTTTTATAATTCTATATCATATACTATAATTTCGTTATATTAATTTAGCGGTGTATTTCGAGAAGCGATAAGTTTTCTTAATGCATCACGAATTGTATCATGTGTCGCAAAACTAATTCCTACCGCAATTGGGCCTTTCACCCAATTCATGGTCAATCCTTTATAGAATGCCATCAGACCTTCTTCTCTGAAAGTATATAAAAGTTATGTATAACAGACGTGTCCTTTTATTATAAAATAAAGTTTTGACACGGAGTAAATTTATGTTTATTTTTACGAATTCTAATATTATCTGTAATACATATAAACATACACTTGGCCGAAACGCTGTTAATCTTTGGACTATTATAACTTCAAGAAAAGAAGTTGTTCAATAATCTTCTGAATGTCATTTTAAAGGTTGAACCTTTTATTTTCACATTTCCAAGTTGAATTTTCTTGAAGATTTTTTTTAACTAGGAATCGAATTAAAACCAAAGATAATTTTATTCTAAAAAATGTTCAAAATTCAAACCGTCCTCAAAAGTTTAAACAATTTTTTGCCTGTCTAAAACTGCCATTTTCAAGATTAAAGTCTCTTTTTTAAAACGACCTTTTTAAAAGTTGATGTATTATTTATTTTTTGCCATTTTATTATATTCATGCAAAATGAGAAATTTATTTTTATCGAAAAACATGTTCAAGTTTTATAACAGGAAATACTGAATAACGTACAACTGATTAAAATTGTATAATAAAATTCTATTATTTTCCCGTTATTATTTCTTATACAGGGTCTGGCTTGTATATCTTCATATTTTCGTTATATTTGCAAATATAATCAACTATGATAATCGTAACATAATATAAAAGATTAAACATTAATATAAAAAATGCATGTATTATGGTTTCTAAGAATCTCATTAAATGTTTTCATTACTGTATATTTCTTTTCTTACAACGTCGAAATGTAAACAAAATTTTTTAAATTATATACATACAGTGAGTAACGAAAGTATTCGAACGACATGATAAACAATAATTGATTCTACAAAAGTTATATAATAAATTGCAATTTATTCAAACAAATTGTTTTTATATTATTGTACATACATTTCCTAAATATATGCAAACTTACAGAAAAATGAAACAATAAGGGAATAAATTAATATGTAACAAAAATATTTGAATGCTGAATTATAAGCACTATAATTTGTAAACACAAGATTGCTGCAAGGTCTGAATGTAAACAAATGTTCTTCAGAGAGCTTCCAACAGTATTTGAAAGCAAATAGAACCGAAAGTTAACCGTTAATCTGTAATTCAGAATAATGAGTGAGAGACAAGTAAACCAGAACGAGAAATTATTGTTAAATTGCACAAAGAAATTGCATCTCTTATAAGCAGAAGCAAATCAACAATTCATTATATAATAAAAAAGTATAATACGAACGGAAATATAGCAAATGAACAGAGATCAGAGTGTCCAAAGAAATTAAAAAAAAAGATCTATTTACATCTGTTTCAAAATTAGCAACAATGGTTGCTACAAACTTTAATAAAGAAGTACATGCCCAAATTATGTTGAAGAATGCTATGGAAAAATAATTTCCATGGTAGAGTCCCACGAGAGAAACCATACATTAGCAAGAAGAATAAATTACTTCGATTAAAATTTGCCAAAGAGTACATAAATAAGGACATACATTTTTGAAACAGTCATTTTTTCTGATGAGAGTAAATTTATTTTATTTGGGTTCAATGGTAGGAGAATAGTGTGGAGAAAGCTAAATATGGAGATGGATTCAATAAATTTGAAGTATACAGTGAAACATGGTGGAGGCTCCGTAATGGTATGTGGCTGCATGTCTGCTAATGGACCTGGCAATCTTGTATTCATAGATGGAATCATGGACAAAATTAAATATTTACATATTTTAAAAGAAAAGTTAAAAGTATTAAGAATGTTCCCTATACATTACAGAGCCCAGTCTTAAATCCCATCGAGCAAAACAAAATATCCTGGCAGCCTGGCACTCTATAGATTCAAGTGTTACCAAAAAGTTAGTTAATAGTATGGAAAATCGTCTTCAAGATTAAATTCAAGGGTGACCCAACTAGATATTAAACCGCAATATAATCATATCTATTGCGTTCTATCATGACTATTAAAACTGTGTTCTAATACTTTTGTTATGTCTTATATGTACTTATCTGTTATAAATGCTATGTAATTAGTTTACTTATTGTTTAATTTTTCTCTAAGTTTGCATATATTTAGGAAATGTATGTACAATAGTATAAAAACAATTTGTTTGAATAAATTGCAATTTATTATACAACTTTTGTAGAATCAATTATTGTCTATCATGTCGTTCGAATAGGTTCGTTACTCACTGCATATTTTATTAAACTTGCCTGTAAATTTTCATTATGGTTGATCCAATTGTGTGGTAATGCTGACCCTTGACTGCCGAAGTCTGCATTCTCCTCCGAACGATGTCCAGAGGATAGCTGCTAGTCTGGGCAACCATTCCGGCAATGCCGCCGCAAATCAGTGACGCCGGGAACCCAGGAATAGCCACCGTGTACACTGTTTATCGACACGTAGCCATCATCGAACATGAAGCACGAACTTGAAAAATGCCGCCATCGGACTTCTTTCGACAAGCGTCGCTACTAAAGTAAGTACTGTCCCAAATATTGGGAAACAGTCCCAATGTGCCCCACGAGTACCCTGTTATTTCATCGTACACGAGCCACTCTCGTTCCGTATAAATCACGATTTTTTTCTTTGCGTATAAGCACCGCCACGGCGTCAAACAAGTTTGTGAAAGAACCGACTCACCAGTCAGCATATCCCTGAGTAGGTCATAGGTGAAGAAGCTGCAGCCAGCATAGGGAATGACACCGAGTAGAGTTGCAATGAATCCACGGTAATATGCCAATATCCCTTCCTCCAAATAAATACGTACAAAAATCTGTCGCAGAGTTTTGTATTCAGCTTTTTGTGTCACAGCCATCCTTGCTCTCATCAAATCCAACGGATAAGTTGTACTCTGAGACGTTACACCAGCCAACGCACCAGCAAGGAAAGTCAATTCAGGTTTTTGTCTGTACATATATATTCAACAGTTTTGCTCAATTGTAAAATTACAAGTAAATTAGCACACATAATTATTTACATATTACTTAGAATATGTACATTATACAGGTTGTTACTAAGGCGACCGACACTTTGAAATAGAAACATAGGTATTCACATTTCATAATATTTGTTATAACTTTTTAACAACGCATTTATGGATTTTTTGTTATATCACTGGCAAAGTATGCATGGAAAAATGCGGGACACCTTGTATATTGTGTTAATTCTTAACCCTTTTGCTATTTAATATTAAATCTATGTAGATCTCGTAGAAAAGTATTTCAATATAGGGTATATGACTTTTTATTGTTATGTTTTATAATTAATACAATAAGATTCGTTTATGGAACTGTATATTTTATAGGGGTAGGCGGGTATCCGAAATTTCGGATTCGGGTCGAGTCGGGAAACCCGAAATTGAATCGGGTACTTGAAAGCGGGTCAGGAGCTCTAAAGTTTATATTACTCCGATACTCGAATCTCATAATATGTCGAACAGACCATGTCTGTGTAGAAAATTTTGTAAAAACTATTGGGGTACAGTATAATATAAAAGTCTGGTCAAAAAAGAAACAAATTATGATATGTATTAACATTATTTTATCATAAATTTGAATATTGGAATGCTTCATATTTTTAAGCTCTCGATATGATCCAAACATTATTCGATCAGAATTCGGGTACCTGGATCGATTTCAGACCTGATTAATACCCGATTCGACACGAACTCGAAGGTTCAAGAAAGGATATAGCCGAATAAGGGGGTTAAATGTGCCCTCAAACCGAATTGAACGAACGATAGGTCATTCGATAGCTTATCAAAAAAAAACCCTATGTGCCAATTTTTAACTTGAAATCTCGACTGTGCGGGTAGTAATGGGATGAAAACGAAAATCAGGTTTTTGTAGAATTTCTCTTAACCTATTGAATAAAAAAATGTAAAAAAATTCAGAGACATTTCAGGTACTGGAGCATATATTTTGGGAGATTTTCAGATTTTTTGATTGAAGAACCAGGTAGTAAAAAATAAAAAACCGCAAAAAATGTCGAAAAATACCGATTACGTATTGAAGGAGGTCCGGAACTACTTTTATACTTTTACAGTAAACAGATATTGCTATTACTATTATTCTCAATATTTTTCAGATTTTTCATTTTGGTGCGCCGCAGAGAAAAAAAATAAAAACCTATTTTTCCCTCATTTTCTGTGTATTAGAGTAACTTACACGTTGAATTTTTATGCATTCTTCAATATATTTTGTAGATTGTTTAATGCTTCTACACTAAGCAGAATTACATAACAATTGAAACAAATAAAATAAAACCAACCATTGGGCCCATATATCCTGAAAATCAACAATATTTTCAACGGCATCAGTGACGTAGTGTTAGAGTGTCCGACTGCGGAACCGTCGGAAGTTTTTTTTACCGTAGATTCGAATCCCTCTTCTGGACTTAGTATTTTTTTTTATTCATTATTTTTTTTTTTTCAAATTCTAACTATATAACAATGCTTTATATTTATTTATAAATATTCTAAAAGCATTTTACAAATATTTTAACCTGAAATATGTATAAATATAATTTTTGAACGTTTTTTGCGTCTTCATGTTTTTTGTCAACTACGATTATTGTTTAACATTTCTTACACTGAAATTAATGTGAAATGTTAGTTTTTAAATCTCTTACCTTTGACTATTGTGAATGGCTCGGAGCAGAAGATTGTATATTGGCTTACTATTACTTCTTCTTCCTCTTCGACCAAGCAGATCTTTCCTTCTTTTTCTCTTTCTGTGATAAATATGAATGTTTGCTACGACTTCAGTATCTAACGTAGACATGAAAATATCGTTGATTTTTTAGGACATATTGCGCTCAACGGTTGGCTTTATTTTATTTGTTTCAATTGTTATGTAATTCTGCTTAGTGTAGAAGCATTAAACAGTCTACAAAACACTGATATATTGAAGAACGCATAAAAATTCAACGTGTAAGTTACTTTAATACGCAGAAAATGAGGAAAAAATTAGTTTTTATTTTTTTTCACTGCGGCGCACCAAAATGAAAAATCTGAAAATGAAATCCGTTTACTGTAAAAGTATAAAAGTAGTTCCGGACCTCCTTCAATACGTAATCGGCATTTTTCGACATTTTTTGCGATTTTTTATTTTTTACTACCTGGTTCTTCATTCAAAAAATCTGAAAGTCTACCAAAATATGTGCCCCGGTACCCGAAATGTCTCTGAATTTTCGTACATTTTTTACTGAATAGATCAAGAGAAATTGTACAAAAACATGATTTTCGTTTTCACCCCATTACTAGCCCTATGGTCGAGATTTCAAGTTAAAAATTGGCAGATAAGGTTTTTTTTTGATAAGCTATCGAATGACCCATCGTTCGTTCAATTCAGTTTTGGGGCACATTTGACCCCATTATTCAGCTATATCCTTTAATAACAAAGTCTACAATTTTGATGGAAAACCATGCTTTGGAAGACCTTCTGTGCTTGATAATGACAATCTTTACAACATTTCGAAAAAAATCCATTTGTATTCATATTAGAGATAGCAGAAATGCTTGATATAGACTAACAAACAGTTTAGAATTACACCTGACGCCATCAATTTATGTACAAGTATTTAAGATAACAGACGTGATCATGTAATCGTTTGTTCAGCTCTCAACGTTCATGCAGTAAAAATAAATTATCTTTAGAACATTTTGTAATAACGATGATAAGTGGATAACATGTGAAAATGTATTGCAAAGAAGGGCGTTCTGTAGTCTTAAACAACATGTTTATCGTCGTCAAAACCAAGTCTAAACGTAAAAATAAACCCACAACTGTATTGTATAATATCACAGGGCTGCATGTTTGTTTCGTGATCAAGCAAAAAATTATGGAACTTGATTAACAAGTTCTAAGTCACACGTGTGCTATCTTTAATTGCTCGGAAACTACGTAGAATTTCTCAAGTGTAAAAAATAGTACGTGAAGATCACAACGCAAGAGGAAAAAGCACGTTAGAAAAGAAGAACGATCTCGCTAATATTCGCAGTTCGCAGAAAAAAACATTTAAACAACGACGGCAAAATGATAGCACACTGAACTTTCTGTTGTCATTATTCAGTAGTTCGCGATCTCTTGAGCAGTTGTGAACAGGTACTGTTTATTACACGAGTAATTTGTTGAAAGACCCTGCAAATTATGGCAAAAAAAAAAGTTCTGAGAGGCCACCATCTTTATCGGAACGAGACAAACGGGCCATTACACGAGTCGCATCAAACTCGGCATTAACATCTCGTTAAATTGCTTGTCGATCAGGTGTTACAGCGAACATCCGCAGTGTACGCCGTGTTCTTCAGAGGTGTAAGTATATTCAACGACTGAAGATGAAACAAAAATCCCCCTTAACAGAACAACACAAGAAGGAATAAGTAGCATTCGCAAAGACCAGAATTCACTGGAAGCGAAAATGAAAAAGAATTTTATTCACGGACGAGAAAAAATTTAATTTGGATGGTACTGATGGATTTTCAAATTATTACCACGACATACGAAAGGAAGAAATTGTGAGAGAACAACGACAGATAGGTAGTGGTGGGATAATGGTTTGGGCCGGAATTGGTTACACAGGAAAAGCTGATATAAACTTCATTAATGGCAAAATGAACAGTAAAATGTATATAGATTTAATATCTGAGCAAATACATAAAGATGCAGACAGAATTACAAAAGGAAATTTGGTCTTTCAGAATGACAATGATGCAGCCGTGCATCGTGCTAAAATTGTAAAAACATACTTTACAAATCAAAAGATTGCAGTTTTGCCATGGCCTGCCCGCTCCCCCGATTTAAGTATAATAGAGAATTGTTGGGGTAAATTAGCACATGCCGTATACAAAAATGGAAGGCAATATCAAAATATTCACGAATTAAAAGAATCCATCGTAAAAGAATGGGACAAATTACCCCAAGAAACAACAAAAAAAAACTGTATAAATCATTAACAAATCGAATGTAGAAAATAGAAGGCGAAACGAGGCAAAGAGAGCGTATGCGTGGTGAGGCGAGGCGAAGCGAGCGTATGCGTGGTGAGGCGAGGCGAGGCGAGAATAGCGAGCGGGCAAGGCATATAGGGTAAGGCTAGGGTAAGAGTAGGTTAAGCGGAGGGAAGGAGAGGGGAGGATGGGGTGAAGATAGCGAATAAGATAGTGTAAGGAGGAATTGTAAGGGAAAGGAGAGGAGATATGTAACCCTAAGGGGAACATTAAATACATACTACTACATTAACAAATCGAATGATTGAAGTCATTGAGAATAAAGGCAGTTATACTCATTACTAATTTTTCTGTAAATTGTGTTTCTAAAGTAAATTTATCTATGGATTTTGTAAATGTGCTATCATTACGCCTTTGGTATTTACACGTTTTCTTCTATGAACTGCGAATATTAGTGAGAGCATTCTTGTTTTTTAACATGTTCCTTTCTATTGCTGCGCGACCTTTACGTACTATTTATTACATTTGAAAAATTTTACGTAGTTTCCGAGCAAATAAAGATAGCACACGTGTGCTATCTTTTTGTCCAGGAGTGTAAATTTTCAGATATAGCACCTTCCAATAACCATTTGTTTCTACCTCTATAAAATTTTTTAATTGAAAAAGATTTAAAACAAGTCATTTTATTAAAAAAAAGAAATTCAAAAATTTCCATGAGGATGAAAAGAAGTTATTAATATCAATAAAAATTACATTGTTAATTTAATGTTAATAAATAATATAAAAATGTATTATTTTCCTTTAACTTAAAAAACAGATAAAAATGTTTCGGTACATTTAAAAAAATTACAGAAGATGAATAGAAAACAATGACTCCTTTTTTTTTAATGAGATGAAGAAACATTTTTTTATATTTTCTGAGTATACAAACATTATTTGTTCAACGAACTAAGAGATAACGGCCTAAATACTTTATCTTGGACGCTTGTCGCTTAAGATTAAATAGTTCGTCTGACCCGTGCATCATAAAGGTTAAAGAGTTTATATTTTTCGCCTTGTCTGTACGTCATATAGAAACTTTATCTCCTACAGACGTAAAAGTGCATCTTCCTGAAATCTTATGTTTCTTATTGGAATATATGAATATCTCAGTTTTAATTTCCTACTGGGCTTATTTTTTTATCCCATCATTCTATTTGATTCATCTATCCAATTTGTCCCCTTGCTGTTCTTGTTATTTCTTATCGTTTCCAATCTGTTATGTTCATTCAAACGAAACGCGATAAGAAATTCCTTTTTAAAGCATTATTGAATAGAATTGTTGCTAAATACCGTATTCGCTAAAAAAAAATTACTAAATAATAAAAAAAAAATTAGGTACGAAATTATTATTTTGATAATTTTCAATTGGCCGATGAAAATTAATTTGGATATGAATTTACGATCAGGTATTAACGCTTATAATAAAGATAAATGTAAAATTTGACTTCGCACGGCGACAACAAAATATTCACAAATAATTTGTAAAAAATTTCTCTTCAAAATGATTTAAACAACAAATATTATTTGTTTTAATTTTACCGACCATTCTCACGTAACGCGACTTCGCCAATTAGCAATTAACGGCAACTGTCGCGTATTCGTGATTTTACATTTTTTTTTAAGTCTGTTAATATTATATATGTATGTATATACATATAGTATAGTTCTTTATAATAATATATTCAGCATTCTTATGTCTCACTTTGGATTACAAATATTAATCGCTCCATTGGTTTACAAAATTGTCTTCAGTCGTTTATTTCAAATTTGCTCGATATTAAATTTTTGAAAATAGTTTTTATTTCATTGATGCACTTTTCGAGGTTCATAAATTCATGATTCTAAAGTATTTTGTAAAATAATAAAAATTTTGCAAAAATGAAAGGAAAAAATATTTAACCACTATATAAATACAAACTATGTAACTCAATAAAACTAATACTTGTTTAATTTTATTAAATAATAAAGCTACGTAGTATAGTATTTGAACATTTATAAAATGTTGAATTTAAAAATGTTTAATGAAAAAACTTTTATTACATTAAAACTATTGTAAAAAAGAAAATTAAGGAATGTCATGATTCATAGCATGATTTTGTAATCAAGTATTTTTTGCAAAGATATTATACTGATGCCGTGGTATGAAAATTTGTTGACAACAGCACTGGACAAGAATGTGTTAAGTAATGCAATGCAACTTATATTACAACGTTAATTAACTATCTATTATAGTAATTTAAAATACTGCTTGATACATTACTTTGGTTTGTGCTATTTTCATCTGCTTTTAATTTTATTGTACCTTACCTTCCTGATCCATTTATTCCTAGAATTCTCTTCCACTGTTCATGGGCTGTGAATTGAACAGCAGAATATGGGATAATTCTAACCATAGTTGCACTATTTCCACGCCATAAGCTTAATAAACCCTCTGTCCTAAGTGTTTTTATTAAGAATTCAAGTGCCGCTCTTCCTGAGTATGGTAGTTTTGAAATCTGGAAATTTATTTTTGCGCGATCCAATGGTGCTATGGTGGTTTTTGCCAATGCTCCTGCAACAGCACCCGACACCAAACTTGTCCATACCCTTTGTGCATTTGAAATACCATCACTCCCAATACACTTTTCTTGTTTCTTCTGAAATACACAATTTAATGTTGTGTACGATATAGCTGATCAGATTTTCATTAACTGAAGATATCAGATTTTCCATTAACTGAAATCAGATATATGACGGAATTCGAATTTGTGAAATACGATTTAATTAGTATTTAATCTGCCAAATATTATTTTTATTTACGAAAACCAATAATTGTTTTATTTTTTTTAATTTTTGTTCTACTTTAATATAAGAAAAAGGTAATAAAGCAAAGAATTACTAACAATTTAGGATATATAATAAAACATAATAAAAAATATTATTATATTATATGCAAATTTGTACATATTATGAATATTTGATGAATTGCTTTATAACTTACTATGGTATCTGCATTCATTTCTATCGAATGTGGTGATGCAGCTTCTAACGAGGATATGGGTTCTGCAGCCGATAGTACAGTCATTTATACTTTGTCTATAATGAACTGACTACTTTCAACGGGACATATATTATATATCTGTTCATTTCTTTAATACATGCTTCTATAACTATTGTAGCTTTGCTTAATTTCTTTTATAATAATTTTGCAGACTATGCTGTAAATAAATAGATTTAAGAGAACACATTATATCTAACATCTGTAGTCCTAATTTAAATATCTATTACATATAATTTAAGTTAATTAGTCATTTTATTTGCAGATTAATTTCTGTTCATACTTATCATTTAGGTTTATTGCCGAACAAGCAAAGACATAACTAGGAAGTGAAATTGTATAAAAATGTAAGACCTTGAGTAGATATCTGTCTTATATGCTTACATATGACTCATAATACATATACTATTTTTAATTACAGATAATTACACAAAATAAGAAGTACATCAAAGATAAGTAACATGTTTGTTTTTCGTATATATTTGTAGATAACGTTATCTACTATATTAATACATTTAGTTGGTTGCACATGTGTATCTTAAATTTGTATGCGTCTGGATATTTATATTACACTAAATATAATTAATATTACGTTTTATTATTTTTCTATATGAAAACTATCATAAAAAATTATAATACACAACTTTACCTAACTCATACAAAACATTATAAAAATTGTATATTATTAATTTACTTGTAACATTTTTATACAAAACCATAGTTTATCTTTCTGTCCAATCACATGTTATTACTAATATCATATATTGATTTAATGTTATCTGAGTAGAAATGGATCTAAAATTTTTAATTTTACTGCTCATTATTTTCGATTTTGAAAACTGCTTAATTTTACGTATATCCAAATTAATATGTATGTATGTTACTAATAGTTCAAGATTATTTCGAATTCATTACAATTATGTTATACATTATTACTTCTTAAAGATGTATAAATGCTTAAACTTATTTCTACATGAATTAAATTATCAATTTTATTATATATTAACAATGAGTTTGCAGTAAACGATGCGTATTTTTGTTCGCTATTCAAATATTTTAGTTATACATATAGTACGAATTCTTTAAAAGTTAGAATTAAATATATACGTTTAGAACTAAGAAAATGTACGTGCACTGTCGGTTATATCGTTCCTTTTCCAATATATTTGATAAATATTCAGGTAGATGACTATGTATACACTAAACAATTAATCAACTTACGTAATGTATATTGTCAATTATTACAAAGGAAACTAATTGTTATTGTGTTAATTTCAACGTAACGCTTATTTTCCAATGAATAGCGTGACACAAGAGAAATATGCATAGTTTATGTTCTCGTATAGCAACGTCAAGACGTTACGTAGTTCGATCATACGCTGGAATTAATATGATTGAATAACATCGATTTGATACAAATGATCTCATATTTTAAGCGACTGTTCTTATAATGGGCGTAGCGAGTGTTATTTTAAGGTTTTTTATTTATACGTTTTATGCGAATTTGAATTTCAATTAAACAATTTATAATTATATTTCATGTCACATTGTTTCAAAGAAACGCATAATATGGGTTAAATAATGTAAAACTAATTTAATGCGTGACAACATAAGAATATCAATCAAAAAATACTTACCTTTGTCAGTCTAGTGCAAAAACAGCTATTACGACAAAAATTCTCCTTTGTGAACAAACAATGCACATGGATAATAGCATTCGGAACTGATTAAAACACTTTACACATTATTATCTAGACACTAACAAAGTTTGAATCGCTACGTTACATCTGCTCTCAATGCCTCCTTTCGCGCGACTGACTGCTGACACTGAACCACAGTTACCTTCAATGTCACTTTTCTTAAATATCATATATGCCGTAATACATAACAACTAAAGAACCTGAAGTCGGAGGAGCGTGAAGGTTGTTCTTAAGTTTGATTGGCTAATTTGAATGATTTTAATTTCAATTATAGACCATTCTAACCTATTTAACTTGATTTCATTTGACGTAACCGTGTTTCATTCGTAGAATATTATTTATTATACTATAAGTAAAATATATTTATTATATTATTTACAGAATAATTTTGACAATATGTTTGAGACGAGTAATTTTTTTCACTTAAATATTTCTAAAAATATACCGGATATTTCGTTAAAATAAACATATTTCGATTTATTTGCGATTACAAATAAATTTTTTATAGACGTAATTCTTTTTTTTTGACAACATAATTTAAAGATATATTCGCACCAGATTTTGAATAGTGCATGTTGATAAAAACCCATGCATTCTATACCCTGTTCGTTACTGTAAATTCACGAACATAAATACTATGGTTCGCTGACTTGGAAGTCCCGCGCAGAGGTGCCAGAAAGCATCCACGGTGCACTAGTCACACATGCCAGATCACGCGTACGTGAGCTCGTGAAGTTTCGGAAAGTCGACAAAGGCAAACTGACGCATGTCCTTTTTCTCGATTCTCCGAAGCTGCCCGAAGTAATTTCGGACCGCCTCGTGGGAGTCGAGAGAGAAAGGCTCACATTTGCCTTCTCGCTCTAACAACTGAAATCCGACCTCCAATCAACGGCATACGATTTGGATTCTCGAGCCGAGATTCTCGACTGCCCAGGCATTTTTACTTTCCGACCTATGTAGGCGTACATAAGCAAAGTACCCATAATGAATAAAAAATTTTGTAAAATTTATTTTACGGAAATACACGTTTTAAGACCTCCTGATCATATTTTAATTATTGAAAAAAAAGAAATTTTTGTTATTCCCATGTATGAGCACACATATGTATATTATTAATACGATTGAGTATAAATAGCTGAATGAATTTAAATGAAACTTTACATTTAAGTTTTATGTTCTCATTTCAAAGTCCGGTTAAACTTTGACTATAATCAGTCCATGGATAATAATGATTATACCTCTTGTTTCATAGTTGTTCCGATATATAGGCATAATGTATAAAAAATCTTTTAAATGTTTCATATAAATCTTAGGAGGAATTAAATTTTATGTAAAAAATATTATATAAATTTTTTCTCTATCTTCTCTAGAAAAGAAAAAATTAAATGAAATCTTATACATTACATGCTTACTTAAATCGCATTGAAAACGAATACCACAAATGTTTTAGAATAATTTGCAAAATGTAATTGCGATTTTCGCTAAGACAAATTGAAAACTCGGTTCTAACAAGGAAAAGTTGGAATGGTACCCGATTTTGGATTAGGTTTTACTTTGAGATATTATTAAAGTTATTACAGGTACTTATCTTCAGAAATAGAAATATATTCAATAACCAGCGTGGCGTGAATGATAAGGTTGCCTGCAAGTTCCGAGCTTCTTCTGCTCTGCAGGTGGGAATTTCGTGGGAATTTTACTTCGTGAGATTCCTTTCTGCGCATGTGTAAACGACGTCACAGCTACCTCTCGCCCGCTACCATAGATGTATCTTTAGCGCAAAAAGAGGTGCATGTAAGGGGTCTGTTGGGAATTTTAATTAGCGGACACCTCATTTAGTTTAATATTAGCTTAAGGAATAAGACCACTGTAAAAACCTGAAATAAAGCGTTTTCTTGCGATTTCTTTTTTGGATGGATACAAAAGTAAGAGGATAATAATATTCAAGAATGTTATTAACCATGTCGTTAAGCGTGTAAAGAAAAATATTTATTCAAAAATTTTTGGGATCCAACGGTACCCTAAATTCTAGTTAAGTGTATACGGCAGTGATCATGCGCTTCAGTGCGCATGATCAAAAATTCTCACGAAAGTCCATCACTGGGCGAACGTGAGCGTTTCCTTCAATTCCTTCTCACATTTGAAACAACTGAAATCCGACTGCGTTAATCAGCATTCGATTTTGAATTACTATTCTATTTAGCACTGTTGAACAAGTGGTTTTACCCACGTATGAATCGAGACCCGTTGCATTTTACCGTTTACGTTCATATACATTGTATTTACTATATTTAAATACTGTTTTTGATCGGGCCACGCATCTAGGGAAAACATGGCTATTTGAAAACAATGTTTAGAATATATTTTTCTTATAGACATATTAACGTTTACAACAAAAATCACAAAATATTTTAAGTAATTTTAAATTTCATGTAATTACTGTTATACATTAATATTAAATCAAGACAAATGTATGTTTGTTAGGTTAGGCTTAATCTTCTCATGCATATGATAACAATCAAGAAATGACAAAATTATTTATTATATTTTATATTTAAGTTTAATGCTGGAATATTTCTAAATTTATTTAAAATTGTTTAAAAACGTACGTTGTTTTATCAAAGTCACAAACATTTTATGATGACGGAAATTAGTTTAAGTGGCGGTGAAAAAACTTTTATTCTTCATAGTGTAGATGTAAGCTAACAATATTCTATATTTATTTTACATGTTTTCGTTTAACTAATCATTTAGTTGTTTAATTACTAGGCAGATTTTAGGAATGATGGTAGAAAGCGATGTGAGTATCGTTCTATGGAAATTGAAACTAAATTAATGCCACAAACTCATGGATCTGCAAGGTTACGTATTGGAAACACTGATATACTTGTTGGCATTAAAGTAGAACTTGATATTCCTCAGGCTGATAAGCCAGATGAAGGAAAATTAGAATTTTTTGTTGATTGGTACGCAATATTATTTGTATTATTAATAATTGTTGTATATTCAATTATATCTCATTACCTTATAAAAATGAAGCTTGTATTTATTATGTAGTTATAGTTCTTATTTTTTAATAATTATTTTGTAGTTCTGCTAATGCAACGCCAGCATTTGAAGGAAAAGGTGGCGATGACTTAGCGACTGAAATAAGTAATACTCTTGTGATAGCATACCAAACACGTAATGCTTTTGATTTAAAAACATTATGTATTTTACCTCACAAAAAATGTTGGAAAATTTATGTTGATGTTTTGGTAAGTTAATAATGATGACTTTTGATTATTATGACAACTTTTTTGAAAACGTATATCTTTTATGAACATAATCTTGATATATAATGTAGATTCTTCAGTGCGGCGGTAATTTGTTTGATGCAGTAGGAGTTGCAGTCAAATCTGCATTATATAGTACAGAAATACCAAAAATTACGGCTGCAATGCTTGATGGTGGAGAACCGGATATTCAGTTATCGGATGATGCTTATGACTGTATTAAATTAGACACTAGTAACTATCCAGTAATTGTAACATTATGCAAAGTATGTTCATATCAGTTTATATTTCTTTATATATTACATTTATAATTATTTGGAAAATTTATTTTGTATTTTTATGTATACAGTCTTACCTATTGATTAATTTTGAAATGCCTTATAGATTGGTGACAACTATATAGTGGATCCGACTTCGGAAGAAGAAGTATGCAGTGCAAGTAGTATAGTAATGTCTGTATTACCAAATGGTAAAATTTCCTCGATAGTTAAATTGGGTTATGGTAGTATTCAACTTAGCACTTTCAACAAAATGTTAAAGGTAATATTTATCTTATGTATGGGTTATGAAAAAATATACATGTTCCACTCTTAATAGAATTATATATATTTATTTCTAGATGGGACAAATCATAGGATTGCGATTGAATGAAAGTCTTATGAAAACTCTAAAAGAAGAAAATCAACTTGGACGACAAAGAGAAATATTTGGATTTCTTAGATGAATTATGTAACACAACTAAATTTTGCTTACAAATATATCCTATTTTATGTTAATTAGACATTATTTCTTATAAAATTGGATTCTCAATGTATAGATTTTAAATATAATACTTATTCATATATTATTATTGTTTAAATCTAATTAACACTGTTAAAATATTTTTGAATACCTTGAACGTCTTACGATTGGATATATTTCATGTTGTTCACCATTTAAAGAAATTTTATACACTGTAAAATGGCCCAATTTAGAATATATTGGAATAGATATATTCATATTTATTAATTATATATTTGTATTAAATGGTTGGGAAAAATATATACAGGATGTTCGACCACCCCTGGGAAACATTTTAATGGGAGATTCTAATAGCCAAAATAAGACGGAAATCAAGAATACCAATTTCTTGATTGATACTTTGTTAAAAAGTTATTAACGTTTAAAGTTCCGCTTGTAGAATAGCAATCTGCATACAGCTGCGTGCACATGATAGTGGTTCTCATTCAGCATGAGAAACTACTTACTGACGTATCGACAGTCTTACAGTTTTGAGAATGAGAACCACTATCACGCGTACGCAGCTGTTCGCAGATTGCCATTCTACAGGCGGAAATTTAAACGTTAATAACTTTGTAACGAAGCCTCGATCAACAAATTGGTATTCTTGATTTTCGTCTTATTTTGGCTCCTAAAATCTTCCATTAAAATTTTTCTCAGGGGTGGTCCAACACCCTGTATAGTTGCTTGATGTAAATACATACGTAGGCTACGTTTCATCCATTGAGTGTACGCCGCCATGCTTTCTGTAAAGTTTATATGTTTCAAATGTATATAAAATTGTATAATAATGTAAAGAACATATAAACAATTACTAATAATTAATAATTTAAAGCAGGATAGTATTTCCGGAAGTGTTTGGGTATCTGATATTACGAATTCAAATCGTGTCTGAAAAAGTCGGGCAGATCAATCGGAGTCAGAAGTCTGTAGCATGTAAGAGTTCGAGTAATCCGAATCAATCCAATTATAGTCGAATTATCCGATATACTTAGACAATTTTATATTGGTCAATCTCATCCAAATTCTTCTAATTTAATCCGAAACATCACGTCACGTTGCTTAAAAGTATGAAGCGGTTCGAATTTGTCGGTCTGTCTAATTGTATCAAACTTTCTCGAACTATCCGAATGTTCAAATGTTACGGACGTCCGAAACATAAGACAAATCGCACGATTCTAGTGTTTTGCATTAACAATCTCATTTAGCGTGACTTGCGCGTAATCTCTGCTTCAGGAATTATGATCTGATGTAGATGAACGATTTTCAAATGCATGATCATTTGTAATTCCTTGTCGTTATAACGCTCGTGTACCAAAAACTTTGTTGTAGCTCAAGAACACAAATTTTTTTAAATATTTATTCGCTAATTTAAACAAATTTATCACCCTCGTTGAAAATCACTGGTGTAGATTCATCCGCTAAAATACAGTCGTATATTTTTTAGACTCTTGATAATATAACACTTATCCTTTCCATTCAAACAATTTTGTCTATTGAAATTTTAATATATTATTAAATATAATGAACACTTTTGGATACTTATTTTAGGTATTTCACCATGTATACTAAACCATATTATTATATTTGAAGACTATTTATATACAATTTTAATAACATTTATATTGGACTGTTCTCAAAGCCTCTTGTTCCGTACTCGGATGCTTTTTTAATTTTGTAGTTAGGATAACCCTTATCGCTTGGATATACAGGAAGGCGTGAGGTAACCACACTCCAAGAAGATTGAGACATCCATGTCTGGAAGAAAATATTAATATTACTGCATTATGTTCATTGTTTAGATCTTATATATAGTGACTCAAAGTAAAATTTCGATATTTATATTTTTGTTTCCTAAAATGATCCAAATAATTTTTGTTTTCATTTTTGGTGAATTTACACAAACTTGAGTATAAGTTAATGAAAATAATTTTTATCTTTTGTTTAAATTGTTTCCTTAGATTGTTAATTACTTCATAAAACATAAAAATATAAGTGTTCAAATTTTACTTTGAATTATTGTATGTAATGTAAATTCAAGGATTTATTTGTCATACCGCAGTATTATATTTAAAATAATAACATCCACAATAGATAAGTACAATTCCCTTGCCAATTCCACCTAGTATATTACGCAAAACATATGCACTTGGCTTACTCTATAGTAACACATAAAATACAGAATATTAAATACTACTTGATGATATTCTATATTCTTGAAAATATCATCTTTACCACAACGCCAGTTAATGCATTTTCTACTACATTCATAGGTGCTCTAAATAATCTTCTCAGAGGATTATGATATTCCTCGTAATAACCCTTTGGTATAACTGGTTCATCTGGTGCAAGAACCTGACTTTTAAGGTAACGTGATCTCCATGCACGTTCGTCATCTGTCATACCAATCAAACGCTCTCTTTCCGAGACCACCCGACCAGCAATAGAGACAGATTTTACATCGTCTTCAGAAGATGCCATTGTGAAATATTTTAGCTGAAAGTTAAATATAAAATTATAACATAATAAATAAATAATTAAATAGTATAACGAATATTATTGATACTGACATTTCTTTAAAATAAAAAATATAAAAATATGTAAATATATAACATACATAAATATGTGAAAGAAAAAATTACATTCTTTATTAGGTTCACATATAATTTATATCTTATTAATATATAGTTACAAGAATTTTTTTAGCAATGATAGATTTTTAGTTGTGCAAATTAATCAATTGAAATTACATACATACATATATATGTATACTGACATTTATTAAATACAAACCTTCCGTCAATATTACTCTAAAATATTACGTCACAATCTGATACAGATGAACACTACGTCGACAGCCGACTACGTCCAACGATCCAATCCAATCAAGGATGGGACCTAACCTGACAGTTAGGTCTGGGTTAGGTTAGGTTAAGGTTAGGTACTAATGCAACCCTTAAGAAAATGTATGATCCTCGTGAAAACTGAACGGAAGTGAAGTGTTACGGAACGCGAAGTGAAGTGTCGCGAGACCCTGCTGTGTGTCAGGACCATTGAAACTCTTAATGGAAAAAGCTAATTCGACACGGTCCGTAATAAACTAAAAGAAGGAACGACGGAAACTCTTTAGAAAATAAACTAAGTATCTCTAAGAAGTGCCTTCCTTTCTCTCTACCTTCCCCAGCTTGATCGCCCACGTTGAAGGGCATACAATTGCATTGTTTATTACAATACGCTGTTCGTTTGAATTTCGCTCTTTGTTATAATGTAGTTTCATGACTCTGCACTCGACGGTGAATAATCGGGTTTCAATTAATTCCCGTTGCGGCGCCATGTGCACTAAACCTAATTCACGTGATAGCGTAACAAGTTATTACACTGGTAGTTATAAATCCCGACCTTGAAGACTTTTTGTTGAGTTCTTAGGCTCTTACATCAAAATATGAGATTATATTTTCATGACTGTCAGCTACTGTTTTAAAAAGCATATCCTGGTAGAAATTACCTAGTGAGAAGACTACAGTGGCTGAACCGTAAGAAGATTTAAGATTTTTTTCCGCAGAATTTATTTCAGTTTTATATGCGAGTATAGCGAGTATGTGCAGCTTTGGAGGTAAAACACCCTAAGACACTTCTAAATGGAAGAAGGACATGAGATAATTCTCTCTATACTTTCGTTAGCAATATTTTTAGCATCTTTATAAGTATCACTGAATGGGTAGTTGGGAAAGTCATACTCAAATATGACTTTTTTGGACACTTGGAAACAGTCAGCGAAGTGATACACCTATAGGCGAACAAACTGATTGAGTTCATAGCTAGTACTACAAAAAAGGAACACTCAGTTCCTTAGTTGCTCAGCCTACCATGATTGGACATGGAGTAGGGGTGCTACCATTATATCTAAGATCACAGGAGAGGCATTAAAACATTTATTCACTGCTTTAATTATGAAATTATGTGATCACATTACAGCATTGCAAGATAAATTGTATAATGTGAGGATACATTCATACCACAGATGTGAACCATTTGTGATCTGATTGAGTGAGAAACTAAAACTAATAAAACCATAGATAGATATTTAATGTAAAATATTATGGTTAAATTTGTGGACATTACTTGCTACAGCTTTTAGTATAACTCATGGTTTACATGATGCTGTATAAAAAGTAAATAGTAATACATTTATTCAGGGTACTATGACTATTCCATGCAATGATGCTTGTGAATCGTCATTATAAATAAATGTGTGTTTTCGAAACATATTTTTTATGTAACTAACATTTCATCGACAATTAGAAAGCTACTTTGTATTTCTTGATTCAGCTCAATTTCTTAAATGCCAATTTTCTCCACATGGAAAGAGAGAAATATAATGCTATATTATATAATAATATATTAAAATATAATATAATGATATATTATCGATTATCGGTATTATTTCTATTTTTAGTGATTGCCCAAAGAATTTCTTTACTAATGGTGCCCGCAAAAAAATGAAGCTGAAAAATACTATTGTAACATATTGATCTATTTAGAATAATTAATTTCGTTAATTTTATTAACAGGTTCAATTTTTGCGCAACACATTTTTTATCGCGTCCTTCGCCTTTTGAACACCGAGACGAAAATGTCCATATTCCGGACGAATTCTCATGCCACGATAATAATATACGAGGCTCATTTCAAAATCATTAAGATGGTACAAGGCTTCTGCTTTACAATACATCGCTTTGGCCATGTTCACACTTTTCAATTTATGTTGCAACGCACTTTCTGCATCTTGTAATGCTTTCTGCGGTTCCCCTAGCAATAGATGGCATTTACTTCGTGCTATTAGGGCAGTCTTGTCGTTTGGCTCGAGATCCAATGCCTGGTAAAAAAAAGACAGCATTAATTGTGGAATATAATTACATTTTGCATAATATACAGTACAAGTCACTTAATATTAGAATCTAAAATATTATTACAATGTATAATGTAACATATTCTGTTAAATTTCTTCAGCGTTGGTGCACTGAAAGTTATCTATTTTATTTTCTAAACACAACAATGATAGTTTATGTTTAAGGTTCAGAATATACATAAAGGATGAATTATCTAACTTAATGACTTTTATCATCAGCAATTATTAACTTTTCGCGCCATGGTCCTTAATACTTTTTTTACTCAATATTTGGGACTCTTTCGAATTCGGGGTGAAATGTTAGAATTTATTTAACCGTTTTAAAAGTAAAATAGGAACGCTATATTATGCAATTTCTGATTGAAATTTTGTTTTCGTAAAATGATTTTAAAAACTAGCCAAACACGCATGCTCTTTTATGATATCTAGCGAAATAAAATAGTAATTAAATTTTGAAGTAAAGTGGAACAAGATTAGGATCTACTTCTTAAAATCTTTGTCTTGTATTTCAAGTTGTACGCGGTGATATAAAATTGTATTCTCCTATTATCATGTATGAAAGTGTTAAAAATATGTTTCTATAATCTGTTCTTTTATATCTGATTTAACGCTTGTGTAGTAAAAGTTATTTTTGTTTTTGTGTGGTTGGCTGCATTGCTGTATGTCCCCTTTTTATGTCTTTTGGTGTGTCTGTTTTTTTCTATGTGTGAGAGTGTATCAAATGTGCGTCAAATTATTAGTCTTTTTGTTTCTTTTTTTTTCTTTTCTAAATTAATAAACAAATATTGTATAAGTTGAGTTTATTTTCTTTAATTCTAACAGAAAGAAATCATAATTGTGATTTGTTGCATTATCTGATGAATTTTTAAAGTCGTTTCTGTTAGAAATGGTGCTCTATACGGAGAAAATTATTTTTATCGATTTGATTTTGTTTGAGATATAGAATCACCACTTTTTTCTTCCCACCCTTCCAGATGAACCATATTGTTCGATTCGGTCTGTGAAAAATAAAGATGTACGCTGTATTAATCATCATATATTGTCCTTCCACTAGAAGAAGGCACAGCGTGTTTACATCCCCACTCTTGCTGCAATCCGTTGATTGGCTGTCACCGATCTTCGTCACCGTTTTCGACCAATACCTGTGAGTCAGCAGATTGCAACAGGAATGGGGATTGTAAACACGCTGTGCCTTCTTCTCGTGGAAGAATGGTACTTTAACATCATTTTAATGTATTCTTTAAAATGAAAGGAGCCATTTTTCATATTAGGATATTCCAAAAGGAAATGTTTCGCTTTTTTATACTTTAGAGTAGACGTTTTGAAGCGTTACAAGAGGGAAGCCAGGACGTTAAAAAATGTGAACGTCATTATAAAAGAGACATGAACCTTATTGATACAGTTCATAGCAACTGTAATGTCACCGATGCGCATCTCGCGTAGCCCTAAAGCCAGCATAGCGGTCGGCTCGGTATCTTCTGGCAAATTTAGATTCCGATCCTGTTTCTGTTTCATTTTCAAGGACAATTTAATGTCCCTGGTACCCATGTTTACCGCTGCAGCCCGATCTTTATCGGTGTACACCTCTTCCTGGCGTCGAACGCCATTATCCTGCCGTCGTTTCTTTTTCTTTTTCTTTTGAATATTCATTTCCGACTCGATGGATGATTTCTCTGATTTATTCTTCTGTTCCTTTTTGCGGTTCCCTTTTCTTTTCGGCTCGTGGCTGATACGGCTTTCTTTGTCGACATCCTCCGAGGACTCTGCAGCGAGACAGGTGCCCAGAGAGGAAGGATTTTTATTGAAATTTTCGAGCTCTTCGGATTGTTTCGAATTCGAAATGCTGTCAGCCGGAGATCGCACGTAGCTTTGCAACAAATCATGATGGTGTAGCGATGGATTCAAGATGTCCATAATCTTGGAATCGATGGCATTCGATGTGGGTGTAGATTCGTGTGGAGTTATTTCACTCATGGTTTAGTTTCCCCTTTTGTCTTTGTTTTTTCAACTTTCTTTTCGAATTTTGGTTCTTTTTTATTTCGATGAAAAAAAATAATTTTAAGAGAACAAAGGAATATCTTTTCAAACACTTTCTTTATATAATGTCTGTTTTTTTTTTAATTTATTTAATTTGTATTTAATCAAGGAGTTGTAAGAAATCACTGATTGTTTTTTCAACTTTCTTTTCGAATTTTTGTTCTTTTTTATTTCGATGAAAAAAAATAATTTTAAGAGAACAGAAGAATATCTTTTCAAACACTTTCTTTATACAAACTTTAATATAATGTCTGTTTTTTTTAAATTTATTTAATTTGTATTTAATCCAGGAGTTGTAAAAAATCACTGACGTTTTATCGTCCTCTTTATTTGATGATCAACTGGCAGATGAAAATACTTGTCACGTTTTGTTCACAAGACTGCCTTAGGAAGCAAGGTGCTTCTGTATGTATATCTTGCGTGTGGAGCAGACGTGTGGTTATCGACACCTTTGCCAGAAGACTTGTTTCCTTAGAAACAGTCAACAATGCAGGTAATTTCGGCACACGAGAATCTTTGACTGTACAGTTGCAAAGGAATTCTAAGTTTTCAGTACATAGAGCACGGGACGAAATAATAATCCAACATTTTTATTTGATTTTAAATATACACAAAGTGCCCATTCATAAATGTCCAAGCAAATATCTTGTAAACGGTTGATTTAATTATTTAAATGAAAAAAGAGAGGAGATGTTTTGTGATTAAATGCTTTAATAATACTCTGATTTTAAATATGTATAATGATACATATACGAAATTCTTATTTTGATTAGTTTTAAATTGGCCAATGAAAATTAATATGATATTTATTATTTAAATTATTAAATTAGTTAAAGGTTAAAGGTAAAAAAATCTTTCAATATAAATATATTAATTCATCGTATCAAATTATGGATCATTTCACACGAAATCGGACACTTTTTGGAGTAAGTTTTCAAAACATGTACAATTTTAAATATATTGTAGCCTTTAGGGATATTTAAATGTATCTCAAAGGATATTTCAAAATTTTGTAAATTGTTGAAGTTACAGATGTGTATATTTGAATGCTACCTATTTTTTTTTTAAATTATAGCTGTTGAACTAATAAACAGATGAGAATGCACTTTTGACTGCTCGTAGTGAACACATTAGAGTATCAAATGAAAATGGTATCGATTAAAAAAAAATTGTTTTTCACCATTTTTTTTACAATTTCATTAAAAGAAATGCTCTGCTTTTGTATCGGGGAAATGTTTAAAAAACTAAAAAAAATTGACAATATAGTCTCATTTGTTTTCTTAATCAACAGCTTCTCAAAAATATGGACAACTTAAAATTGGTCCTATGAAAATTAATTTTGGTCAACGCTGCAGCGCCAGAGCACTGCACAAGCGCGGTATAAGCGACGAGAAGGCTATAGCTACGAGGGTCGTTCAATAAGTCCTTAGAAAAAGATAGAAAAACACATTATTTTAGGTAGATTTTTTATTATTTTTCAACATAATCTCTTTTTAGCTGTATACACTTTTCCAAGCGTTTCTCCAACTTTTTTAAGCCATCTAAAAAGTAAGATTTCGGAAGGTCCTCAAAATAGACATCTGTTTGGGCGGTGACCTCGTTTGACGTGAACCGTTGTCCGCCGAGTCATTTTTAAAAATTAGAAAAAAAGGCACTGGGGGTCAAATCCGGTGAATACGGTGAACATTGTAATAATTCAATCTTTAATTCCGTGATTTTGGCCATCGAAACGGCACAGGTGTGCACCCGTGCATTGTCTTGATGGAAGAGGATCTTTTTCTTTTTCAAATCAGGACGTTCTTTCTTGATTTCTTCGCTCAATCGGTGCAATAACGACGCATAATACTCTCCAGTTATTGTTTTTCCTTTTTCCAAGTAATCGGTGTAGATGATTCCGCGTGCATTCCAAAAAACTGTGGCCATCAGCTTGCCGGCTGATTACACCGTCTTCGCCTTCTTCGAAGCCCGTTCGCCTTCAAAACCCCACTGTTTTGACTGTTCTTTTGTCTCTGTAGTGTAGTGGTGTATCCACGTTTCGTCTACAGTTATTTAGCGATGCAGACACTAGTCAGGATTGCGACGAAAAAGCGCCAAAACAGCCTCGGAGTCGACCACACGATTGCGTTTATTCTCCACTGAGAGCAAATGCGGCACCCATCTTGCCGAGATTTTTTTCACACCCAATTGTACCTTGCGATATGCCTGTGGTCTCAACTATTTCGCGCACTTTGATTCGTCGATCACTCAAAACCATATCGTGGATTTTGTCAATCATTTCGGGAGTAGTCACTTCCACTGGACGTCCCGAACGACGTTCATCAATTGTGCATGTACGGCCACGTTTAAACTCATTTATCCAATTGTAAATAGTTGCAAACACAGAGGCAGATGGGACATGAACTTCATCCAACTCAGCTTTGATCTCTTTCGACGTTAAGCCTTTTAAATACAAGTGTTTAATCATCGTTCGAAACTCACTTTTTTCCATTTTTCCAAATAAGCAAAAGTTTCTTGCTTCAATGGACAATAAAAATGAAATCGTATGGTGGATATAACTGAGAATTAGACAGCTGTCTAGTGAGTTATGATGCTTACTAAAAACAAAAGTTTTCGATGCTACGAGCACCAGCTTTTGGATTTTCTAAGGACTTATTGGACGACCCTCGTATCATTGTTTTAGAGGATATGCGATCACCATTGGATTCAAGACGATTAATACTTAAAATACTATACGGAATTTAGGATCTCACTCTTAGTCGATAGCACTAATTATTGGAAATATTTCTATGCCACTACTTGACGAAATTATTAGCATTATGACCGCGAAAAAAAATTGCATTTCTATTAAAAGAGACGATTTAAAAATGCATATTAAGAACGTTTAATTTTAAATAATTTATCGGAACTTTATTTGCTTTTCAAACAAGAAAATTCGTCGATAAAAATTGGATTTAATAAATTTGCTCAGCTTCGTCCTGAAGAGTATGTGTTGGCAGGAACCAGTGGAACGCATCCTGTGTGCGTATGCCTCACACATCAAAATGAGAATTTAATGCTTGCTGGTGCCAAAATGCGGAATTCCTCCAAGCTCTTGTTTATTAGATCAATGATAGTTCTTTTCAATTTATTTAATTCTATTCAACGAATTTTTTTATTTCGTTGTATATGTACAGCTCGATTTAAAATAGCTAATATTTAATATCTTTATACAGGGCGTTCGTCCACTCCTGGGAAAAATTTTAATGGGAGATTCTAGAGGCCAAAATAATACGACAATCAAGAATAACAATTTGTTGATAGAGGCTTCGTTAAAAAGTTATTAACGTTAAAAAAGTTCCGCCCGTACTGAATTTTTTTCTAGAAAGTGCGTAGGATTTCGGGGTATGTCTATTCACCAAAAATGCTTGTAATTGACCCCTGTAACTAAATATAATTTTTTTAGTATGATTTGAAATTTTTTAATTTCGTCTAAAAATTTCAGTACCTATAAAATTTTTTTTCTCGAAAGTGGGTAGGAATTCAGCGGTATGTCTTATGCCAAAAATGCTTGCAATTAACCCCTGTAACTAAATATAATTTTTTTAGTATGATGTGAAATTTGTTAATTTCGTCTAAATATTTCAATACCTACTCGAATTTTTTTCTCGAAAGTGGGTAGCATTTCAGGGGTATTTGTATTCACCAAAAATAATTGTAATTGAGCCCCGCAACCAAATATAATTTTTTCAGAATGATTTGAAATTTTTTAATTCATTTTTTTAATAACTTTTTAACGAAGCCTCAGCCAAGAAATTGATATCCTTGATTTTCGTCTTGTTTTAGCCTCTAGAATCTCCATTTAAATTTGTTCCCGGGGTGGCTGAACACCCTGTATAATTTAATATAAATAATATCTTTTTATTCTATATCTTTTCGGTATACTTTGTGTTGTAATTCATTTGCGTTTTTTGTGTTGCAACAATGCTAAAAAAATATTTAATGTTGTGATTAATAAATTAATACGTTGATTGCCATTGATTGTTATTGGTGATCGGCCCTATAATCTTATAACTTTAAAACATTCAAGACAAATAAACTTCAGTGTTTATGAACTAACTTAAATAACGTTATTGTCTTTATAAATGTTATAAAATAACAATTATATCATTAAAATATTAAATGTCAATGGCATGACTAGGAGGAGGATGGATTTTAGGGGTATGGATCGCACTAGGTGACATCGTCAAAGAGTGACGCTAGAATGACTGTTTATAAAATTTGTCAATCACCCCGAATCGAAATTCTCACCCTTCTATTAACTTTCACAATCTACATTCTGCAATCTACAGATAAAATATCATTCTCATGTTGATCTCTTCAATTTATTCATTTAAAATCACGCGTCAAAAACAAAGAATTACTGGTTTCTGATTTTCTAAAACTCTACCCAAACTGCACCAAATATTTCAAAATTAAGAAACTTACTTGGTTAAATAGACACATCGCTTTATGGTAATGTCCATTTTTTACATGAACCGTCGCTTCGTTTACTAGTAATTTCTTTTCTGAGAAAGCGACATATTTCATTTGTGATTTAGTTTTACGATTATTTACCATATTGATTCAAATCCTGCAATATGTTTAGTAGAAATATTTTACGATGAATTTAAATAAATATAAATAATTTCACTCATTTAATTTTAATTCTATAACAATCTATATGTATAAAGGGAGAAATTATAAGATGTGCTATCTTTTTGTCCAGGAGTGTAGATATTATTCGAACACGCCAATAGGTGAAATTTCTATGAGAATGAAAGCAGATAAATAAAAACAATGCAACAATATACAGGGTGTTCTGCCACTTCAGAGAAAAATTTTAATGGGAGATTCTAGAGGCCAAAATAAGACGAAAATCAAGAATACCAATTTGTTAATGGAGACTTCGTTAAAAAGTTAATAACAATTAAATTCAAAAATTTCAAATCGTTCTAAAAAAATTATTTTCGGTTACGGAGATCAATTACTATCATTTTTGGTCATTACACATACGCCCGAAATCCTACGCACTTTCGAGAAAAAAATTCCTTACCGAAAATCTAATTATGGTACCTAAATTCGGCGAAAAAAAAAAATATCAAATCGTTCTGGAAAAATTATTTCCGATTGCGGGTGTCAATTACAATCATTTTTGGTGAATAGACATACCCCTGAAATCCTGCGCTTTTTCGAGAAAAAAATTCTTTACAGGCGAAACATTAAACGTTAATAACTTTTTAACAAAGCCTCTATCAACAAATTGGTATTCTTGATGTTCGTCTTATTTTGACCTCTAGAATCCCCCATTAAAATTTTTCCTAGGAGTGGCCGAACACCCTGTATAACGACATTAAAGAGTTAGAGAATTTAGTAAGATACGAGTAATATTACTATCAAAATTCTTGCCATTTTCTATTCAAAATAGTTGTATTCTTATAGAAATTTCGTTCACCGTATGTATTAGATATTTTCTTGCATTGATATAAATATCGAGGAAAGTATTATTTATTATTAAGTATCGTCAACAAATTAATATGTGTAAATCAATTATTGGTGAATAAATAATACTTATTTAATACTATTGTTGGTAAATAAGTAATTGCAGATGCATGCTGTCTCATTGAATTTTGTCACCACATTAATAAATAATTTCATTCCACTGTTATTTCCTCCTATTAGGATCAAACTGCAATTGCGAAAGAAGCGCGAATAACAGTCTTAGCAATTTACTTAATTCCAGTGAAAATTTCTTAAGTATTTAAAAATGTGGATAAGTGACTTGAACTGTGTCGAATACATGGAAGTATCAGTACTGAAAGAGATTTTAACAAGGAAATTTTGAGGTCTGTATAATGCCTTCTATTACTCTCAATTATTATTGCGTCACTCACCTATAAACCATAGCTTTTGTGTAAGATGTAAATCTTCATTCGTAAATATCTTCTTTTCGAGCACATAACACATTTTTATTTTTGGCCGTTGATCTTCTATCAACTTCCATAACTTTCTATCAGTAAATCTTAACTTACGACCAGAACTTTTCTGTCTGTACTTATTGTCCTGCTGTCTCCCTACTCCAGGTAATCAGGACTAATCAATATGAAAGTAGTAACAAAGGACAAAGATAACGACATTCTTTTATGACTTCTTTGTCCCTCCGACAACTTTAATAGAAATGCCAATAAACGATCAAGGTTGCTTTCTTTTTTATTCTTGAGTTACGGCTTCTAATGAAAGACACATACTTCGATTGTTTGAAAAAATTCGAAATTATAGAAAGAACAACATGTAATATAAAAACATAAAAAACGAATTAAGCGGATGAAATAAACGGTAAATTAAAAATACTTTTCAATTTTTCAGGTTTATTTAAAATTTTCGACAAACTGGAAGAATTCTTTAATTCAAAATCACATGACGAAATGTTCTATAAAAATTAATTTAGAGCCTGTGTTAAGCATCAATAAAAATAAACATATTAGTCAGTTCATAAACATTCCAAAATAAAAATAAAAGTGAAAAATTCCTTCTGACAGCAATAACAAAATGTATACGTATAATATATTATTATTGCTGTATTTACTTAAAGGAAATTTCCAATTTTATACTTGATTTTAAGATATTCGAGTAGAAAAAGTCACGCATAAAATTTTTAAAAATTTATATTTTCATTCATGTTTCATGTGTCAATATTGTACGAAGTATTTAATTAATAGTGATAATTATTTTCCGAAGTGATTGTACAGATGTCGAAAACAGACATCAAGAATAACGGAATTGCGTTTGATGCATTACTATTTATAGTTAAGAATGTTGCAACAAAAGAAAATTTCGTGATTTTTTTCTTTACAGAGAAACATATTCTATGACTCTTTGATCATTTTTTGACTATTAAAAAAATATATATTTATTTAATGCACGTATGTAAGTACTTACATATGTATATGTGCACATCAGTTAACATAATTACATATAAACGGTTGAATGGATTGCAATTAAATTTTATATTTCAATTCCATATTCTCAACTGAACATCTGATTTCATTTTGAGCAAATTCAGTCCATGAATAATGATGGTTGTTTCTTATAGTTTTTCGGTTTTTCTAGCATGCCATGTATAAAGTGTTAAAAGCTGTTTTTTTCAGAAATAAATAAAAATATCTACTTCATTAGTTTTTTTTAATTAAATGGTTCAGGACATCTTTTTTTTCAAGTGCAATAAATTCTTTTGGAGTAACTGTTAGGAGAGAAAAAGAACGCCCCCTAGATGTTTAAAAATGGAAAGTGATATTATTTTGTTGTTATTTGGATAGTTATCGAACTGAATAACAGTTACTTGAATCATTTTTTTTTTATTGTATACAGGGTGTTCGACTACCCCTGGGAAAAATTTTAATGGCAGATTCTAGGGGCCAAAATAAGACGAAAATCAAGGATACCAATTTGTTGATCGAGGCTTCGTTAAAAAATTATTAACGTTTAAAATTCGGCCTGTAGAACGGCAATCGGAGAACAGCTGCGTACACGTGATAGCGGTTCTCATTCAGCATGAGAAACTCTACTTAGTGACGTATCGACAGCCATACAGTTTTGTGAGTGAGAACCACTATCACGCGTACGCAGCTGTTCGCAGATGAAAAATTATGGGGATTTCCGTTCTTTTCCGTAACAATTGCCCCAAAAGAATTTGTTGCACATGAAAAGATTAGTTCTTCATAATTAGGTCAAAAAGGGGGACGATATATTTATTGGTTTCTGAAAAAATGATTTGTTACATATTATTTAGACCACAAGATACATGTATACATGATTTGTAACTATTAGCAATTATCCCCTTGGCACACAATGACGCCTGGGAGATGTCATTTGTTTCATGTGTGTTGTAGATGATGACATTTCCAAAACGTTCAGAGCTCTCTCATCTCCGGCGAACGCTGTGCATTAAATTATTAAACCCGAGTTACGAGTGACTTGTAGATCTATCCTGTTTTTTTTTAAATATTCAAGATACTCCCCCCCCCTCCCCCCCCACAAAAGTCTCATGTTACTTAATTATTTTTATTTTTATTTGTACGTCAAGAGATTAATAACTCTAACACAAAGCCTTCATCGCAATTTCGATACTCCTGGTTGTCATTTAATATTGATTAGTAGAATTAACCTCTAAAGAAATTGTTGCTTGTATGTTTAAATTTGAATGAAAATAAAAACATGTTTTTACATAAACGGGTGATTCTATATTATTTTTAAAATAATAATACATACATCGTGAAAATTTTATATGTATATGTCTAGGACATGTACAGTGATTATATATAATTATCCTTTTTTACACACTTACAGATAGGTGTATATCTTTTATATGGGTAATTTATTTACATTTAATTACATAGTATAACTATCACTCTTATAACTCTAATCAATGCTATTTCTTAATCATATACGACAAACATGTATTACTGTGGTGGTTTCCAAGGTTGAATTTTTGGTGGCGTAGTACTATAAGGCATGTAAGCTTGATCAGAACCAGAAAAGTTTGGTGTAGGATCTGCTAACCATTTGTATTTCGGTCGTGCTGGATCTTTAGAAGGAATTAAGTCTGTCTTATAATGTAACCATCCAAACCATTCTGGCGTAACTTGGGAACCATCGTAATCCATACCAAATTGATCAGAGTATATTACCCACCTATTTCTGCCTATTAAGAAATACATAAATACATTGATTTAATATATATTTAATTTATACTGAAAAACAATTGACAATATTTTAGTATAATACAAATTAAAAGTAACTTTTTAAGAACTATACTAAATTGCATAATGTGACAAATACAATATCATTCCTTTACATTATATTTATTCTTATTTATCATATTCAATTAAAGTTAACAGTATTAATAAACAATTAGGTTTTTATTATAGTTAACCTGAACTCATAACCATCTCGTACATATCGATAATATAAAGAATTTCTAATTTTCTAACTTACCATAGAAATATTCATTATTTTCATAGTACTTGTTCCCAAATTTATCTTCACCCACCAAGGTTCCAATTTTCAATTCATCGTGTCTGAAACATTCAAAATGTAAAAAAGGAATTGTAATGGCAGAAATTAAATTATATTCGAAAATGAGATGTGACCAATAATAATTATAATCTATTATTAGGTTTGTCGGCGTAATAATACAAATTAATTGGTAAGTGACTTTTACAAAATATGTTCATACAAATTTTATCAAATAAGTACTTAACATTAAAATAACCTGTATATGTTACGCAGAGATTTAAAAATACCACCATTCGCCCGTATTATTCGAAACAATTGAGCGACTTTATCTAACCCCAACAACTTCGCCATGTTTGTTTCTGAATTACCTCAAACTAAAGGTACGTTTTCATGTAGCTGTAAATTCTCGTGACAGTTCACAGTACTAATTTTTCGTCTATGTTTAGGTAGTTTAGTGTTATATAACATTTAATTATTCTTAAAATGACATAGAATAAAGTAATTTCAGCATGTATTAGTATTATTTAAGAAATGATCAGGTTTGTTGCTAGAAAAATTGTCACATTACTACCACAGTAGTGATAAAAATCATGTCGTCTCAGCGTATTCGATGAATTTAAGTAAAGAAAAAGTGTTCTATGAACATATGTCGTTTAGAGCTTTATTTTAAAGTTATAATAAAAATATGAGATAATAATGAAATAGCAATACTACGATACAATACAATGTAAGAATATAGTTTAGATCAAAATGTTTGACAGGTATAGAGGCTGTGAATCGCGTTTAAGTTGTGACGTTTGCGAACGCGGGAAAATCTAACTACTTTGGCTAAGTATAAATATACTTCTACGAAACTTACTTAAAACAAGCAATATACCATATTTATTTATTTCAATAATGAATAAGTAAATATAATTTTAACTACCCCATAGAATACTATTTTATATTTGATATTTGACTGTGTTAATATTTAAGTATTACTTTTATAATAACATATTTTCAATCATTTATCGATTTTTTTCATAATACTGATATTCAAAATACTTAAATAAGTATTCCTCGTTCATAATGTATGTATTATGCTACTTTTTAAAATTAATTTTATAATTTAGTATATAATTTTTATTCTTTGTCAAAATATATTTACACGGTGATAATTTATTTGTACGAAATGTGTTATATTATGAAATCGAAAGAATTGAAAGGGATTATAAAAGTGATAGGAAATGTAATATTTAACTGTGTTGTTTAACATGAGAAATCAACGGACTTTAACGAGAATATATACGATTACAAGAAATGTATGCAATCATCGTACTCGATTATCAGTCTGACGTCTGCAGGTCAAGGCTTAGCAATCGTATTCATTGATCAAAATATCATGGAATCAATTTTAGTCCGCCAATGGCAATCGTACGAAAAGTTGTATTTACGTAAAACGACTGTTTTCTTTAAATATAGTAGAAACATGATCACAAAACGTAATTTTTTGTCAACAATTTAAAACAACTATTTAAAATCTGGACAGCTGTAATTTGCCTACGTTTCAAGAAAAATCACATTAAGATAGGATTCGAACGTAACTGTGGAATTAACATAGTTAATTTGAGAGTAAAATCATGAGAGAAAAAAGTTCGTACGTAAATACTTGGAGAACGAAACGACATTGCTTCGACGAATTCAAAGTCGAACATAAAAATGTTATTATTATTTAGTCTCTTAGAGACAATTTATCATTCCCCGTGTCTTAAAATCTATATAATTTCGTGTTTTACGTTTTATGTCTTAGACTGATTGCAATTTTCTTCTGTCGCTACATAGGGAGAAAGTTTTTACAAAGAAACGACTTCGTTAGTAAACTCTCTAGAATGGAAATTTCTGCTCTTACGATGATCAATCGAAACTTAATTCCAAGGCTGATTAGAATATGAATTGAGAATCGAATCGCGCTGAAAATTAATTTTCATTTACGTAAAAGTTACAAGTCATGAAAGCATTTGCAAAGGAAATAGATGTTGCAATACATTTGTTTTGCAGAAACATGTGATACTCTTATTTAGTTACAATTTGAAGATTTAACATCGACTATGTAAAAACATACGTAGAGTAACGAGTATTTATTTTGTAATTTTTTTAATCATCGAATAAAAGTTAGTATGCACATGAAAGTAGATGTGCTTAGTACTTGTATTTCTATTCCGTTTTGTAATTTCTCTTTGAAAAACCTAATATAATATATTTTTAGTGATTTTACAAAATTTCTAAGGTCCTAATGCAATAACTTAACTAATTGATTCACATTGATAACGTATCAAGAAAATAAATACAGGGCGTTCGGCCACCTCTGAGAAAAATGTTATTGGGAGATTCTGGAGGACAAAGTAAGACGAAAATCAAGAATCTCAATTTGTTGATTGAGGCTTCGTTAAAAAGATATTAAAAAATTAAATTAAAAAATTTCAAATCATTTTGGAAAATTTATTTTCGATTGCGGGTGTCAATTGCAATCATTCTTGGTCATTAGACATATCCCCGAATTCCTACCCACTTTCGAGACAAAAACTCGAGTAGGTACTGAAATTTTTAGACAAAAAAAAGTCAAATCGTTTAAAAAAAATTATTTTCGGTTGTAGAGGTCGATTACAATCATATTTGGTCATTACATATATCCCTGAAATCCTACGCATTTTCGAGAAAAAAATTCCTGACCGAAAATCTAATGTGAGGCCAGAAATTTCATTAGAATCTTTAAAATGCAATAACTTCTGAACGGATTGGGGAATTTTAATGTTTCAAAATGCAAACGACGCGTATTTTAATCAAAAATATGTAGAAATTCCAAAAATTAATGTTTGACCCTGAAAAATGAGAAAAACCCCCAAAATATGGTCCAATTTTCAAACAACCATAATTCCTATAGTAGTGAATATATTCCAATGAAACTTTTTTCTGAAGTAGAGCTCATGGGTGCCTACAAAAAAGTATTACACAACTTTTCTGTAGGGCGTCAAACAAAGTTATTAAGAATCAAGAACGAATTTTTAAGAAAAATCGACAGGGGTGCCTAAATTTTTCAGCGAAAACAAAAGAATTTCAAATCGTTCTAAAAAAATTAGTTTTATCTAGGGGGTCAATTACAATAATTTTTGGTGAACAGACATAACCCTGAAATCCTACCCACTTTCGAGAAAAAAATTCGAGTAGGTGTGAAATTTTTCGACAAAATTAAAAAATTTGAAATCGTTCTGGAAAAAATTATTTTCAGTTGCGGGGATCAATTACAATAATTTTTAGTGAATAGACCTAGCCCCGAAATCTTACGTACTTTCGAGAAAAAAAATTCTTTACTGAAATTATACTGTGTGGCCGGAAATGTTTCTATAACTTTTTAACGAAGCATCAATCAACAAATTAGTATCCTTGATTTTCGTCTTATTTTGGCCTCTAGAATCTCCCATTAAAGTTTTTCCCAGGGGTAGCCTAACACCCTGTATAATTTTGTAAAAATATCAAAATAATTAATGATATATGAAAAGTATATGAAATTATTATAAATATTTGTATAGTCGCTAATAGTCACAATAGTTGATGCAAGTTAAAATGTATCGAAAAGAAAACTATTGAACACGCTTTTTTTTTTAATTTGCTACATTCACTCACAAAGTTTTAATTTGGCATTGCTCATGTAATTAGATCATGATCTAAATTATAAGTTGTTTACAAATTGAAAGGAAGTAGTGTATTCTTGCCGATTATTAATTTAAAGTAACGATTGTCTTAAATAATGAGAACATAAAATAAAAACGGGGAAAACGCTTAGATATGGAAACGTCAACGATTCAAAAATCACGTTCAAGAAACAAACGAAGCAATGCTAGCAAAATATCGCAACATACTGACAGTATCGTGGAAGATACATCCAATCAGGATGTAAAAGAAGAAGTACCAAAGAAACCGGCAATGAAAAAGAAGAAATCTGAAAACGTTCGTAAAATGTTTGTTTCTAGCCTCGATCTTTACGATGAACCTTTAAAATGGTGGGAAACGGAACACGTGAAATACGCGTACGTTACTTTCCTTGTTTATTTAAAACTTGTAACATTAAAGTGAAAACCGTTCTATATTTTTTAGAAAACTCGCTAATGTTACAATCTTTAATTCTTTTTTACCTCTCTTAATATCAGACAATAAATGATCGCGTTCTACACAGTTTCATTTTAATAGTAATGAAGTATCAGTCTTATCTACTGTGCAGATTAAATTATCCACCGGTGAAATCGAAACTGGAGAAAGTAATGGGATCTCCAATTGTGCGATTCACCGATCGTAAATACATGATACAACTCGCATCTAACATTATCAAAGATCACGAGGAACAACAAAAAATTCGTATCGAGGGGAGAAAGTTGGCGCCACCTTCGATTATATCTCAATTAATGAAAATATCCTATAAAACACTCTCCGATAAAATAAAGCAACAAGACTTTAGTAAACTAAAACTTTATGTCTAAACATATACAGGGTGTTCGGCCACCCCTGGGAAAAATTTTGATGGGAGATTCTGGAGATAAAAATAAGACGAAAGTCAAGAATGCCAATTTGTTGGTCGAGGCTTCGTTAAAAAGTTATTAATGTTTAAAGTTCCGCCTGTAGAACGGCAATTTGCGTGCAGCTGCGTACACGCGATAGTGGTTCTCACTCAAAAAACTGTAAGGCTGTCGATGAGTCAGTAACTAGAGTTTCTCATGCTGAATGAGAACCACTATCACGCGCACGCAGCTGTTCGCAGACTGCCGTTCTGCATACGGAACTTTAAACGTTAATAACTTTTTAACGAAGCCCCCAAGAAAAAATTGGTATTCTTGATTTTCGTCTTATTTTAGCCTCTAGAATCTCCCATTAAAATTTTTCCCAGGGGTGGCCGAACATCCTGTATAAGTATGATTCTATTTATGTATACAATATTGAATGTGTAACGTATAAATGCTGACAGTGAAGCGAATGAAAGTATTGAAAAAATCAAGTGTCGTATCAAAAGTTTCTGGTTTAAATAACCTTTATTTTTTAAACAAATTACCGCAATATTTTATCCGCAACTAATACTATATGAACAAACAAAGAACTGCTTCACGCTACTTCACACACGTAGAATAACAGAACGGAATCACTAAGTATAAAAACATACCTTATGACCTAAACATCAAAACAGATATTACAAATATATTTAATATCGTTAATAATATTATCTAACTATACAAGGAACAATATGTTTCTACGCTATTGGAGAAATATGAGTTCCCTCGCATTTTTACACAACTATTAATACTAATCACTACGTAGTGTAAATATTACATAAATTTCACCAACAATAAGATAAACGAACGTGACACAAATCAAAAGACTAAACTCCACAAAATAAAAAATAGAGAACATTGAATTTTCAACGAATTCGTAAGTGATGATACGATGATTTATCAAAATTAAGAAATTTTTAAAAAGTGGCGCTTGACTCATGACACGTCCAGTTATTAGACGCTGTAAAACATTTATATATTTTGAAAGGAATTTTACACATTAAAATCTACATAATGCAGTCACAAAAGATTACCATCGGAGATGGTCGTTTTTCTGTGACTAAACAAAACGTAACAATGTACTATAAGATAGATATTAATTCATTTACATTCGTTAACATTTTAATTTCAAACGTAGTCTCCACTTTAAGGGTTATTTATTTTTTTTATATAAAATATAAAAGTTTAATAACTATGTCATGAGTAAAGTATCTACATTAGAAAATTTTAGGCGAGATTTTTTAAAATCTTTCGCAATCTAGATGTCATAAGTACGTATCAGTAAATTTTAAACCACATTTATATAAAACTTCAATTATATCGCTCTTGAAATTATAATAATAAATTAATGTTAGGTATAGTATGGCTTATTCGAAAAAAATAGTATTTAATGCTTATTATTACATTTAGTCATATCATAGGTATAAGAATATCCTTGATATTTTGGTGTACGAAATGTAGAACTGGCTATTAATTCTATTAACAATTCTGGCAGTACAAAACTTTTTAACTCAGTCTTCTTTATCCTCTCGCCTTATTTATGCAAATAGTTTTTGGAGCCTACTTTGTGAAAAAGAGCTGCTAATAAGTTGCTTTTTAATTTTTTACCATGGGGATATTCATGTTCAATGATTTTATGAGTATATGGAACTTCAACAACTATACCTTCATTTTCATCGTGATCGATTGTTTCTGCCTCTGCAAAATCGTTAAAAATTTTGCATAATTTCAAATAAGTGCTATATTAAGTGTACAATAAGTCAAGTTGTATCGAAAATTATCGAAAAATAAAATAGAGTATTTATTATTCTCACCTAGATAGTCATGGTTCCATGGTACGGCGTCATTCCACGAAACGAATAATTTCAAGGGTATTTTAATTTTAGGTTCGGGGATATGCGTAAATTCATGATCAGACCAACCAAGCGTTGCTAGATGTTCGCTAAAAATTATTTTGTGAATATACATTAACCGTTTGCATTGAATAAATTAGTTTGACAGAAAGGTAAAATTTTAATATTCTCCATAATACGTCGACGGCCATATTGGTTTTCGTTGTTTAGGAAAACTCTTGACATTTTTTCAAACTATAATCTGGTAAATAGAAGTATTCAATAATTCAATAAACAATGCTTGTTATTTTCTAGTATTCATAATGTTTATGAAGTTACTAAAAAATTTACGAGTACAAAGTTTGATTTATTCATAAGCATTTTAAAGACACGTTATAAGTTTTAAGCGCCGATTACCAACAATTAACATGGCAGTCAATGTATTAATCACACTAATATTTATTCCTGCCGTAAAATCCGTTCAAATTAAATCCAGTTAAATGAAATTCTAATCGTTATAAAATTTAGACATACTTGTGAATTTCTTCGAGCTCATATTTCTTAGGCGCTTTTAATGGCGGTTCAATGTATGTGTGCACTGGATAGTAATGCACATGATAATGCTCTACAAGAGTGTGCTTTTTTTTCCCTTCTTTTTTTTCCTTTAACGATTGTAGGAAGTTCATTAAAAGTTTTTTAGGACTGAAACATAAAATTTTTCCCATAAATCATAATGTAAACTCTGTGAAAAATGTTAATAAAATCAGACATTGATGCTCTATCGATTAGAAAATAGTGACTGAATAATAATAATGTATGCAGTTTAAATTACAAAGAAAATAATTTTTGTTCGCGAGGAAACGAAAATATAAAATCACTTACTATGCGAAAAAGAATCCCTCGGTCGAAGTAACCAACAGTAATGTTAAAAGTAAGGTAAACTGAAAATCATAAAAAATAATTATTATAATACATAATTCCAATCACCTCATTTTGTATGTTAAATTTCAAGCTTTGAAACCGTAATATGAATTTATTACTTATTTATATCGTAATTACACTCTTAGAAATAGAAACAAAGTACACTTTTAAACGACTAAACAGTGTTTTCCAAAATAATTTACAAGAAATTTTATAATAAAAATAAAAAAAATTTTATATAAAAATTACGCACTGGATAGCATCGTAGAAAAAAAATATTGTCGATTTGAATTTTGGAGAAAGGTCGATTGAAATGAAACAAAAAGCACGTTAAGTATTGGAATGATAACAAGCATACGAAGTAGTTGAAGAAACAACCTGGTTTTCTAACTTGAAGTTTCAACGCTTTATGCGCGTTCTTTGCTTGAAAAAATATCAGATTTTATTTAGAAGAATTATAAATGTACAAAACTCGTTAAATGTACCTTTACAACCTATTATTACATTTTATATATCTATATAACTTTTATAAATAAAATTAAACACATTTCCTTGAGAAGAACACGCTTAAAGAGTTGCTACGCCGACAAAGAAAACAAACTGTTCTATTCATCCAATTGGTTTTATATGACTATCATCGTTTTAATATTTAGAAGCACTTAAAAAGCACGCTGTTAGATATAATCAAGATTTACTTGCAACAAGAATTTCGTCCTCATGGTTGTTTAAAAGTTAATCGTTGAAAATAAATCGACCTTAAGAGGGTTCTTTAGCCCGCAAACACTAATAGTTTGTCCGCAACGCGATTCGTGTTACAAACTGAGAATTCCGACGAATCAGGATCTCCTTATATCTACACGGTTACTCTCTTTTCCTATGGGCCCCGAGGACCCAAGTTTTGTTGCATTCGCTTCGATGCATGCCACATTTCTTATTATTGCTTAGAGAACTCAAGCATACATAAGCAACTATGTATGCTCGTCTAGTAAGTTAGTGCCACTTTCAACTCGAAATGCCTTTAAACTTCACTCACAGCGATATCTAACCGCAAGTTTTAACAGATTACACAAATATCTAAACTTTGTTTATTCAAAACGAACAGATATTTAGAATCTCGTAAAATTAACTTTTAAATAACTATCGATGCAAGGAAAATTTAATGATAATGAAGAAGCTAAGTAAGTTACGCAATTTTTAAGAAAATGATTATCTAATTAATAATAATAAATAATAGATAAGTATGTAAATGTACGAAATGTAATCAATTTCTCGGTCTATTATGGACTAATAAAAACTTTGAAGATCTCTATTTAGCGAATTTTCTTAAATCACCACTAGTAGCTGAACACCCTGTATATTGGGTGAAGAAAGTGAAATACAAACCTGACTTATAGGAACAGGTTTCGATATATTTAATCTCAAAAGCGACAACAATGAGTAACACCAATCCAGTACTGATTCTTCAGATAAATGTATGTTCTAGTTGTCTACTTTCGCTTCTAAGGCGCTTGAACTTGCGAATAAACGAAGAAGAGGACGAAATCGCACCGCGTAATGTTAAAGTGGAAACTGCCTTCGACTAGCATTCGATCTGTTAGTAATAAAAAATAAACCATACAACGTTATTTTGCTCAGTTCGTTACATTTTATCAACTAACAGGAAGCGATAAATCAGCAACGTTATTTTACTTAGTTTCCTTGATAATTACGCACAGTTGTCATACCATTGCAAGGCGTGGATGTAATGGTCCCAAAATTATACGCTAGATCAGTATTTCTCAACCTTCCTTGGCTTGTGTCTTCGATCTCACAAGGAGACAAGATCTTCGATTCACCGATTTAACTAAGATTTTGTACACTACTAGATTTCGACACTTTCTTTACGAAAATATACGATTATATGATCAGACGCTCAATATTTTTCGATTTATTCACGCTTAAAGTTTTTTAATACTTTTAAAAACTTTGTCGATTGGAGGAATCGACAATTAATACTGCGGCCTAGCGGCAACAAACCGAAATTTTACTGATAATATTCGATGTATGTATAAATAATTTACATGTATCTTTTATCAATATTTTTATTGCAAATCCGTTTTGCACAATTTATGAAATCTTAGGAAGTATTAAGACAATACGAGGGTCGTTCAATAAGCCCTTAGAAAAAGAGAAAAACAAATTATTTTAGGTAGATTTTTTTTTATTTTTTAACATAATCTCCTTTTACCTTTATACACTTTTCCAAGCGTTTCTCCAACTTTTTTAAGCCATCTAAAAAGTAAGATTTCGGAAGGTCCTCAAAATAGACATCTGTTTGGGCGGTGACCTCGTTTGACGTGAATCGTTGTCTGCCGAGCCATTTTTTAAAATTTGGAAATAAAAAAAAACCACTGGGTGCCAAATCCGGTGAATACGGTGGACGTTGTAACAATTCGAACTTTAATTTCATGATTTTGGCCATCGAAACGGCACAGGTGTGCACCCGTGCATTGTCTTGATGGAGGAGGATCTTTTTCTTTTTCAAATGAGAACGTTTTTTCTTGATTTCTTCGTTCAACCGGTGTAATAACGACGCATAATGCTCTCCAGTTATTGTTTTTCCTTTTTCCAAGTAATCGGTGTAGATGATTTCGCGTGCATCCCAAAAAACTGTGGCCATCACCTTGCCGGCTGATTGCACCGTCTTCGCCTTCTTCGGAGCCCGTTCGCCTTCAAAAACCCACTGTTTTGACTGTTCCTTTGTCTCTGGAGTGTAGTAGTGTATCCACGTTTCGTCCACAGTTATTTATCGACGCAGGAACTCGCTAGGATTGCGACGAAAAAGCGCCAAAACAGCCTTAAAGTCGACCACACGATTGCGTTTATTCTCCACTGAGAGCAAACGCGGCACCCATCATGCCAAGATTTTTTTCACGCCCAATTTTTCGTGCAAAATTGAAAACATTGTACCTTGCGATACGCCTGTGGTCTCAACTATTTCGCGCACTTTGATTCGTCGATCACTCAAAACCATATCGTGGATTTTGTCAATTATTTCGGGAGTAGTCACTTCCACTGGACGTCCCGAACGACGTTCATCAATTGTGCATGTACGGCCACGTTTACACTCATTTATCCAATTGTAAATAGTTGCAAACACAGAAGCAGATGGGCCATGAACTTCATCCAACTGAGCTTTGATCTCTTTCGACGTTAAGCCTTTTAAATACAAGTGTTTAATCACCGTTTGAAACTCACTTTTTTCCATTTTTCTAAATAAGCAAAAGTTTCTTGCTTCAATAAAAATGAAATCGTATGGTGGATATAACTGAGAATTTGATAGCTATCTAGTGAGTTATGATGCTTACTAAAAACAAAAGTTTTCGATGCTACGAGCACCAACTTTGAATTTTCTAAGGACTTATTGAACGACCCTCGTATTTTCTATTAAATCAAATATACACTTTTCCTGGTACTGTTAGCATTATATGATTAAAATAACAATACTAATTATTTAAATTGATGACAACACGATTGTATGTCTATGTTACGGTACTTAAAGGTTGTAGATAATGAAGATTATATAACCAAATTGAGATAATCGAGAATTGGAAGTCATTGATATTATGTATTAGTTAAATGTCAGTTTTTAAAATACTGTGGTTTATCATCGTAATTCAGGTATGCAACAGGTTTGCTTCACATTGATGCGTATAATATGAAATGATGAAAGAGAACCGATAATTGTGATTCACGTCGGTAGTACGTAAAAATTTCACAATTTATTTGTTATGATTATTTAATTTGATGGAGAGGTTCTCAGAGTGCTATTTACATACGTTATCTTCAATCTATCTATTCTACAGGGTGTCCCAGATTTTAATATCCGAATTTGATCAGTATATTCTATGGATCTAAATGACAAAAAATGTTATGGAGGAAACAATATAGGACTTGCAATTACTGCGAAATAATGTGGGCATAGATCAGTAATATTTACATTTAGTTCGTTCATAAGAGTTGTGTTTACTATCTGAGGCTTTCAAAGGTAGTAATGTATTTGAAGCATTACCGGAAATGATTAAAATTCCATTTCAAAATGTCCATTGTTTTTGGCAATATAAGATTAGGAACGGTCGAGAATTGTATTTATTACTCTACAAATTTAATTTTTGTTTGATTTCATTCGATTGATTATTACCTCTGTTACTGCATAAAAGTGAAAAGATTTTCACTAGTTTTAGCGTAAACACATTACTAGAGTTTATCGTGGCATTGTCGATATTTGTAAAAAGATTCGAATTTGACAAGAGCAGTTAAGAATTAAGAATCGCACTCCAAGATAATTTTCTATTTTAATTAGAAAAGATTTTCACTAGTTATAACGTAAACACGTTGGAAAACACATTACTAGAGTTTATCGTAGCATTGTCGATATTTGTAAAAAGATTCGAATTAGACAAGAACAGTTAAAAATTATTTAAGTTTCGCGCATACGAAAATATTTTCAAATTACAAGCCTCGTTTAGAAAAAGTCTATTTTTTATTTTACTTCGAATGTAATCTTTTATGATTCATTATGCATTTTAAAACATTCATTTGACGGTTAGATAAAATAAACACACGAAGGAAATGAGAGTAAATCATCATCGTGTATTAGTTATTCAATCGCGTGATCATTGATGCGTACTAAAATGTATACAGGTCTTCTTGGAAAACAGTCATAAGCGTATTTAACGTGTGAATTTCACTAACCAATTGACCAACGCCATTTGTACAGAATTAAAACTGTAAGAAAATGCTAGAAATGCACATTTATATAATTTAATATCATCGAATGAAACATTAAAAGTAGTTGATCTCGTGTTAATAAAATGTATACGTTGCTTCATCGAAATAAATGTATGCAAATCAGTATTACAATTGAAAATAATAATTTTTCGTTTTACCGCAACATTTATAGTATACCTGCTGACACTTTTCTTCTTTATGTTTTTATTGTTTCATAGATTTATAATTTTTAATAAGAACAACGGTACATGCTAAAATTGTGAGAAACACTGGACGAAAGGTAAGGAAAGGAATAAATAATGTCCGAGATATGTAAACTGACCTATTCATTTCTGAATTACTGTGAGTTAAAGATTTAAGAAAAGAGTTCATCTTTAAACTGTTTGTTTAGCAAGCATAGGAATGTTTATAATTTTTATTGTATTATATGAAGTATTATAATGTATTGAAACGTTTGTACAGCACTGGAAAATAATCTCTTCCTCGAGATTTAAATTACATTAATAATAAAAAAAAAATCGATATTAAGGGAATGTTTAATTCTTTATTTTCGAAATTGAAGTTTGCGTTTTATAACCGACGACTCTTCTCCGAAACTTTCTCACTATTCTACTAGAGAAAGCTTCGTGATATAAAGGAGACACTTCTCGGATATTGGCACGTTATTACTAAACCGGTTCTATTTTTTATTTTTCGTGTACTGTGTTTTACTCGTTTGCATTAGATTGAAGAACATATTGCTCACAGGTACACTACATTTTACTTAAGAAATGAAACAGGGATTTGTTGCACTTCAAATTGCATTGTGTGATGTTGATTACAAGTCAGCAACACAGTTGAATCAATTTTATTAAAAAATCATTCATTTTTCTTTTTATATTTTACATAATTAATTTTTCAAATATACAAAAGTTTCAATTATAGAATTATAGTAATCACTTAGAAAGTACAATTTCTTCTCTTCGATGTTTCTATTATACATATATGTATTATATGTATATTATATATATATAATATTATGCAATTTGTATTAAATATTTCATAATGTCGTTACTTTGAAATACAGGTAGTTCAAAATACATTCTAACAATATTATCGTGGTTGTTATACAGCTGAAATTATTTTTTATTTTAAATACTCGAATTTTTAGATATACAGGGTGTTCGGCCAATCCTGGGAAAAATTTTAATGAGCGATTCTAGAGGCCAAAATAAGACGAAAATCAAGAATCTCAATTTCTTGACTGAGGCTTCGTTAAAAAGTTATTAAACAATTTCAAATCATTCTGAAAAAATTATTTTTGGTTGCGAGGCTCAATTAAAATCATTTTTGATGAATACACATACCCCTGAAATCCTACCCATTTTCGAGGAAAAAATTCGAGTAGGTACTGAAATTTTAAGATGAAATTAAAAAATTTCAAAACGTTCTAAAAAAATTAGTTTTGATTGCAGGGGTCACTTATAACCATTTTTGGTTATTAAATATATCCCTAAATTCCTACGCATTTTCGAGAAAAAAATTCCTTACCGAAAATATAATTTCTGGCCAAAAATGTTAGCCCAAAAATGCGAATCTTTAAAACGTCATAACTCCTGAACGGATTGAAGGATTTAAATGTTTCAAAATGCAAACAACGCATATTTTGGTGTAGAATATGTAGAAATTCTAACAATATTGAAAAAGTTGTTCCTTGACACCGTAAAGTGAAAAGTGAGAAAACCCCCCTAAAACAGGTCCAATTTTCAAACGAGCAGAACTCCTACAATAATAAAGGTATCTCATTGAAATTCTTTTCTGGAGCAGAGCTCATGGGTATCTACAAAAAAGAATTAGACAACTTTTCTGTAGGGCGTCAAACAAAATTATTAAAAATGAAAAACGAATTTTTAAGAATTATCGACAGATGGTAGGTGCCTAAATTTTTCAATGAAAAAAAAAATTATTTTCAGCTAGGTGGGTCAATTACAATAATTTTTGGTAAATAGACATAACCCTGAAATCCTACCCACTTTCGAGAAAAAAATTCGAAAAGATGTGAAATTTTTCGACAATTTAAAAAATTTCAAATCGTCCTAAAAAAATTATTTTCAGTTGCAGGGGTCAATTACGATCATTTTTTATGAATAGATATACCCCCGAAATCCTGCGCATTTTCGAGAAAAAAATTCAGTACGGGCGGAACTTTAAGCGTTAATAACTTCTTAACGAAGCCTCCATCAACAAATTGGTATTACTGATTTTCGTCTTATTTTTGTCTCCAGAATCTCCCATTCAAATTTTTCCCAGGGGTGGCCGAACACCCTGTATAGTATAGTTTGATTATTTTAGTTTGAATCGTGCATATGGCCGACGAAATTACCTAGACCAGTTTTTTCACAGACCCTCTTGTCACTCAGGCAAAGATCATGATCTCCGTTCTCAAAATGACGTTTTAAAATGTTAGTCAAGTCAATGTTTTTCAAACCTATGCTCCACTAAATTTTCCAACAATTGCGTACCTAAGTAAGAGTTTATATTTAACAAAAATTGAATATTTATATTAGAAAAGAATCTTAGTATATTAGAAAATATTAGAAAAGAAACGGTGTCTTTTAGTGTTTTTAAGTATTCACTTTACCATAAAATTCTGTTTTCTAAACAAACTGGTAAATAGTTTTAAATCTCAACTACATTTTGGCAGTTTCACCAACATTTGCAAAATTTGCAAAGTTAGTTTAACCAAGGAAGCTTTTAAAATTCTACGGTGTAAGTCATAATAATAACTTCAAGGCATTGAAAGATTTATTATAATTTAATAACTATTGCCATTTCAAAGTATTGAAAGAATAAAATTAGTATGTGTGGTACGCAGATGGCCACACGATGGCGCTTTACGGGAGAGTACGGATCGACCGTAGGGGAACCCCAAGTGAGGATCGCCACGCGGTTGCGAGGTTTTTCGTGTGTGAATATTAATACTGAAACAGTTGTATCACTTTCAATGTATGACTTATTGACATGAATAAACTACGCTCTATATTATTGACGGACCACAGTATGTTTAAATATAATGTATCTAACTAAATAAATATTTAATAATTCCGTGTACAAATTCGCGGAGCCCCCACAAATCTATCCATGGCCCCTTTGCGATCTGCAGATCACAGATTTAAGAATCACTGACCAAGATCTTTAAATTTAAACAAAAAAAAATATTGAATTATATTACAATTTGAACGCGAATTGAAACATATCAAACGTTATTCAGTGAAAACAAAAATATCTTCTGGTGATACTTTATATTTACAAATGTGCCTAAAATATCTAATCAAATTCGAAGAATTCGATGTCAAATAGAGAAAATAAATCGAATCGCAAAGAAAGTTTAAATAGTGTCTAATAAATAATAAAGAAAAAGATATAGTATTGAATTTATACACGCGACACTTAAAAATATCTAATGTAAATAGTATCATCTTTGAAAATTCTATCATACCGTTCACCTTTCTCTTTAATAGCACAATAAAATAAAATAAACAAATTCAAATTAAAACAAATGTTTCCTTTTCATCTTTTTGTTTCCTTTTATCAAAAAATAGAAAGTATGAGGTACTAACGCAGATTACAATATAAAATATCAGCTTCATATTATATAAGAACTCAACATTGATACTCTAAGATAAAATATATTTACTATACAAAAATGAAATGATTATTAAATTGTCACTAAATAAAATTATTAATAGATGATCCATTTTACCGTAATTAATAATCGAAAACTCTAATATTGTTATAGAGAATAAAAAAAACAGAAATATACATAAAAGAAAAACACAGTAGATTGTGAATGCATTTAAATTTGTCAATTTCTACATTTTTCGAACAGATGGCGCATCCGATCAGAATATCCGTTGGCAAGCACTCGTAAAATCTCACATTGTTATATATTTTTCAGTAAGTTCGACTCGAGAAGTGGGGGAGCATTGTCAAGATATTTTTCGTGAAATACTTGTAAGATTAACACAGTGCTTCGTGATAATTAATACTAATTAATGTTAACCAGAGAATGAAGCTCTTTGTACGTGACATTTAAAGTGTGTAATTCATAGTGTGCTTCCAAATTTCCTCTCACTCTTAGGAAAATCGCACACCCGTATAAAATAGTACTACTTAAGTAATTAACAAATCTGTGGATGAAGAAAGAACAATACTAATTTAAAACAGTAGTGATAAAAATTAATTACAACAGCGTTGTTTAAATATTAACGTTTTAATTGGCTAAATATTTGATGAAGAACACGAGTCGATATGTCGATTGATATGAAACGCACCTAATGCACCTCATCTCTTTCGGTGAGTAGTGCATGTGCAATAAACAATGCGTAGTTCGATGGATGTTACAGATCATCGTAACAAGTCAGATTTTTTTTTCTGTAAAATACCAAAAATATCGTATCGATGCCTGAATGCAAGATATTAATTATTTATTTTGATCATAAATACAAATTACATGCTGACGTGCAAGAACTTGTACATCTCTATTCGTGCATGTGTTTATGTATAGATAGTTACATACGTTCTCACGCATATATATTTTTTTTTTACTCAACTTAACGATTTTCTATACACCTTCTCATCTTAAAAATACTGAGATTTATCTTCGTATTTTTTATTTAGAATTTTTCTGTGTTTCATGTATCATTGCAATTTGCAGGACTGTAAGTGATAACTTGTTCAAGATGAAAAGTAACAAATATAAACAATAATCTTACGTATTTAAGAATGTCGTAGTTATTTATTTGTGCAAAACACTCGTGATGTAATCATACTTCGTAGCGATCAAGAAAGTAAATGCAAAGTGCCGTTGAGTGTATATCATTCAACATAGTTTCTCTTTAATTTATCAAACCTAATAAAGAAATTACAATATATATATTTCTTCTTTTTCGCATTGTCTGAAATGTTTTTGCAAAGATTTTAATAAACTCGTATATGTAATATATATAATAGGGAGTAACACAATTATGCATAATTTATTATAGTAGTTATATAAAACAACAGTTTTATAAAATGGTATTTCAAATTAAATTTATTACATTATTCCAAGCAATTAAACAGAAAACTATGTAATTTCTTTTTTTTAAATACTTAAAATCATATCATGCCATGAGCAACTATTTAAATATTAATAAAGCTACATAATTTCTTTTTCTTTTTTAATCATGTTTTAGGTCATAACTGGAGTATGCACCAGCCTTTATGGAATATCGTTGCAGTCTTTTTGTTCATAAATGCTAAAAGATGCCACCAAAACAGAGGAAAATAGCTATTATGGGTTACAGATCCGTAGGTAATGAAATATTATTATACTATTTTCAATTGTGATTAAATATTTTAAGTTATCATGGCATAACGTCAATTTATTTGACAAGTAAATATATAATTTAATTATATTTATCATAAATGGCCCGTTGTGTGACTTTTTGTTAGTAAATACTTATTTTATAATACAGGGTGTTCGGCCACCCCTGAGAAAAATTTTAATGGGACATTCTAGAGGCCAAAATAAGATGGAAATCAAGAATACCAATTTGTTAATGGAGGCTTCGTTAAAAAGTTATTAACAATTAAATTAAAAAATTTCAAATCGTTCTGGAAAAATTATTGTCGGTTGCGGAGGTCAATTACTATCATTTTTGGTAAATACACATACCTACGAAATCCTATCCACTTTTGAGAAAAAAAATCGGGTAGGTGCTGAAATTTTTCGACGGAAAAAAAAAATTTCAAATCGTTTTAGAAAAATTATTTTCGGTTGCGGGGGTCAATTACAATCATTTTTGGTGAATAGACATACCCCCGAAATCTTGCTCATTTTCGAGAAAAAAAGTCGAAAGCTTTTAACGAAATCTCCATCAGCAAATTGGTATTTTTTATTTTCGTCTTATTTTGGCCTCCAGAATCACCCATTAAAATTTTTCCCAGAGGTGGCCGAACACCCTGTATATGAAATAAAAAGAACTTAAGAATAATATATTATTTTTATAATAATTCTAATCGTACTGTAGGCAATGAAAATAATTCAAATCATAATAGTTTGAATAAATTTTATATTTTTTATAAAAATAGTATTACTATAATTCAAAATTGGTGCCTGCATTTTGAATACTTTGTATTTAATATAATAATTTTTATTTTTTTTAAACTTATTGTATTCATATAATTTATAATACTAATGTGAATTTGCATTTAATAATCATTGACTGTACTTTTATTAATTTTAATAGGCAAGTCATCACTGAGCATACAGTTCGTCGAGGGACAGTTTGTGGATTCATATGACCCTACTATAGAAAATAGTAAGAAGTACCTGTATCGTCTTACACGCTACTTCAAAGATTTCTAATGACACTGTTAGTAGTATTTTCTGCACATTCTCTTCATAATCCATGCTGTAAACAAGCAGTAGTTTCATGAAAAATTATTATTTAATGGACAGGTATTTTATAAGATGTACTATATCCAATGAATACTAAATTCTTAAACCAAAAATATAGATTCTTAGTGCTTCAACATCATTATTAATTATCATCTTTTTAAGTTCAAGGTTATATTTGGATGTGTACATAACACATATCAGGATAATTTTAATGGAAACAATATGTTTCTATTTGTGGCTTGCTCATCCACTTATAATCGTTAATGACATAAACAGTTGATAATCTATAATTGTATAAAGATATTAAAATAATTTTATTTTTGGTCCAAAAGGAATCTTATTTGTAATGAATATAAAACATTGTATAATTTAAGTAACGAAAATCAATTATTGAAATTCAAAACGTAAGTAAAAAACACATTAAGTTTGGAACATATAGAAATTCTGATAAAATAATAGTATTTCTTAATCTCCAATGGAATAATGAAAAAAAAACATTGTTGTCCTTTTTTTACATTAGAGCAATATCACAATGATTTACAAATTTTATTATACTCTATACTTTTCATTATTTTAATCACATATTAGTAATACAGCATATAGAACAAGTTTATTTTAAGTTATATTTTATTACTTTAATTGTTATTTCTTGTGTCGATTATTAACAAAATGTATTTATACGAATACATTCCATATGACATTTTAACGTTTCATAAACAATGTTTACATATACATGTTTAATTTGTTATGTACTTTTGCATTAAATAACTTTTATATTTTAAAGTGGTGATATTGCTTACTGTAAAAATTAATTATAATATCATTACGTTAAATGTAAGTAAACCAAATTTTAATTCGTTAGCATTGATCGATCTTTGACAAAATGACCAACATCGTAAAGTCTTTTATTACGTTATTAAGTTTTTTGAAAAACATTAGAATTACTGCAGGATCGAAAATTGAAACTGTTTGATATTCGTTACAATAAGTGTGTCCATATTAATAATATACGATAGAATTAATTTTCTTCGTTATTCAAAATTGTGTTTATGGAAGAAATTGATAGTGCTATTCCAAAACTATTATAGTTTGTGATTTTATAATAAATAATCGTAGTTGCAATGAAATAATTACAAATTCTTTTTACTCTGACAAATGTTATTAGCTGTGTGGTGGATACAATTACTATGTTTTAATCATGAAATAAATGATGTCTTTGAAGTTGAACATTTTAGTAGTGTATTTCCATAAAACTGAAATTAGAATTATTTCAGGTGATAGTTTCAAATGTGCTGTTCTATATATTAAATTTCAAAAATTATAAATTTATAGTTCGATATTATATTAATTTGTTCTCTTTTCTTGAATAATTTCTTAAATTATATTTATGGACATTCTATAATGTATTAGAGTTTTCTATTAAAATCTACTTGACTCTATTTTTTAACTTTTTTATTTCAATTCCTAAGGAGCAGTTAATTTTAAAAACTGTTTTAATCATCTGAATTAATTCAAATTATCTGAAGTTTCTATGTATGCTAAAAGTTACCATTACAAATTACACAAACTGTTTTCATTATAGCATGTATGCATTATTAGTGATATGCATGTATTTCAACTTCTAGTATTTATGTTCTATATAAAGCTAAAGTGTTATTGCTCTTTCATGATGTTTATTGTAATTGAATGTAATTAATGTGGTAGTATCTTACATTTTACTGTTATGCTTTCTTATACACTTAATCTTTTTAAAATAAAGCTTCTCAAAGAAAGAATATTAATGCTCTTTCTAGAATTTTGTACTTGCATCTAATTTAATAGGGGTGTGAAGAGAGCCTGAAACTCGAATTCGAACTATCAGGAAAACGATGGATTTTAATAGAACCCAATACAGGATGATTGGCCACCTCTGGGAAAAATTTTAATGGGAGATTCTAGAGGCCAAAATGAGACGAAAATCAAGAATACCAATTTCTTAATTTAGCTTCGTTAAAAAGATATTAATGTTTAAAGTTCCACCTGTAGAACGGCAATCTGCGAACAGCTGCGCACGCGCGATAGTGTATCTCACTCAGCATGAGAAAGCCTTACAGTTCTCTGAGTGAGAATCACTATCGCGCCTATGCGCTGTTCGTAGATTGCCGTTCTACAGACGGAACTTGAAACGTTAATAACTTTTTAACGAAGCCTCCATCAAAAAATTGGTATTCTTGATTTTCGTCTTATTTTGGCCTCTAGAATCTCCCATTAAAATTTTTCCTAGAGGTGATCGAACACCCTGTATATCTCGAATAACCGAACTGTTGCGGGACCATTTGAAACAATTCGGTTCGAGGTATATCGGATTCTGCCCCAATTCGCCGATTTCTTGACTGCTCGAGTCCAAATTTCGGACTACCCGCACATCCCTCCAAAATTAAGTTATATAATTTTCAAAACAACATTATTTCTAACTCATTAAATTTGAAAGTTTGTGTAATATTTAGAAGATAAGGGTTATACTAATTTAAATCTTGCCTATTTTCTAATACAATCGATTTTTGTTTTTCAGCATTTACAAAAAGTACACGAGTAAATAGTCAAGATTATGAAGTTAAATTGGTAGATACAGCAGGTCAAGATGAATATAGTATATTTCCTACACAGTATTCAATGGACATTCATGGTTATGTCCTTGTGTATAGTATAACCAGCGCAAAGAGTTTTGAAGTTGTACAAATTATTTATGATAAACTATTGGATATTACAGGAAAAGTCCAGTATGATATCTATGTTAAATTTCTTTTATTAGACTGTAATATAATATATTTAATATAGCATATGTTTATGTATTTTAGTGTTCCAATTGTATTAGTAGGAAATAAAACGGATTTATATGTGGACCGAATGATAACAACAGAACAGGGCAAGCGATTAGCAGATTCCTGGCACGCGGCTTTCTTAGAAACCAGTGCAAAACAAAACGAGGTACATATACTTTATTACTTTTAATAATTCTTCACACTTTCAATAACAATTGCCTCTTTATTTCAGTCTGTCGCAGATATTTTTCATACGTTATTGATAGAAATTGAAAAAGCTGATGGAAATGTACAAGAAAAATCGAATTGCATTATTTCCTAAGCTATATTAGCTGGAAATATAATTATGATACAATGCAAATGTATAAAACCAAATGGCGAAATTGGCATTATATCAATCCACGTCCGAAAACAAATTAAATGTAATGATATGAAAAGTATAAAATGACGGATGTAAAACAATTATATCTCTTTTTGCTATATAAGTCGAAAATATTATAAATATTGTCTATTTCTGAATATACATGGTAATGAGTATTTTTATCATTTGCTTTTGTATCCATTATGTAACAAAAAAATGAGAAAAGAAATAATTGATTTTGATTATGTTTATTTTTATTATATGCATGTTTATAATCAATATCGTAGGAAATATTTTTCAGTAATATGAATAAAACGACGATTAATTTCGATTTGTTTTATGTAACTTCAATCTTTGATATTTATGTTTTTCAAAAATACTGAAATAAAGTATAATTACATAATTTATAGTGAGATCATTTCAACTTCAAATAATTTAATCATTAATGACACAAACAAATCTAGTTCATAAATGTACGAAATTTAGCTTAACACGTTCGTTGCGAAATGGAAAATGTGTGTTGTCTGTAGAAACTGGTAATATTGTTTAAATTTAAATTTGATATAGTTGAGTTATTTTGATGTAATAAATATATTTGCCAAAAGAAATGATTTTGGCCTATTTCTTTGAGTAAATAAATTTACCTCTTTCAACGGGCGAGAAAAAAATAGTATGCTATCCCTTGATGTTAACATAGACAATCCAAGAGGGCATTTATAATCTTGTTGTATAATAAAGGATAAATAAAAAAAAATTTATATACTTAATACATTACTCATTTATAAAACTAACAACTAACCTATATTATAAATTGTTTTTCTTAGCACTCAAAGCTACAACTTAATAACATTAACAAAATTTAAGAATATTATAAACAATTTTTAAAAACTTAAAAACTACAAATATAGAATATGTAAATTTTTTTTCTTTAATTCTAAAACCACAATAACAATAACTAAATTCACTAAAAGAAATATTAAATATAAAAATAAATAAAATCTTATTTCATGTTGATTTATATTCAATGCCTTTGTGATAGAGTTGAAAACGGTACAAAACAAAGACTCGGTTCTGCATCACAATTGACAGTATCCCATTTCTAATTTTATGGTTTTTCTAGCAAGTACATTTTTTTATTTAAGCTCACCCTGGAAAAATATTTAGGAAAATGATTTTGGGAATAAATATTTACGGAGATGTGCATAATTAATAAACAGACAGCTCTTCAGCGAAGCGGTCAGTCAGGTCAGTGTATCTATAGTTTTATGCAGCGTATCGATATCCCCAAATGGAAGTTACAAATAAATAAATTTGAAGGACGATAAAAGTCGAACGTCAAACATAAAATTATTATTAGTTAAATGTTCTATTTGATATTCCGCAGAGAATAAAATTCTAATAATATAGAATATTTTTGTAAAAAAGAAGTAATTTTACGTTCGACGTTCAATTTTTATTGTCCTTGAAATTTATTTATCCCTCTTGAAAAGTGATAATATTCTTACGAATAAAACAGAATTATATACAGAGTGGCCACTCCAGGGAAAATTTTGAATGGTAGATTCTGGAGATCAAAATAAGACGAAAGACATGTTGAATGAGAACCACTATCATGCGCACGCAGCTGCATGCAATTTGCCATTCTACAGGCGGAATTTTAAACGTTAATAACTTTTTTAAAAAGTCTCAATCAACAAATTGGCATTCTTAATTTTCGTCTTATTTTGATCTCCAGAATCTACCATTACAATTTTTCCCAGAGGTGGCCGAACACCCTGTATAAAAAATATAACCAATGATTAAAATCGCCATAGTGTACGAATGTCTATACTCTATGAAACAATTATAATGAGAATAGCTACTTTTTAACTCGCTTTCTCTTCATGTTTAATAAATTATCCTAAATTGTTTATTCACACGAGAAAAATATATTTTATATTTTTAATCCAGAAACATATGTTCCCACCTTGACAAAAAAGGTACCAAATTCAAAACTGAATATATTAAAACTTGAGTTATTCGTCAAAAATAGCTTGACATACTCAAAGTTTTACTCAAATACCTAATTAAGTATTTTCTTTTGATAAAAGTCAAATTTCGAGTATTTAGACAGTTTTATAGTTACTATATTTGTTTATTTTATCTACGTGTTTGTTAAAGCCTTTCTTTACAAATGAGCTATCGACGTATTCATCAGACATGCGCCGTGGTGGTTGGAGAATCTTCAATGAAGTTTACACTTTTACAGTATTGGCAGATTAACCTGAACCCTGAACCTGAACGCACGTTCGAGAGTCGAGACATTTTATCGTCTGCTTCGGTTGCTGAGAATTTGCATTTTATTGAAATTAAGAAGTTTCATATTAAAAAATGTTCCGTCATCTTTTAAGGCCAGTACTTCAAACTACGCGAAGTGGTAAGCCAAGAAATATTACAGCATTTTCCTATTATAATTCTGAAAATATTTTTCATTAAGGTGTTCTTACGTAATATCGGTTTCCGTTACTTTTGTCATTGTTCGAAAATGTTTGAAAACGATTATAAATCGCGATTTATACATATATATTTTTAAATTAGTAGAATGCTTGTACTATTTTTTACTAAAATAAATTTGAAACCCATTTTGAGTTACTTTCAACTTGTAATCATAATGTGCTCTACCTTCTGTAACATTTTTATTTGTAGTAATAACTGAAATGTTTAACAAATGTATGACATAAAAGAGGGTTTTTTAAACAAAATTTTTGACGAGATATTTTTGATTTTAGTGTTAGTAAATTCGCGTAAAACAATGTGTTTTTATATTAATTTAAATCAAAAGCTTCGTTCACTTTTTAATGTAATAAATTTTGTTGCAATTATTTTATTAATATTCTCTATTATTTTTTAACTGCTTAGTGAATAGCGATAAAAAAAATATATAGTGTACATATTCACGTGTTTGTGCTTGATGTGCTTCTACACACTTGATACACAATATTTATTTCCTTTGCATGACATTTTCAAATTATCTTGTGGCATATGTTACTGTTCATCATCGTGTTCATTTATATTTTCTAAAATTTTGCTAGATAAACTAATTACGGAATATACTTTTGCTAAACTTTTGATATTCTTTGCTGTAGTTCTATTGGATACTGATTCATCGAGTTTCTGCCAATATTGTATTGTTTTCTTAAGCAATAAGACATTAGTCGACTGATGACGGACAATCTACAAACTGGGTCAATGATACCCATCATTCGCAATTTGAGAGTTAATTGACACAAATTAATAATTTATAATATATGATTAAAGGTACACGTTCTTCATCTCACATTCCCCATGATGTCAGGCCACCAACTATGGATGAAGTAATTGTTCCAAGTGGTTCATGGCAAGAACATTACAATAAAGCTCAAACCAGATATAATTTACAGCTAGTATCGGGTGTTGCTCTACTTGTTGTTACTATCGTAATTGTATGTACCAATACAGCATAAATTTCTTTTTTAAATTTTATTATATCATTAATTTTTAACATTTTAATTTTCAGGGCAGAATCAATGGAACCCTTTGGCTTAATTTTGCTCCGCCAACTCCAAAACAGTAAATTATATCATTAATTAATTAGGTACTCAAAATGTAGCATATAATAAGTATTATAAGTTGTAATATTCCACTTGAACGAATAATACAGCACTTTTGTTCGTGATGACTGTTTTTTATGTTATTTTTAATATATTTACACACTCTCACAAAGTAAGAGTAGAAAAATTAATATTTATTTAAAAGGTACATTTTGTTTTTGATACCTGTGCCTTTGTTTATATTACAAAATCTATCTGAATCTTTAATAACATCGTCAAATACCATCAAGCTATGTTTCATTAAATAAATAATTCTGTTATCAACCTATTTTATAAGTTAATATAAAGTTAAACGATTTTTGTGAAAATTAAATATTTACATTCTATTCTTTTTAGAAAATTATATTACTTTATTGTTCTATTATTTCATCTAAATACTAAAATTTATTACGGTGTTTTATTTATTTTACAATTGGGTAGTAGACTTCTTAATGGGACCTGGCTATTTCTGAGAAAAATTCTAAAATGTCTTGTATAGTAAACTCAAGTGTTACCATACTATCTGGATAACATCTTTGAATCAGTTCCTCTATATATATATACTGCGCAATGAATTCACCTTGCATTTCACGCCAAACAACCTGCAATTAACAAATTCATAGTATATAATAATACAATATTAAATTAGTTGTAGCAAATTTTCTTTCTACTTACTTGTAATAAATTTTCTTCTTCGCATAAATGTTTCTCAACTTTTCTATACAGATTTTCTAAACCCTTTTTAACTTCTCGGGCTGGGTATTCTTTTACAACGCGTCTAAGTTCTTGTTTACTAAAAGCCATTTGATAACTGACTTCGGATTCTTTAACTCCAGCGCCGACTTTGGCTTGTACGCCTTCAAAGAATAGCTGCAATGAGAGTTAACTATTACAAACGAAGTCGGGAAAAAATTGTAAAAATAATTTAAGGAATTTAAGCAACAGACATTAAGTTTTTCTAGAGGTCTTCCAAAGTATTGTGTAACGTACGCACGTAGAGCATCTTGATATTTTTGTTTAGCTTCCTTACGTTCATGATCAAGCACAGATATTTTTAATTGTGATAAAAGATCGTATAAATGATGAAAATTTTCTATAACACAACATAATTGTTACATGATTAATATAATGAGATAAAAAAAATTAATAAATATCTTACCCATTTTCACAACTTCTTGCGGGGTTTTATGGTGTTCTCTACTGTGGATGACGATAGCTTCAAACATTGTACTCACTACTTTAGTATACCACTTCTCAAGATCAACTTTTCTATCCGAGTTTCTGAAAATTTTTTCTGCTATTCTTGCAAATGGTTCAAAATTTTCAACATATGGCAATATACCACATTTATTTCTACGATTCACTTTTGTATCGCATAAAATTGACTGCAACTGTGTTTGCATGAATTTATCGAATGCTCTCTTAACTTGAATTAAAGCAGAAGCAAATGTCATGGACAAAAAGGAACCAGTGTCTTGGGCTGACATAACATGTTGCGATAAACGCACTAAGACATACATACACCAACTGTAAATTTGATATCAAATAATTGTTATATAATAATAGAATTATTAAATAAAATTAAAGAAAAGCTAATTTTAAATATAAAAATGTTGTCAAATAAACTTACAAACTATCAATTTTGTCTAGAAAAGCAATAAAATTATTCAATTCAGTTTCCAATGATGGAAATATAGCTGCCATCGTCGCACGCACCTCTTCATTTACTTGTCTTTCTAACTTTTTACTTGCTGTAGAGGTTACTGATCCAGGACTTGCAGCTCCATTACTGACATTATCTGTTTCTTCTATTTCACTACTCTAACACATTCAGAAAAATATTTAGTTTTTAAATGACGCAATAAATCTTGTACCAGTATAATTTACGTACTTTCGACGGAGAAAGGACAGAATCCAATTGTAGAAATGAAATACAAAAGGCTTGCTCTGCAAGACAAACTGGTTGCATTTGTGAAAGCATACAGTCGAGAACTGAATCCAAAAGATTTCCATCCCCTACAGGTGCCCATATATCGCCACTCAATAGACAAATAGGTGCTGGATTTAGTAATTCTTCTGCTTTCTGTCCGCTAGATCTTGATGTATTAGCTTAAAAAATGTTGCTTTATTAGAAAATAAAATGCATCGTTATAAATACGAAATGTTTTATTATACCTTGGAGACGTTTGCAAATAAGTTTATTTTTTGCTTCCTCAAAAAATCGTTTTAAATCCCTTTTATATAATTTGCTCATTGTATCTGTATAAACTTTGGTTAATTGTATAAAAGCCTTATTATCTAGTGCTCTTAGTAATTGCATTAACTCTGTGTATGGTTCAAGTTCATGATGAACTGCTTGATGCGTTGGGAGAATTAAATCTGCCATAGACATTGACATGTCTCCAACATCATTACCCTGTAAAATCGACAATTTATTACACATCTTTTTGTTTCTAACAATAATATACTTCTTTTCTTTACTAAGATATATTACTCATGTTAACACACGTACCAAGTGTATAAAAAGGTTATTTAAATGCCTAGCCACAATTACAGAAAATTTTGCTCTGAGCTTATCCAGTCGTCTTTTTTGTTCAGTCACTGCGCTCAACTTATCGAGCCCTGGTGGCAAAGGAGCTGTTGTTGCTTTTAAAAGAGCAGCACCTGCTTGGCTAAGTCCTTCCTTCTCTCCTGGAAGCTCGGCTTCGCTCAAAATACGTTGATGAACTAGCGAAACATCTAACTGTGACTTTTAAAACAAAAATTAAAACTTTGCATAAATAAAATAAAAGTTTGAATAAGTTTATTAAATAATAAAATGTAGTCATAATACACTATTAAGAACGTGCGAGTAACCTGAAATTTGAGCTTGAACAACAGCTAAGAAATCGGAAAATTGAGGCAGAACCTGATACATTTCAGGCCAAATTGCGCCAAAAGGTCTCGAAACAATCTGGCTGCTCGAGATGCATTGGGCTCCACCTGAATTCGTCTCTTCTTTGATTGTCCAAACCTAAATTTTAAGCTATCTGCACACCTTTATATATTATACTATAATTATTATACATAATAATCATTTTGTACATTTTTGTATAATTTAATCTAAATATCTTTAAAATTAAATGTTTATATAAATTTAAAAGAAGAAGGCAGAATTATAACTTCCGTGTAATAAATTACTTACAATTACTGTGTTTAACTGATCTAACAAAAATTTTGCATTATTATTGGCTGTATGGATAGCTTGATTCTTTTGACCTACGCGGGCCATAACTTCTCTAATTCTCCCAAGCGCTTCATCATATGCTGCAAGACGAGCCTCGACAATAGAAGCTTCGGTTATTGCTGCTTCTATACTATTCATCAGTTGAGTTACTCGAGCTTCCGATGCCAAAACTGATTGTACATTTTCCTGTATTTGTTAATTATTAAAAATTGATTTCAAACTGAAAGTCATCAATATCAAATCACATGTTATAAACAGAAAAATTAAATTTTAAATATTATTAGATACAAGGTGTGTCTAAAAAATAATGATATTGATTCTCTAAAAATATTTATTACTAACTTAATTATAAATTAATATTATTCCCTTTAGAAAAAATTTCCTTGAGAAACTACACCTTTTCGGATATACAATCTTTCACTCTTAAAAACAGTACTGAAAGGCTTCAACTAAAATTACATAGAGTTAGTCTGTTACTAATCTTTTAGATGCTAAAAATAAAGTAGGAACATGCATTTCAACTGGCATTGAGTTTATACAGCGTTGCTAGTTCTCAAGAAATAAATTTAGTTTTATTACTTTTTAGACACGTTTTATATGTAATTGTAAATCATAAATGATAGAATTTATTTGAAATTGTTTATAATTAATTTAGTTAGTTAATAAGACTATATGATTCGCTCCTAATAATTTTTTAAATCTATGATTTTACCCCATCAAGAATGGAGAGATCTTTGGAAAGTGTTTCCATAAATAGTTCAGCATTAGAAACAGCATATTCACAGTTTTCCATCATCTGTTTTAAATCAGCAGTCTCTTTTTCAGTAATAGGTTGGTAATCTGATGAGATTGGCGATGTAAGAAGTTCTACACATATCAAAATATTAATATAAAGTAATTACTTAAAAATGTGTAATATTAAATAACTATTTTCATTTAAACTATAAATTCATTTTTGTATAATACAATAATAATATAAGTTATAAAAATGCAATTTGAAATATAGATTAAACTTTGTTATTTGTTACTCCATGGAAGAATTATTTAAAGTACAATGAAATATCAAATTAATAAGCAAATAAATCCAAATGATATTCATATTTCTTGAAAAAGAGAATTAATATTTACCTGGTGTAAAAGTAATACTGTCGCTTTCCTTCAATGAACTTGGATCTATAAGCCATTCCTTAGGAATATTTTTAAATTGTGGTCTTTGGGCTAAACTACAAGAATAAGTATACAAATTGCTTATGAATGTTCTTCGTTCTTGAACTGTTGTCACTGACCACTTGTAGATTTTATCTATATGTAATTCTATATCCATGGAATCATTTTTAACTCCATCCACGATTTGAATATCACTCAACGACCATGACTGTTTCTTTTTAAATACATTTTTATCATTTTTCTTTACTTGATATAAGAGCAACGATGGAGGTGTATCTGTAGTTGTGCTCAAACATAGAAAACTCATTTTCTTCTTTTTATATGCCTTACTCACATAACACACGCTTAGTAATTTCTCATCGCTAGGTGTAAACACTTCTCTTTGCAGTGTATGTCGTATCGCTGCCATAATTGTAGTTTAAATTTTTATTAACTTTCTACATACAACTTGGTTGGTAATTTACTTATCGATTTATAATTTAAAAATATCTATAAAAAAGAAATTTGAGTCATTATTATAATAACTTTTATAAAATTATATAACGTTTATGTACTCTTCACATATATTCTTGTTGTCAAATATACATAAGTTCATATACCTTAATTTCAGGACCATATTTTCATATGATATTATCAACAATTATGAATCAATAACAATGTACTAATTATGTCTTTGTTAAATTCTGATAAATACAGTATTTCTCTATGACAGTTCTCTATCTCATTGATATAACACATATTACAAATATGTATATGTTTGTATATTTTAATATACGTGGGCTCTTAAAGGTACATTTTCACGTGGCAGTAAACTGTTGTGACAGTGTAGCGGGTTTTTTAACTACAGGGTGTCCCAAAGATGTTGCGGGTCCTTAAAGGGGGTGATTCGGGGGATGATTGCAAACAACTTTTTCCTTTGTGAAAATGCTCTCCGGGGTTTCGTTAACGAGATATTAACAAAAAGCACCGACCAATCAGATCGCGCGCTTTCCGCCCGAGCTCCCATGCTAGCATGGCTACGCGCCTCGTAGCAGACGTAAACTCAGGGTATCGGAAAGGTGAAACAGGAATGGTATGCATTTTCTTCTTTATAGCAACTCGAAGACTTTCTGTTTCTCTTCTCTTCGGGCCCTTTCGAACCGATACACGTGGTGTATGTTTTCTATCTCGAGGCAATGGGTACATTGGCAGTAGAAGGACAGAACGCGGGCTTTTGTGAAAGTTTTCGTTGCACTTCTGCAGGCCACGTGTTTTTTCAGCAAATGCTGGTTTCTTTTTCTCTAAATTTTGTCCTGGTGGGAGTTAACTCATAATGGAACGAGAGAAGCTATTTCGGGGTAGTGGAAGTTGCTTGAAAAAAATCCTGTCAGTCAGCTAGCAAACCCGTCGTAGAAATGTACACGGCTCAAGAGTACTATAGGATGTTCTGGGTGTACGCCCGGAACAACGGGAACGCAAGTGCTGCTGTGCGAGCATTTGCGTTAGAATTCCCTAATATTCAAACGCCAAGCGAGGATACATTTCGTCGCTTAGCGTCGAGATTGTATTCAACGGGGTCCATGATGCCGCGAGGCAGCGAGGTGGAGCAATACTTTCATTAATAACAATCGGCCCCTTTCGGGGCCACCAATTTTTAAAACGTAAGAACAATACGTTTCACGACAAAAAAATAAAGTGATCAGTGTTAGTAGCCGTGCAGTGAAGTGAATATTCGATACGTTGACCTGGACGCACCTGACATTGCGACCCTTAACTTTGGGTAGTGTCGTATACCTGGGATCAGCTGTGCACTGGGCTCGTCCATCGATGACCAGGATCGGTTCAGTGACCGGCTAAAGAATGATGTCTAGGGACATTTTGCCCGATCTGACAACACTGGTTCACTGGTCGGAAAGTAATAAAATTAACAAACGATGCATTCCCCGGTAATTCCAATATGTATACACATAATTCTGAACCTTATCTCTTGATGCCCCTACAGTTATATAACATTTCATTATTTTTGAAATAGTGTAGAGTAAAGTAATTTCAGTATTTGTTTGTGTTATTTATAAAATGATAAGGTTTGGAACTTGAATCTGAATCTCCTCGGTAAGGAAAGAGAATAGTGAGACTGAGTGAAAAAGAAATAGTGTGTCAAATAGCTATTAAGTCACAGAGTATACATGTTACTCTGTCATTCTGTGATCGAGTTTTAAAGATTAAAGTATCTACATTTTTCACTTTATCTTTATATTAATAATATCAATGAGTTCAAAAGCAGCATAAATTGAGTTCATATCTATTATTTTCGCTATCTGGAATATTCAAAGTTATTACTAGTAAAACTTGTCCGTTATGTTGACTATATTTTTGATTTTTTCAAGATTTACAAATTTTCCTTTTATTGTTATTAAAAAATGATTATACTGTGGGGGTTGGAGAATCTACCGATTCTAGAGTATATTTATATAATTACATATAGGCTAATGATAAGAGACTCAATTACCGTAACCGCCCCTGTTACCAAACAGATAATTAATTATGTAAAAATTAAGAAAAAAACATGTAAGTTGAGTATAAAAATTTTTGAAATAAAATTTAAGTTTTTTACGATTTTTAAAATTTGTTTACTTATGTTGTAGAAAGTGCTAAGGAAAAACGACTCATTGGCATAATACAAATTATGAAAATAAAAACTCCTGTGTTTCTAGTCTAAAATAAAAATGTTGCTAAAAATTCAAACAAATCCGACAATTGGTTCTAATTTTTTAAAAATTATTATATTACTAGTTTCCATTAAATAGAGCGCATGTGACTATCACAGTCATCGAATGACTAACATGTAACGAGTCACGTGCCAACGACATAACCTGTAATCGCTTTAATCTATTCGGCAGTGTTTCTAAAAAAAATTGTTTTTCTCTAAGAAATTATAGCTTGAAATTATATTTGCAAATAGACCTTCCACAATTTGAAATTTGACAAAAAGTTGAAAATGAGTAAAAAACAAAAACAGCTATTGCATTGATTATACAATATATGTACATAGTATTACATGGTTGCTTAGAGTGAAAGAGTCTAACGTTATTTCAAAAGATAGTAAGCGACGTTTACGGGCAATTCGATGGTGCAAAAGCAAGAAAGAAGACGAATGTAACACTGGTTTTCTCGACTTTGTTAAAACTGTTCGAAATCGCGCTAATTTTAAACAGCTTCGGGGAACCGAGAAAAAAAACGAATCTAAGTCTTTCTTTTTTGATTTTTCGAAACTGCCCGAATTCGTATATATGTACTTGTGCGTAATGTTTAATGCGAAGTCAATAATTTCGATCAATACACGGTTGTAATCAGACCATTCTGGTTTATATAGTTGTTTAACGCATAGTTAGGCGCGCATGTGTGAAAATTCTGTCAAACTTGACAACTGTACTAATAATTTCCCCTCTATATACATATAAAAATGATATATTAAATATAAAAACTATATTGGGAGAAATTCAGCTATTTGCGAATCAAGAAAACCGTTAGGAGCAGCACTGTATTGCTTAGTCAAGATAGAGTTGTGGAGTAGTAGTAATCAAAAAGTGTGCGTAGGACGGTATTCAGTTGTTTCACGTCAGTCGTAGAGAAGGATTACGAGTATATGGTATTCTTCGATTTGTATTAATAAAACAGTAGTGAATTTTGTATATTGTTTAGAAAACAAAGGTAAACAATTATTAACTTTCATTTATAATTTTAATTATTCAGCAATATCATGTAACAGTGGTGTAGTGCAGGATTCAAAGATAATGTTTCATTCCAAGTGATTTTATCGATTTAAAATACTAAGTGTGTGATCTAAGAATTTACATAAAATTGCCAATGTGTTAATATGATATAGTATAACTAATTTTAATGTTTAAACAGTAATATTTTATTGATATAAACTATAAATACCTATCTCATAACATGAAGCAATGTCTTCTTGAGTATATTTAAACAGTTCTCAATGTCATTATTCTACGTTGAAATTGCGAGTATCGTTAAAAATCAATAGAGATACAAGGCATAGAAATTATGAGATTGAAATATATATACTTTTAACAACTTTTATTTGAATATATATGTAATTCACAGTGGCGCAATAATAATATGATAAAAACATTTTAATTGTATTTCATTAAAAAGTACTAATTAATGAAAATGATGAAATATCTGTGATGTAACAAACACGTGCAAGGTTAATCATCAATATATAAATAGTTATAGTTATATTTTATTATAAATATATTGCCCGTTTATGCTATATAGAACACAAACAGAAGTATTTAATCTTATTTTGGATATTCATCCAAATGACACCTGCGTCCGATCGAAATGAAATTCGAGATACAGGGGGAGTCGGAATTGATGTTACATATAAAACTTTAGCTTTGGAGATTAAACAGTTTCTGAGATATTAATACAGAAATGTTGAGAATTATATAGTGTCATTTAAATATATATGTATATACGCACACAAATATCTTCGTTATGTTCTAGCCTTTGCGTCGTCGTTGATTACGTATACAATGTTTCAGTGGCGGTATGATTTTTGAGTCTACTAGTGAATAAATCTATAAGGTGTTTAAGGAAAGGGGGCTCTTTTTACGTTAAATTTTTATTTTATTGGCCGAAGAATGTTTGCAATATACCATTCTAATCCAGCCTAAATACTTATAGCGCACGAAATAAAAAATAGTCAAACCTAACCTAGTATCACGGAAACTATTAAAATTCCGAAATAATTTTATGTATACTATTTAAACCCGCTTCTCACTAAACCTAAATTTCATATCAATCGACCGCAGATATCATTCGAAGGAAAATATTTTATTTTATACTACATACTGAATATGAAGGCTACATACATGAAAATGCCCATGGTATATAAATTGATATAGTCTAACAAATTGTAAATTGAAATTTTAATGTTTTCAATAAATAGTAACAGTGCAAATTTATACAATCTGTTTATTAAAAATTAAAGTATTATTATTACTATAGCGTGTATTGGAATTTTTATTATATTATTTTTATTATTTGTTACTTTACATTGTGTCAAGATTATCGAACATTTAAATGTCAAAGAATCTGATTTTTTTTAGTAAGTAGCAAGAAACATGTTTGATGACTAATATTTTAAATGCTGTTATTTTACAGCATATGTTATTGGTAATTTTATATCAAATTTCAATGAGAATTCTTTGCATGATAATGTTTTTTTAATGTTTTAAATGAAATAATATGTACAACGCAATAATCCACAATTTTTAATTGATTTCTTCCTTGTACAAGGAAAGAATCAAGATTGTCTCACATAGATTTCAAATAAAATCGAAGACCATAATTGTGATAACAGAGCAAAATATAGACGATCACATTTAAAAACAATGTATTGTTTCAGCAAAAGCAATTGTGGTATAGTTGCATATCGTCTGTATATTAGCTTCTCAATAAAATTTAAATAATACTTGAGTAAATTATTTTTATTTTATTAACTGTTAGTAATATCTTTTTTAAAAAAAGCAGGTGGTCATTTACACCTAAAATGACTGTTATGGTCTTCATAGGTAGAAATCTAATATAATATAATAGAATCGAACTCTATTGAAATCAGTGTGAGATAGTCTTGACCCTTTTCTTATTGGTCATGAGTCATTAAATCTTTCAACCAACAACTTTCCATTAATAATTACATATATCTAAAAACAAAGTAGAACATAAAGTGTGCATTAGGAGAAACAATATTAAATCTTATAGGGCACTTTTTGGACTTAGGAAAGTGCAATGATTTCAGTGAAAAAATTGAATTAAAAAGAATAAAATAATACTACGTCTAACTTACGAATATCTTTGCAAACAAATTTAAAGTTTATAATTTATGTGCTTGCCTAAGTGTAAGGTACTTCAGATGCATTACAGTGAAAAAGCAATAACATTCAAAATATTAATTGTCACACACTTTTCACTAAATATAAAGTTATATAGACCTTTGTTGCTAATTAACAAGCTATAAACTTTGGATCTATTTTTAAAAGTGTTTTTATCTAATTATTTGGTTAGACATAGGCTCATTCAAATAGTTTGCATACTCAAATATATATCATACTCTAAATTGTTACATACAATAGGTCCAGAATGCCTTATAAAACTTAATTTTATATTGTTCTCTACAGATTGTAGGTGAAATGTGTCATTGTTATAATGTAATACAATCTTTGTATCATTTGCATAGATTTTAACAAAATACTAGATATAGAGTACAGCATAATTAATAATAAAATCGAAAATGAAATGATTTTTCACAAAAAATAAATCAATAATACAAAATAAAGTTTTTTCAAATAACGTTTTATTTTCAGAAAAAATAACTTCGAAAATTTATTGATTAGACATGTAATTGATTCAGAATTAATGCAGAAAATCTCATTTTAAATCATATCTTGTTTATTTGTTTTACATATGTTTATGGTAGGTTTATATACAATATATGTATATGGGTAACTTACATCATTTTTAAGATTTCTTAACACGTTGACGGCTACGTGATCCACATCACGTGTGACTCTTCACAAAAACCTCGTCATTCGTTTGTAGGTAATAGTTCTACTTATTAAATTAAAAATGATTTTACTAAGAATTTATAAGAATATTAAATAAAAATAATATACGAGAGTTATTAAAAATAAAATTTTTTGACGTAATGATATTTGAAAAGATATTTTTAGAAACTCTGATTATTCTCTTTGATTTTTTTCCTGTTATAGGAAAGCATGCCCATTCGATTTTTGGTGAAATATAAAATCGAGAGCTGTTTACGTTTTCTTGAAACGATTTTGGTATTTAAGTATTAGATATTTCTGTAATCTTCAGTATAAACTATTAATTGAATTGAACTGCATAAATTAAGAGAAATATGATGGAGTTGCATTATGATGAAATATATTTTTTCTAATAGTTAAAGATATGTCTAACTAAACGTGTTATTCATCGCGTAAAATGTTTAGATATGATATTCTTTTTAAGTTGTGCGGAAGAAAATGAGGTTCTATTATTTTATTTTTGATTATTCCTGAGAAAATGTTCGCATTCTATTTCTATTAAAACTAAGTTTCTACAATAGAAGAATTTCTATGATCTTATCATTATATTGTGCACATTGTGCGCATTAAAATATTTCGATCACTAAGATGTTGGGGTAACCAATGACGAATAGTCCTTACTTTCTTTATACTTTCAAAATCCTGTTCTCATTTAGAATTCGTCGAACTGTTATTTTATTGACGTCATACTATAAAAAAAGTTTCTCGTACTACTTTGAGGTTCATTAACCCATGCTTTGTGTATACATAGTCCACCTTTTAAAAATATTCATAGAAAATTTTCTTAGAAAATGAATTAGTACTGTACATGTACAGTGGCGAATATACATATGTATGTATACTTACGAACATGTGAATAATTACATTTTCATTGTCTCTATTATGTCTTACAAACTTTCTGTAATTTAGTTCATTTTATTTTTTAAATATTTCATGTATATACTACTATTTCTTTCTGTATTACTAATATAATTATGTTGTTATAAAGTATTATAAGTTCATGTTTACAACATTTGTTCTGAATTTTTTGGTCTCGCAATCGGTTCTTATTTGCTTATCCGCGTGTTTAGACAGTGTATATATTAGAAAAAATTAAAATGTTAACCACGAGTTTGGGTAAAGATATAATACCAGAGCAAAAATGCCAATTACAGCTTTTTAAAACCCAAAGACTGACGTATTCAAATATTAGTTAGAAATTTTGACCCTCAACGCGAGGACTTAATTTTAGAGGTTAAAAGAAGAAAAAATGTTATATGAAGTTTGCGAACTAATGTTTTGTTACAAAAATATAATCAAGAATAGATACTTAGTGATTTATTTTGAATTTCAGTATTTCAGTCATTTCTTTTAAACTTTTGGGGTTACATTTTTATTTCAATAGTAACAGATAAAAAATTATTCGTTATTCGAAATTTTTATTTAATATTATATGTATGCATGTTTTCTTAATTTTTGTGCACCGGTGATCATTGGAATCGTTGCGAAGTCACAGAACTCTAACGCCACCGTTAGCACTAGCGATGTTGCAACAACTTCAATGATTATCAGTATAATTATTTTCATATTGAGGTAATCTAATGTGTAGAAAAATACGAAATTGAGTTTTATCTTAAACTATAGTGTTTTAGTCAGATTAACGGATCTGTGATTAAAACATTAAAATTAAAATTAAACCTATTGAAAAAGCCAACTATTTTTGCAGTGATAAAATTTTGTATGCCTTATGACTCGAGGCACATTATTTCATTATTTGATTAAGTTAAAATTTTGCAGGGACTACTCTTTTATTAATTAAAAACATTATAGGGAATAAGCAAAATATATTACGAGATAATAAATGAAAAACCACCCTAATATACGGGGTCGTTCCTGTGTTATTGGCCGCTCAGGTGCAAAAACAATATCGTCGTCTTCATTAGTATGTCAAAGAAACTATCGCCCTTCCACGAGAAGAAGGCATAGCGTGTTTATATCCCTACTCTTACTACAATCCGCTGATTGGCTGTCACCGATCTTCGTTACCGTTTTCGACCAATATCTGTGAGTCAGCAGACTGCAACAGGAGTGGGGATTGTAAACACACTGTGCCTTCTTCTCGTGGAAGAATGGTACTTACTTCATTAGAAATTACTCTTGAGATACTTCTGTCAGGTCTTCTCGGGCAACCAAGTCTTTGGCTCGTTACCCTTTTTATGTTGTTTAAAACTTTTAACTAATTTAACGGTTAACTAATAATTAGAACAGACACTTTATTAACAAGAAAGAATATTCAACGAAAACGGATGTCTTTTGCAGGAATTCTTTTAACTTTTCTAACGGACGTTCCTTCCATCCGGTTCTCCTCTTTTTTTTTTTAAACGTTTCGGTATTCAGACAACCAACTCGGCTACTTTCAAAGGCCAAATTTAGGTATCAATTAGGAAAAACATAATTTTATTCATTCAATGTGAAGTAACATGAATATCGGTAATAAAAACTTTCTAATGATTAATGACAAATATAATATTATTTAATTAAGAATTTGATATCCATATAAATTACAATTCAACTGATGTAATACCAGAGATGGATACCAATTAATTTCTTGCTAACGATACGTTTGCAGGCGATTAGAAAAGCAGATGCATTCCTTTCAGGATCATCATACAGGGTGTTCGGCTACCCCTGGGAAAAATTTTAATGGGAGATTCTAGAGGCCAAACTAAGACGAAAATCAAGAATACCAATTTGTTGATGGAGGCTTTGTTAAAAAGTTATTAACAATTAAATTCAAAAATTTCAAATCATTCTGGAAAAATTATTTTCGGTTGTGGGGATCAATTACAATCATTTTTGGTGAATAGACATACCCCCGAAATCTTGCGCATTTTCGAGAAAAAAATTCAGTACAGGCGGAACTTCAAACGTTAATAACTTTTTAACAAAGCCTCCATCAACAAATTGGTATTATTGATTTTCGTCTTATTTTTGCCTCTAGAATCTCCCATTCAAATTTTTCCCAGGGGTGGTCGGACACCCTGTATACAATGTATCGATAACGACCGGCGTCAAATTACGCTCGACACGCTCGATATTCGAAGCCACTTGGCTTCTAAGAATTGGTGGGGATAACCGCGATCACTTATCTGGGCAAAAATCCGGTCCCTTATGTGGGCACTACTGTATAAAGATAGTTTACTCGTATACACGAAGAGCGCTGCAAAGATTACATATAAAATTAATTCAATTAAATACTGTTTTCCTAAAAGGTGAATTATCATTCAAAAAATTTTGATTATTATTCTTATTAGTCAAAATTTTTCATATAATAAAAAATCTGCGGCTGCGGCTGCATTCCCGTCAGGGTAGTCGATAACTGATGGTACAATCGGACATAGGGATTAGTTGCGCATGAAAAAATGTTAAAAATACACAATATTTTTATATATAAGGCTTGGTTTTTGAAACAATTATTTACAACAAAATCCGTTATCTAGAGACATAGGTAATCGAATTGTCGTGAATTCGGTAAAGATTTAAAGCTGATTTTCTCGAAAAACAAACCTTGTATGGGAAAATATTATTCCATATTTTCAATTTATTTTTTCATGTATAATTAGCTCCTGCCCAGTTGTATCACTTATTGATCACTTTCTCTTTCTTCTCACTCTCTCTTCGCATGCACATCTGTGATATTTTCACAATATTAAGTAAAACCATGTTTAAATAATTAAAACATTTATGTGCCATTCTATTTAAAGAAATAACAAAAATTCTTATTCTAATTACATAATGAAACTATATAGGTAAACAATGGACAGCACATGGCAAAATGCTAAAGAAGTAGAGATTCCAAATGAGGCTCTTAAACAAACATTGGAAAATGAGCAATCATTACAAGATAGAATGTATGGGTTTGCAAAACGATCGCCTTTCCTTATAGCAGGTACGTGTTTATTAGATGTACATAATAATGAGTAATTTTTGCTGTTTTTAGATCTTTCTATACCATTCATAATTTAATAATTTATAAATACAAGTATATTGAAATTTTGCTTGCAAGAAAACAATTAAATATCAAGTGGAGAATATTATCTTTCTAAGAATGTAAATAACATTGACATGAATTCAATATCACATTGTAATTACAGTCACATTAGATTCTCTCAAAATTATAAATATTTAAGGCACTTATGAATAATATTTCTTTTGTAGGTATGTTAGGTTTTGCCATTGTAGGTGGAATAGGTGCCTATAAATGGAAAACGAGAAAAATAATACCTTCATTGTTTCTTGTACAACTCAGAGTTGCAGCCCAAGGTACAGTAATAGGATGTTTAACAATGGGAATGATTTATCAAATGTATTTACAACATTCAAAACCAAAACCTGATGATAAATGATGATATTCATCAGTATTTTAGTATTTAATTATATTACTTTGTAACAAAATAAATAGAAAGTAGGAAAATTCTAATTTAAAAATATTTAAATGTGTAATTTATTTTGTTATACAAATTACCTCAGTTATCATGGTTCTCAAATTTGAAAAATTGTGTAATTACAAATTCTATAATAGAGAAGTACAATAAATGATATCGTTTAATTTTATGTAATATTTTCGTATTTTCTGAAATGTATTATATATTTTATTAAAGAATCTCTTGACTTGTGTTATACTTTATTATCCCTATATGTTTTAACTACTAAATATTATAAATATTTAAGTGTAATATTAAAATAAATTTACAATTAATAGAAAATATAATAAAGCGGTTGAAATGATTAAATATTTCCGTAAATAAATTTTATACATTGCACATATGTGAAACTGCATGTGTACTTAATACGTGTAAGTATGTATTGAAAAAACTGTAAAACACGGATTTGTTTCAGAGACAAGTAGAAGATATTGAGATTTAATTGCATCAAATGAAATACAGCAATATTAATTTTTTAATTAAATTAAACTATTATACTAATTATTCATTGCATACCAACATGTAGTACAGATTATTTTATTACTAAACGATATTAAAATAGAAAAGTTCTTATACGCGGTAAACAATAATCGGCGCTGCATGACATTTTGACGCGTATTAAGTAACGAATGGAATAATTTCTCATTAAAATGGATAATTCTACGAAATACGTAATATTTTGTAATTAGATTGTATCATGATCAGTAAATACGTAACATTAGCTGTGAAGGAGCTTACTTTGAGTTATCAAAATTCGCAAAGATGGCTGAAGAAAGTGACAGGATTCAACTGCCACCCGGTTGGGAATGCAGATATGATACTCGAAGTGGACGTCCGTATGTAAACTTTATCAAAAACTTCTCCTATATCACTAATTAAAATTGTAAATAAAAAAAATGTCAATCATTGAAATGTTTCGTTACTGCGAATGGCTTGCATTATGCAATGATGACTTCACTTCGTCGTTTAGCTTTGTTATCACATAAAAATTAATAAAAAGAAATATAAATGAATGAGATTGTTCGTTATTAAATGATTTCTTGATGTGTCTGCGAATGTAGAACATATAATAGTAAAAATGTTTATACTCAAATATTATATAATTTAGCAAATAGAAACATTGTCATGCCTGTCAGTTATTTTACAAATCAATTCGATCAAACGTTTTTCAGATATTTCATAAATCATTTTAATCGAACAACAACATGGGAAGATCCAAGAGTAAGGTACTGGCAGTATTCTCAGTATGTACAATCACAAAACTCAATAGCACTGAGTTCTGCTACTACTTCCCAAGATATACCTATGCAGGTCAGTAAATAATTCCTGCTATTTATTACTATATAAATTATATGTTAAACTACCATGTAATGAACACATTCATTTTCATTTATAAACTATATTTGGATATATTTAAATTGCACATATGCACGTACTTAAAGCGTTTGTAATTGCACTTGCAATATATGTATTTTTATCATACGCACATGCTGCATTTGGATAAAATATAAAATATGCTACAAAATAATAGTCCGGAGGAAATGGAGGTGGTGGACATTTAGGTTATACAGGGGCTCACAGAGCACCGCAAATTTATCCAACACCGTCTCCCTATCTTAATCCGCAATTTGCGTTTTTACCTCCTAGTTTACAGGTAGGTAACGTTTAACTGCAAATATATTGTACGTGGTATAATTTGGCATATGAGTTTTTAATACAACGAAATTTTGATCAGTTTTGTATTTTAATAATCACATTTTCATATTTTTTATATATTAAAAAAAAGATTATATCTCTTTACAATATATTAAATTTTATTTTTCATTTTGATGTCTTTTTTGTTAATTGCTGTTTATATAGATTAAAATTTTAAACAAAGTAATAAAATTGTAAGCTTTATATTAATATTATTGCGAGCACGGATGAATTTTTTCATTAAATGAGAATATTATTAATTTACATTTTATGATGATACATTCTTCGGTTGATAAAGTTTATAAATGTTATGTAACACTTAATCCCTCAAATAATATTTGTATAAAAAGAAACTTTCCCATATTAGTTTTTTAATTTCATTCTTTGAAAACAAATGTTAAATGTCAACAAAACTGTTGCAATTGTATATTAACATGTTTACTGCAATATTGAACATATATATGTATTGTGTCTCATGAACTCTATTTAAATATCTTGACTATTTCAAACAATGCAAGAAAATATTACTTATAGAAGTTGTTTAGGAAAGTATATAATATGGTATAAATGGTATTCTTATAAGTGGAGACATATAGAAAATATGTATACAGGTCAACTTCGTCTTTTTGAATGAAATGTCTAAGTTTTTATGCTTGATTTCAGCAGATATTTTGAGTATAAAAGTGCTAAAGTACTTTTGTTCTAAAACGTACTGTTTCTGAGATGTTTGACTGTTTTCATTCTATTACTTTCATTATAGTATGTCATAATTCTCATATTAGTTTATATCTAATTGAGTGAGAATCTGCAATCAGCAAAAGTAGTGTATTACAAATTCTCGCTCATCACAAATGTCATCCTTACCATATTAGCCTTTACCAGAAATCGTGTTACATTTTGTGTATGGGCTAAATTGTTCTGTCTGAGTCACTTCACTGAATCTCTATTACATGTTAAAAGAATGTTTCCATAATTTTTCTATTATTTTGATTTGAATTTACAAAGTGCACTGTGAGTTTTAAATGGAGTATAACTGACCTATATCATCAAATGTAAAACTATATAAAGAAGGAACAGCAATGAACATGTTAATATATGACAACATTTGACAGGCTATAGATTCTTTTCTTGGATGATTGATCAAAGATTTCTAATATATAAATATATTTGTTAATATTAGATATATAATGAATACAAAAATCAGTAGTAATTAAAAAACATAATTTATGTAGGAGCTGAAAACTCCCTTATCACTGAAATCAGTTAGTGCAATGACAAACAGATTTGGGGATATGACGTTAAGATCACCAACACCAATAAAGAACATGGAGACAAGTTTAACACAGAATTCAGATTCTGAGCTACAAGTTGCTAAAATCAATGCCATGTTTCCAACAGTCTCTGACATCCACATTCGATTTCTTTTAAGAAAGTAAGTTTTGAAATGTAAAAACTATAAATATCTAGAACACTATTTATGTTGTGTATTATTACTAACATCTTGATGCAGAGTTCTATATTTTGTACATATTCTGTGTCTTAACTGAGCACTTACACTGTCCTTATGTTCATATAAACTTCAACAATAGTATACATTACATATTTTATTGACTTTGTAATCTAATTTTTGATATGTATAATTTGTATACATAGATTTAATTGTTTTTATCGTTTTAGTTATGGTTTCAAAAAGTAAAGTCATAAGTCCTACAATAAATTTAGGTACTGATTTGAATGACATTTGATTTGCTGACTATGATTATAATGGTAGTAAAAATTATAGAAATGTCATTGCAGTTAATAGTATAATTATTTATTATCATTTATTAATGCATAATGTTAAATTTATTCTACACTGTGAATTTGTGAAATGAAAACTATATTTAAATATCAATATGAAGATCTTTTTAAGTTATCATTATTTATTCATGAATATACGCATTGACAATGTGGAAAATCTAAAACATACATGTACTGTCAAGTGGTACTATTTACATTATTTAAATTAATGTATAAATTTACTGCTAGTTATAAGTATATTAAATACTTACTGTACGAGGTATGGATATGTACATTTTAGATGGTTAACTAGGTCAGAGTAAGACACAAGATTGTATGTTAAAGGGTTAAACAAACTTTAATTAATCTCTTTTTTAACTTTTATGAATTTTGCTTCTTATATCTTAATATCCATACAAACTCTGCTTTTTTATGTAATGTGTTATGCTGGTTATAGTACATTGTTTTCTTCAATAAGTTTTAATAGCACTGTATCAGACATAGTGCTAAGGTAGTAGCTGATGTCTTTCAGATACCATAACAGAGCAGCTTTGGTTGTCAGCGCTCTCCAAGTGGAAAAGAATCCCCTCTGTGCTCCTGGACCATGCACAGCTGTGGGGGTGCATTCAAACTATGCAATACCAAGATGGCGATTACCGGCTCATGCCATACATGCAGCTCTAACATTGAGTCCACCACGAGGGGTCCGGCCAGCCCCTAACTCCCCAAAAATGAAACTTAGGTTTTTCCCATATTTACAATTTCAGTTTCACCGAATATGGATGCTAGATGTTGATATTGTATTTTGTCATAGTCACATGGAAATATATCAGGTAGAAAATGAAGCACTATATTCACTTGTTCATTTTGAGTATCTGATATATTTCATATATGTATATGTACATATATATATGACCATTCAGTACTGTGTAGCAATAGCATGTATGTACACATTGCAGACCATTTATATAACTACAAATTATTAGTTAACTTACATACCAATTACCTATGTATCTTATTTTATATGATTCCCATATAATGATTAGAATTTTTTACTGTTATCTGCAATGTGTTCAAATTCTTCAATTAAATACAAACTGTAATATTTAAAATGTCAGTGTAATAAGGGAATGCAAAACTTTTTAGTGCGATTGACTTAGCAAGATTTTGTAAGACTATAAATAATGCATAGTAGAATAATTTGTATGAAGTAGTATTGAACAAAACAATATTATCAAGATGGCCAGTTAAACTTTCTTTAATCTTTATTTTTTATTTTTTTGAGTTAATTTTGTGTTCTTTATGTTTATAATTTTCATTTAATTTTTGTTATACACAGTATATATTATTTAGGACTCGTTTTTCATTTCAGTTTCTTCCTGGTTTACAGTACAACACATGTTGGATAGTGTAAGATTTACACAAATCATAGATAGGTTGGTTTCAGTTTTATATCATCAATGTAATTTCTGTTCAGTTTTTAATGGCAAAATTGAAGCTTTAATTTTTTATTAATATATTATATGTTTGCTATTATAAGAAACTTCACAATAATAAATGAGTTTTTTTAGAGATTTATATATATATATAAATATATGTATGTAATAATAAATATAATTAATGTATATACATAACATGTGTTATATATATATATAATTTTTACATATCAATTTAAGATTTCAGATTTAAAACTTTTAAATCTGTTTTAAATCTGGAATCTTGAAAAATAAAAATATGTTATGTATATTGTAGAAAACTCATTTATTCAAAAGAAATGTGGTTGCATGGTAGTATGTGCATGTGTATTATGATTTAAAATACCTATATATTTTATGTGCAGTCAAAGAATATTGTTACCACAATACTTAAAACATTCGAAAACATTTAAATTATTTGCAACAAGTATACAATTATCTTGTCTATTTTGAATTGCCAAACAATCACATGTGCATACCATACAGATTATTATGATTAGTATTTTCAGTATACTTTAGTTATTAATCACCAATGTTTATTAATATTTAAATTATTACAATAGCTGTTCGTATATGTGTTCTGATTTATGAATAAATTTATCAATTGCATAATGTCCAATCTTATATTGTAGACTGTGTCCATACTTGTACTTGGTGCAAAATTAAAGCAATTATTATAGTAATTGTTAATATATTAAAAATGTATGTACAGGTACCTGAAAAATGTATTTCCAAAAGTGGAAGAGACTATGTTACTTGATATTTTGGAACAAAGTGATAACAATGTTCAGAAAGCTTCTGAAAAACTGATTGATTTAGGCTATGAAAAGCGAAACCCTACAGCTCCTAAATCATTAGCAAAGAGAAGAGAAGAGGAACAAGTAATATATGAAATTTCATGTAGTATTGTTTAACTTCTTTGATAATTGTAATCAATTTTTAACAATATTTTTATAGGCAAAGAATGAACAAACTGCACCTACACCACCACCGCGTATGAAAAGTTTAGAAGAGAAAAATAAAAGTAAGTACAGAATGTAATGCTTTACAAAAGTTTAATAATAATATTAATATTGATATTTCATCAATTTCGATATCATTATCTTTTAGTGAAAGCACGTTTAATGGAAAAATATAAGTCAGTGCCAGAAAGAGTAATAGTTCTTGCTATGGATAGTGTTGACTATGATGAAGAAAGAGCAATACATATATTGAACATCATGGTTGCAGAAGAAGCTACAAAACCTCTGTGCACATCCAGCAGTCATAGGTAATTTTAAATTTTAATGAAGCACTACACTAGCAAGTACACTAAAAATGAATAAAAAATTTGTAGTAGTAGGAGCGATGAAAGGAAAGAAAGTCCTCCAATAACTGAAGCTGTAAAATTAACTGCATCACCAGTTAAGAAAATAGTAAAGGATGTAGATTCGGAAAAATCTAAACGATCTAAAACTAAAATAGAAATACCAAAGTAAGGGATATTATATGCAAGAGCTTATGATAACACAATTGTTTTTATTCAACTGAAATTAATTAGTAATGCAATATACAATTACATTTCTAGAGTTTCTCGAGGAACCAGTACCACAGAAGATAATGAATATAAATCTCCATATTTAACCAAACCTGTTGGACCAAACTCCGATTTACCAAAAGGAGCTAATAACGATTTACTTTTGTAAGTTTCCAATTTTCTGTTTTAATCATTTAAAATTCGTTCCTTTATGATTTATACATGAAATGGATAAATATAAAACTAGAAATATTAAAATTATTGTTATTGCAAACTTTTTAGACCTGATTATGTACCATGGTCAGGACCGGATCCAAATTTATTAGTAAATGAAATATTCAGCAAAACAATAGCAAATGGACACGATGCAAGTTTAGTTTCTGGGAGTCGTTATGTTGCAAAAGGTCCGAATCCAGAAATGAGGAAAGGTCCACTACAAGGATTAACACAAGGTTCCATTTATTCTCAAAGAAACGTGGCTAATACTGAAAGTCGTGGTAAATGAAATATATGTAATTGCTTTTTTCTTAATTTCTATGTTTGTTAAAGTAAAAAGATTGTTATGTTTTAATTTTATGTACATCGTGTTTTGTTATATATTATTTTATTTAATATATTCACATAAATAAGCAATTAATAATCATTAGTTAATCACATTATTAGCGTCTCAATTTTTTATTCGTTAAACAAGAAGTTTTTCCTACAAATAGTATCACTTTAAATAAATAATTATTGATAGATTTCATATTTTATTAATTGCCTATATTGAAGTTATATCGATGAGTACTTGTTATGTTCATTTTGTTAGTTAATAAATATTTATTTTTGATTACATTTTTATGCTTGTTTCAAAACGATCATTTTAATGCATTAAGTACAAAAAAATATATTTGGTATAATGATTATAAAGTAGTAAACAAGTTATTATTATAAAAAAAATGTGCAAAGAAGTGTTCAAATTTACTTACATATAAACATTTTAAATCGTTTAAAAAATATCACATTATCGTACTCTTCTATATGTTATCAATTTGAGAGTATTGTAATGCTTCCATTTATGACATATCTTGTTGACTTTAATATGTACATGAATGTGTCCAAATTTCTATATCTTCAAAAGATAATTTAAAAGAACTTCTGATTGTTTAGGAAATTCTCCAAACTCATATGTATTTAAACAAGAGGTTATCGATAAACTTCTTTGCAAATGTGAAGGAAGTTTTAATTGTTTTAATTCAATTGTGGCATAATAGTACTTAGTTATAATAGCGACAGTAGCTGATTAATCTTATGATTGATCATTCTACAGTATTGATACCAATTTTAGTATTTGTGGTATAATGTATTTGTTTTTTTTAGTATTATGTTATTTTAAGGAAACAAAGTGTTGAAGTATATTAAAATCGATTATAAAGTTAAAGTATTCCGTAACCTATCTTTATATGAATGGAATTCTATTTGTAACAGTAAATATTCCATTATGCATCGAAGGATGTCAGTATTGCATAGTTTGCAAAATGTATTTATTACGTCATGTATCTGTGCTATAAGTTTAAATTGTTCAATATGTTAACAACACAAGCTATTCAAGTAATGATTTATTTTTTTTCAAAAAATGATATAGGCATGTTATTACACATGTCTAGATAATTTGTATTTCAACACTGATAAAAATTCTCAACATTATAATAATTAGATTTCCTTTGTTAATTATCAGATTTATAACCAAGATTTATATTTAGAATTAACATATGCAGTATTATCAAATATTTAAAATAAATGTAGACGTGTATAGAAATTTAATTATGCGGCAAATATTCGAAAAGTTATTAGTTTTTATAAATTACAAGAATTTTAAATGATACCAAGTAGAAGTGATATAAATACAAATTTGCATATCCATGATGCAAACTCCCAGTCGATTATTACATATGATACAGGCCATAACCGAAATAGGGTTTCTAATAATAAACTAAACAAACAAGAAAAACTTAATATTTATATGTGCTGTAATTAAATCGATGTACAGAAGTATTTTCATAGCTTAATCCAGAATAATCCTGCCTTTAAGAAAACCTAATATATGAATAAAAATTAATAACAGATGGGCTGTGGCTGAAACATTAGTTGGGAGCTATTTTTATAGCTTTTTGACTCTTGAAGAAACTAGAAAGGATAAAATAATCTATTTTGACTATATTTTGAGTATTGCCACATATTACATGCAAAAGATTAACGTTAAAGTGGATGAATGAATAATTCAATTAGACTATTACTGCAATTTCATATTCCAATGTAAAGCGTACTCTCGCATAGAATTGTTTAGATTTACACTGGTTTGGAGTTTGTGTATGGAATATATTGCTATGGAGTGACTATTAATCATATGTAAATTGCCAAATTCGTTTCTACTGAAACTCTTCCATCCAAAAAGTCTTTTTTCAAAATACTATTTTACAAGGGTATAATACGAAGAAAGATTTTCCTCATAATTTCTTTCAAGTTGCATAGAATTTAGATGTTACAGAAGATAGTGTGTATTAGATGTTAGTTAAATTGTACTATCATTAAACTAATTTACTATATGACATTTGTTGATCTACGGTGGATTTTCTGTTATGTTAATAACATAAGGTATTCATACACTCAAACAATAATGTTAAATATTAATGGTGTCACCCTATTTCGCAATTAAGATTTCAAGTTCCAAGCAATTTCTCTTACATATGCATTATTTTATTTACAGAAATAAAACTATTTTTAATAGATATTATGTGATATGCATATGCAATATAAAATATATTTAGATATTCTGAGAATTATTTTTTGTTTAATATAATCATTGTAATATTGCCAAAAATTATATTTGTCCTGGTATTTGGGTGATTGTTTAAGTCAAAAGATTATATTCTAGATACCTTAAACTAAATAATTAATACACTTTAAAATGAGCAAAAATAACTCGTAATTAGAAATATAAACGTGATGTAAATGCAGATTGTGTATACTGAATATCACAGTAATGGAAACATTGTATTTCATTGTATTTACACATATCTGTACAATAAAGACATCCATAACCATTCTTCTGGTGAAATGATTTATTAACATAATTCTGTTAAGTATAGTTTGTGATTTTTTACATACATAACGTAATAAATATGTAATGATGATATATAGGTACCACTTAATATATAATATACAATTGTTACTAGTCTATAATATTAAAAAATGCAATTTCGTCAATTTAACATACTTATTTTATTATACCTATTATATAGTGTACTTTTAAATGATAATTATTCTATGTTACACTACTTTACACTAAATGATAATAGAAGTATAAAATCAAATTTGTACATACTGGAAGAAAAACAAATTTCTTATATACATGTAAACGTCTTCTAATTATATGAAAGAAATAGATAGTGTGTATTAGCATTTAAGCTGCTTTTCTGTAATTTTGACGTCTAAACTTCATCTTCGTTTAAGAGCATATTTGGTATACCATCGTTAATAGGAAATTTTCTACCAGATTCTGGACATAATAGATCTCCATTAATAACTTCAACTTCAAGCAGTACATGGTGCACTTTCTTCAAAAATTCTTCATTTGTTTCGAAGTCTTGAATTAAAGTTTGTGGCAACTCTCCAACATGACCTATCTGTTTTAACATTCTGTATGTTACTTTCGAAAAAATATAAAACAAAATTTGAATCTATATTGCCGTGAACTTAAAAGTATAATGTTAATGGTTAATAGTATTAAAAAAAAATATAATAATTTTATTATAATGTTCAAAAAGTAAATAAAAATTAAATTCATATTTTATTTACTCGCGACAATAATTTTTTAATATCTTTCTATTACTGAAGCATTCATTAAATATGTTGTATTTTGTTGTATAAGCCTTAAATATTTTTTTCAATGTGTCCATAAATTCCATAAAAATTATTACTATTATGTTTTAATTATATTTATTTATTATGTTTCCATTCTTTTTATACCGAGATATTCGATACGATAGAGATTTAAAAAACTGAACAATAAAACCTATTTACTTAAAACAAAACATTTGATTTCATTTAATTCATTATAATCTCTTGAAAAATCATTGATTAATTATGAAATATGGCAAATTTTTTGATAGCATATTTAATATGTTTAAAAATTAGTAACAATTAATTTTTTAAATTAACATAAAAAACAACTTACACTATCCGCGGCTTTCCAAAGCGTGGCCCAATCAAGTTTTGGAATTATTCTTGCAATAAATTCTGAATTGAAATCCACCTCCGATACTTTAATATCTTTTGCCTAAAAAATTATATAAACACTTTTTTTATCGCGAATCGAACTTCTTATCATTAAATAAAAGTGTCCCAGAAAATATTCAAATTAATTTTAATTAAAGTAACCTAAAAATTAGAGAAACGTTAAAAACTCACAATAATTCCCAAAGGATATCCAACAGTTACACCTTTCAAGCATTTTGAAGTCAACATATTATGCGTTAAAAGCTTCATTTTTGTTTATCAACGAGAATAGTTGATTGGTAGATTAAAAAAAATTATGATTTTCTGTCGTCCAGGTTTCGTATTACAAGCAAGAGTTCATTGCACGCCACTCTGAACGCCGGCTTTTTAGCTTATGCGCGCTTTGATATTTTATCATGAAAACTCCAATCAGTATACTTTTATAACGTTCTTGACGTCTTCGAGATAATATATAAACTCAATGACGTTGAGAAAATAATAAATAATTGATTAATCTTTTATACCAATGAAATATAGCTGAAATATTATGACAATTTAAATTTAAGATTAACTTCCATAAAGTGCCAAACAGTCACGTGATTTCTCGTATTTAATTGTGTTCTTGTTATGAGGTTAGTTTTTCGAAGGAAACGCTTGTCTTAATTGTGAATCGTCCATTGCATTTCGTTAGATTTTCTTCGTACACGGTTTCTAGAATAGGTATATCGTATCTACTTTCAAGAAATTTAATTTTAATGTAAAACTATTATAAATATTACGAAACATATGGTGTTATCTACAATAAGTATATATCGTACTTCGAGGTGGAAAATCGTTTGAATAACAGCAAACTGACAGTAGCCACATCATCTGGCTTTTATGAAAATACGTAATCAGCTGTTAATACTACCTATTTATCTCTTGTTGTATTGAGTTTAAACACATATATATCCCTCCTACCATCTGCCAGTCATATTTTGACACATCACCAACTTGTTCGAAAAATGTTCAAGCACTTTATAACCTAACACAGGCAGTATATCCACTTAAAATTAATTTCTCGATATTTTATTCTTCCAAGTGTGCTTCAAGTTATTCTTAATAAATGTCAATATTTGAACGGTGTACATTTTTGCTTTATTGACGACTAATACTGTATAGAAGATTTATATTTTACTAAGTTTATGGTGTGGTGTAATTGTCTTCAAAAGATGCAACAAAAGACAGAAAGATAAAGATTGATAATAAGCAAAATAAGCGACGTAGATTGGTGTATTTACAATATATAATGCATCATATTATTTGGTTGTCATGCAATAGTGATTTTTTTGGAATATAAATCACAACAATCTGTGAAAAACAATGTGTACTATTACAAATATAAGATCTTGACATCGAAAGGAACACATTGTCTTGTATAAAAAAATGGCTTGTGATTGTTTTATGTGGGGGTTACTTATGTTTGGATGCAGCATACAAGCATTGTTAGCTGCATCCAAAGATGACCCATTGGAATATATGAACAAGGAAGAACGAGAAGCATTAAAGTTTGTATTACCATACAGTTTCATATTACATATGTAATTTAATTTTATTACACATTTATTACATGTATTGTTTCAATTGCAGGGAAGAAGCCAGGGATATGTTTTATCATGCATATAATGCTTATATGGTAAAGTTAATAAACCTTTAATAAATTTTTAGTACAAAAAAGATGGTACAAAAACAAAGCAAAATTAAATAATATTATTCAAAATTTCTTTAAACAAAAGATACAGATTGCATTTTGAAAAATCAGTAAAATAAATAGAATTAACGTTTTTATATTCTTTTCCATAGAAGATGAAAAATATTTTAAAAATTTTAAGTCTGAGCATTGTACATGTATTTTATTTAAATTAATTCTTATACTTCAGAAACTTATATACAAATTGCTAAGCAAATTACTTATTTGACATATTTTACTGTACAGTTTGTTAAGTATGCTTAATATAATAAATTGAAAATAATACAATTTTATGTTCAAGGATAATGCATATCCTGCCGATGAATTAATGCCATTAAGTTGCAAAGGGCGATATAGAGGATCAGAACCAAATAGAGGTGATATAGATTCCACATTGGGAAAGTAAGAATAAGATTTTATTATATATTCAAAGTAAAATAAATTTAATGCGATAAGTACATTATTTTTGTAAATTTTATTCAGAGTAGATAAATATTTTATGATAATTTTACTATAATAAAATTTGTAGTAATATTTTGATGCAGTTAAATTATTGTTTATTACAATATCAGGTAATTATGCAGTTTAAGTGTTTTTGTCAATTTTACGTCTTTCAGTCTATATTTTCTTTTAAAGTCTTTATTTTGTCACAAAAACAAGAAATTAAGCGAGGGAGCTCGAAAAAGTAATGTACTTTTACTAAATAAGCAGAATAATTTAAAACGTTCAGGTTGGTAATTTATAAGCAGAATTAAGTGTTTTGATCTCTGTGTAATTTTTTTTAAATCTTTATTTTATCACTGATGTATCCATTACGTATATTTAAAATTAAAAGTCGCTTGCCGCTATGGCTGCCTACAGCAAGCACGGTGTCACGCTCGCTCTGGGTCGTAAGCGGTCTTCCGCTCGGCGACGAAATAAAAATTAGTTGCACAAGGTACTGATAAAATTTACAAGAAGCATGTTCATCCTATGATTAAGCTTAAGTTAACTTAGTTTCTATTTTATTTGCTGCGGGCTGCTATGGTGGTGAAGTAGCATATCCTAAATCTAATTATAAATATATGTAATGGATATAATTAATATTAAGTTAGTATTAATAAAAAATTAGATCGAAGTATGCAAAATTGAAAAAAGCCGTTGAACTATACATATAATTACCTAATATTATACAGGATGTTCGGCCACCCCTGGGAAAAATTTTAATGGGAGATTCTAGAGGTCAAAATAAGACGAAAATCAAGAATCCCAATTTGTTGATGGAGGCTTCGTTAAAAAGTTATTAACGTTTAAAGTTCCGCCTGTAGAACGGCAATCTGCGAACAGCTGCGTACACATGATAATGGTTCTCATTCACAAAACTGTAAGACTGTAGATACGTTAGTAAGTAGAGTTTCTAATGCTGAATGAGAACCACTATTATGTGCACGTAGCTGTATGCAGATTGTCATTCTACAGGCGTAACTTTAAACATTAATAACGTTTTAACGAAGCCTCAATCAACAAATTGGTATTCTTGATTTTCGTTTTATTTTGGCCTCTAGAATTTCCCATTAAAATTTTTCCCAGGGGTGGCCGATCACCCTGCATATGGTTGCATTAAAAAATTACAACCATGTTTATGTATTATTTACTTTCAGTTTTTCACTTACATTGGTTGATACATTAGACACACTTGTGGTAAGTGTATTAAAAAATAATTTGTTTTATATACTAAAATTATGTATTTTGATACAAGGTAATTTAAATTGATTTATGTGTATTTAATTTGTTAGGTACTGGGAGATTTAGATGAATTTGAAAATGCAGTTAAACTTGTTGCCAGAGATGTTAGTTTCGACACAGATGTTATTGTTTCTTTATTTGAGACTAATATTAGAATGCTTGGGTAAGATATTTGAATTATTTCACCTTTTTGTATTAATTCTTTTTTCATTAATTATAATTTTTTGAAATAATTTGTTCAATAGAGGTCTTTTGAGTGGTCACATATTAGCAGAGTATTTACAACAAAGAGCTGATATAATGCCATGGTATCGTGGTGAACTTTTAAATTTAGCCAAAGATTTAGGATACAGATTTTTACCTGCATTTAACACAACTACAGGAATACCATATGGCAGAGTAATACAATTTTGTTTAATCATATCGTAATAAGTAAAGTATAAAAGTCACTAATCTTTATATTGAATGGTATACCTTGTACAGATAAATTTAAAGCATGGTATGAAGGGAGTATCTCTAGAAGTATCAAGAGAAACATGTACAGCCTGTGCGGGTAGCATGATTTTAGAAATGGCAGCATTGTCGAGATTAACTGGAGAATCAATTTTCGAGGTACAATTTCTTTTATATTTTGTGTTTATACATAAAACTTTTTATTATATGATATTGCATGAGATAGGAAAAAGCACAAAAAGCAATGGATGTTTTATGGAAAATGCGTCATCGTGGTACCGATTTAATGGGTTCTGTATTAAACGTACATTCTGGGGATTGGGTACGAAGAGATTCTGGAGTTGGAGCAGGTATAGACTCCTACTATGAATATTGCCTTAAGGCATATATTTTATTAGGTAATTATTATTTGGTAATTTGTATTTTCATGATTTTATAACGAAAATTTATGATAATATAATTTAATTTTTAATTTTATGTAGACGATGAAAAGTATCTTGGCCGGTTTAATAAACATTATCAAGCTGTAATGAAATATGTTAGCCAAGGACCGATGTTGTTAGATGTACATATGCACAGACCAAATACAAACTCCAAAAATTTCATGGATGCTTTATTGGCTTTTTGGCCGGGTCTACAAGTAAGTTTCGGCTATTATTTTGTATTTGAATACTGCCTTTTTATCAATATTATTGTATTTCTTTAATTTTCATTTTATGTTTTAGGTATTAAAAGGCGATATTAAACCTGCTGTTGAAACGCATGAAATGCTGTATCAAGTTATGCAAAGACATAATTTTATACCAGAAGCATTTACTACTGATTTTCAGGTTGATTATTTCCTTAATTAATAAATACAACTTTTATTTAATATTGAAAATGTTTTTCAATTTATGTTATTAGGTACATTGGGGACACCACCCATTAAGGCCAGAATTTCTTGAGTCAACATATTTCCTGTATCGTGCTACAGGTGATCATTATTATTTGGGAGTTGGGCGTAAGGTACTCAAGAGTCTGCAAACTTATGCCAGAGTACCGTGTGGTTACGCAGCTGTATCAGATGTCAGAACTAATAAACACGATGACACAATGGATAGCTTTGTATTATCGGAAACTTTCAAATATTTATTTCTGTTATTCACGGAGCCAGATGAATTAATTTTAGATTTGGATGAATTTATTTTTACAACCGAAGGACATTTATTACCGTTGACACTTGCTTCTATAAGGACTAACGTTTCTTCGGTAAATATATAAATTATTAAATCAATAAATACATTATAGTTAATAGTCAAATCGTGAAATACAATCTTTGTTAGACTACTGAAGTTTTATTATATACTACAGTTTCGCAATATTTATATTTTATGAAATCAAGCAAGATTTTGAGCGCGATGTCGTACACGTGGACGAAATGGATCGCACTTGCCCCAACAGCCTACATCTGTTTCCTGCGTCGGTGCGACAACCTTTGAGAAACATGGTTGAAGATGTATGTCCAAGACGGGCAATAAAAAGGAGATTAAGCGCTGCACAATTTCAGGTAAGAAAATAATAAATAGCATTTGAATCAGTCGCTTGTAAGTATTATTTAAACAAGTATTAAAAACTATTTTCCATCATTGTAGGCAAATAATTTGGAACATTTAAAGTTGTTGAGTGATATGGGAATAACAACTTTAACTTTGGCAGATGGACGTGTTCAATTTTCGTACACATTTTCTAAAGTAAAATAAAAATTTCTTTACTAGATATTAATATACACGTAAATATATTATGTACAATATTTTTATTTATTTACAAAATAAAAGCATATCTAATTTAATTTCACAGGCAAAAACACCACAAGATTCGGAAGAAGGTTCACTATTCATGCAAGAAACAGTGGAAATAAATATAATGGAGTCCCAACAAGCTGAAACTAAACCACAAGCAGTCACATTTGTAAAACCAAATACAACTCCACCTCAAAAAGTTACATTATTAGCTGGGCCAGCACATTTTGGATTGAAATTACAAGGATCAAATAAAATAACCGAAAAAGTTATTTTTACATATCCGTCTGCTGCTTGTACCGATCTTCTTAATGCTGAGGAAATCGCAGGCAAAATAGCAATAATGGAACGTGGCAGTTGTATGTTTATAGAAAAGGTAAATATCTTCTATTCATATTCTCAACATTAGGATGATTTTTATGCCCTTGTTATAATTACAGACAAGGCGAATTCAACAGGCTGGCGCCGTTGCTGGAATAGTATTGGATAATGTTGATGGTTCTAGTGCCGCAACTTCACGTATGTTTGCAATGTCAGGGGACGGAAAAGAAGTGGATGATGTAATTATTCCAGTTGTGTTTTTATTTAGCATCGAGGCTTCTGAATTACTAAAATCTATTGCTGCTGCAAATGGCGATCTCACAGTTACTCTTGGTAAGAGATTATTGTATTTCATACAAATATAAGTTATAAATAAGTAACTTGTTATACAAAGTAATAATCATTTTTTTATACCATTAATTTTCATGTTAATTTTAATATTATTCATTTTCATATATTAAAATTCCTAATATAAAATATTTACGAACGGTTTTTACTTTCATTATTATGCTTTGCGATTGAATTACACATACAAAATGATGTTTTGTTACATCAAGTTCAATAAAACTTATTACAAATATTTTTGTCAACCGTACACGAAAAGAGAAAACAGAGTTTTTGTTTTTCTATTTTCAAGTTATGCCGAACTATACCTGTTTTGTTTTGTTTACAGGAAGTTTCTTTCCAAAAGACGACGTTCAATTAAAAGCACCCACACAACAAATGACACCACAGGTCTGTATTCCTTGGTGTTTGGTAATAATTTTCATAGAATATGTTCTCCTATGGATTTTGATTTATATAAAGCGACACGAGTACGATATATAATTCACGATTATAGATACAAGATGACAATATTGAATGTCATTTGCAAATTAGTTAAAGAATTCTGCACATTATTATTTGAGAAGATATTTTCTTATTTAGTACGTTCAGTGTGGATTTAAAAATGAGATTTTCGATAGTAACGGACGCAAAAGAAGAGTAGCGCAGTACCGTCGGAGATATACAATTATTCACAAAAGTATCCGATCACCTTATGAGTATAACATATTTTGCTCATTTAAAATTAACGTTATATTCATAATTATCCATTGTAAACTATATTGGTATAATCCTTGATTAATATACATACTTTACATTATAATTTATTAAATTGAAACATTATGTATATTTCATGAACAAAATATTGTTACTTGCGTATGTGACAAAAATATACGTATGAAAATATCCGTCCACCAGAGAATGTGAAGAGAAGAGTGTCATTGTTTTCGTTTAATTTTGTTTCTTTTTTTTATGTTTCCTTGATTTACATAACGTATGTTAAGTCAGTTGAACGAAGTTTGGTAGTATACACGCATTATAAGAAATATGATGAAAATCACCATAGTCATATTGCCAGAAAAAATCATGGGTTTCTGAAAAGAACAAAAGGAAAAAAAAAAGTGTAGAATTCCCAGAAGACTCTTGGAATCAAGTTATTTTTAGTGTCAAATGTAAATTTTAGATTTTTAATTCATTTGGTAAAAAAAAGGGTTTGGAGGCAAGCAAGACTTGAAATGAATAAAGAAAACTTATTACAAATAGTCAAATACAGTGGTGGTTCCATAATGGTTTTGGGGTACATGGTAGCTTTTGGAGCTACCAGAACTTTTTTAGTTTTATCTTTCAACAAGATAATGACCCAAAACATTGTGCACAAGTTATAAAAGAATGGATCCTTTACAATGTACCAAAATCCTTAAATACACCACTTGAATCGCCCAATGTCAACTCCATCGAGCATTTATGGGTGGAATTAATATGTTTTGAATAAAAAAAATGTTAAGAAATGTATTGACAACAGAATGGAACAAAATAGATGTAAATTTTACAAAAGAAACCAGCCCAATTGATATCCATGTGGATATCACACAAAGTATTAATTGTAAATAAGTTTCTATGAAATAAATATTGACTCTGGGCTGATAGCTTTTTGTTATTTCTTTGAAAGATATACATTTTCATATAAACTACATATAATTTCGTAATTAAACTGTGACCTAATTCGAAGTACATTAATCGAGCTTTAAACTAATATAAATTGTAATAGATAATTATGAACGTAACATTAATTAAGTAAACAAAATATGTTATACTTGCAAAGAGAATGGATACTTTTGTGAGTAACTGTATACTGGTGTCTCTGTCAACGAACATACCGATCCTAAGAATATATACCTCCTTCTCACTGAACATGTTAATATTTATAATTTATATTTTCTTTAGTTATTCTTAATATTGTGTAATAAAAATTGTTATTCGAGGTTTTATATTTGTTACAGAAATTAAATTGTTGATTTTTATATTTACTACATTTATTATATTTTTTATTATATTCTTATTTCCTTCTTTACTTCGTTAATAATTACTTAAAAATACGTATGCAATAATTCTATTTCAGATTGTTGATTAACACGTTCACTGCCAGATCAAAACCATATAATATTCTGTACAAATAAAATTTTGATTTTAGACCATTGTAAGCTACATAACTTAAAATTTGTTTCAGTACATATTTTCGTAATCTTGTTAAAACTCACAAATTCTATTCAAATTTATTTTCCTTAACGTCTTAACTTAAGAATTAATTTTTCTAGTATCATAATGGTAAATCCTGTGACCCATACAGGGTGTTCGGCCACCTCTGGGAAAAATTTTAATGGGGGATTCTAGAGGCCAAAATAAGTCGAAAATAAAGAATACCAATTTGTTGATGGAGGCTTCGTTAAAAAGTTATTAACGTTTAAAGTTCCGCTCGTACTGAATTTTTTTCTCGAAAATGCGCAGGATTACAGGGGTTTGTCTATTCACCAAAAATGATTGCAATTCACCCCCGCAAACGAACATAATTTTTCTAGAACGATTTGAAATTTTTTTTTCCCGTCGAGAAATTTCACACCTTCCCGAATTATTTTCTAGAAAGTGGGTAGGATTTCGATGGTACATCTATTCATAAAAAATGATTGTAATTCACCCCCGCAACCGAAAATAATTTTTCCAGAACGATTTGAAATTTTTTTATTTAATTGTTAATAACGATTTAACGAAGCTTCAAATGAAAAATTGATATTCTTGATTTTCGTCTTATTTTGGCCTCTAGAATCTCCCATTAAAATTGTTCCCAGGTGTGGCCGAACACCCTGTATATGGATGACGTGGCAGTCAAAGTGTTAATGTAAATGTTTTTAAAGTCGCATTTTTATATATTTCATATAATTTGTAAAATGAAACTAAAAATCGATAGATATTTTTTTATAACAGACATCTCCAAGCAGCGGGACACATTTGGACGTGGTCAAACATCGACCAGACATAGTCATTGTTCATAATCTACGTGCAGAAATAATCAAAGATCCACTCGGTGGGGAAGTAAGAATTACGTCGTCGTATTTGCCTACTCGTGTTACAAGCAAGTTGGAAAGCAACACCTTAGTAGAAAAACAATGGCGACAGTTGAAAGAAGTGTTTGTCAACCAGATATATTCAGATGTAAAGCACAATACAGGTTTAGAAATCAGAAGTTTTATATTAGAAAGTTATTATAATTGGATAGGAAAGTCACGGGGTGGAAACGCTAATATTCTAAAGATATCTTTACGAGATAAAGTTTTATGGTTCTTAGAAGAACTATCTGAAATTGTACCTAATCCGTCCATTATGAAAATGGGCCAATTAATGGATTTCAATACGCAAAAACTGCTAAAACAATATTTACTTACAAAGATGGACGTTGTGGTTTTAAATATGAAAAATGTCATGACGGTGTTGAAATCAATAAAATCCGACAGTCTAAATAGCGAGCAATTGTTTAAAATTTTTGAGCTTAACATTTCTCAAGCTGGTAATTATAAAATTCTCAGACAATTGTTACCAGATATTTTTGACATAGAAGACGAAAGTATCACCGAGCATCTTATTTTACTAGACTATGTTAATCAAGCCGTGCATAAAGAGTACCGTGAAATATTAGCCGACGGAGCACAAGGAAATTTGGAAAAGTCAGTAATAGAAAAAAATTCTTACTACGATATACTGTTTGATAACTGGCAAAGAGATTTGAAAAATTTAGAAAAACTAGATATACTAAAAAAAACTAAAGAGCATGATTCTACAATCGCAGAATTTATGACGGATAGCAATGAAAGTAGTAAAACAGAAATGAAATCTAAAGACACTTTTAAAATGCCTAAGAAAAACGAAGATGTTAAAGTTGGAAAATTCGAAGACTTTGAATATTTTATATTAACAGAAATAGAAAAAGCTGTAAGGAATTCGGAACAAAATAGTATTCGAAAATATCAAGAACCCATTGATATTTCAAGAGACGCAGTAGATAGCGCAAGTAACGAAATCGTTAACTTGAACAATGTTATTTTAAATGTTTCTTCTCAGAATCAAAGCGAGGTTGATGAATTAAAAAATAGAATAAAATATCATATTGAACTTATGAGAAATAAAGAAGCGTCCAAAGATTTTAAAAATCAAATATGGATGTCCGAAAAAGAAAAAAGCAAGCATTCTGTTCGCATTAAACAAGAAATAAAAACTTCCACTTCAGATTTTAATTCTGTAGAAGAGAGTAAATCGCAAGATAGTCAAAAATATGTAATTGAAGTTGAAAGTAAGAATGTCGATGTACAGAAGCATGAGAGCAAACATATCGACGATGAATTATAATAAAAGCTTTCAAATGTTAAGATGAATTATAAATATTAAAAAAAAAATAAATAAATAGATTTCTAAATGTTACGATCCTGGCAATCCTACCCACACTACATTTGATATTTTTGCACTAAAACTCAAATGTGTGTGCAGTGAGCTTTAATGTTTTTATATACAGGAAATCTTTTAGGAAAAGAATGAGTTATTTAATGAAGAAAAAATATTATGAACGACCAGACTATATCAGCATAATGCTAATTCTGTTAAACTTGGTGCTCAAAAGAGAATCCAATTTCATTTGTTATTTGAAAAAGAAACGTAGCAAAGTTACAAGGAAATGAACAACACATGTAGACAGCGAGTGCAAAATATTTCTCCTAACGAGGTTGTGAAAGAATATTCTGTTAAGGCTTCGACAGATGTAAATTTTATATATACCACTTAATAATTAATATAGTATATTTCTTGTACACACTACAGTACAACATATTGTTTTCTCCTTAGGAAAGGAATTACGGTTCTATTTTTATTTTTCATTTTTCTGTACTTCAAACATGTGCCATGATGTATAAATGAATACTTCAACAAATAATGGGTATTGTGCTGTTTTTCTATAGTGCAACATTATCTTATATTCTCATCGAGAATATAGATAACGTTTATTAGAAAATAGTTTTAAATTATGTATAACTATACAATCTGTGTTTTGTTTTTAAGATAAAAATGGTGGCAGATTGGTTATCTATTCAAATGTAATTACTTGTTTCGCTTAAAACATATGTCATATCTTGTTAATAACAAAAAAACCTATTATATAATATTGTAAAAATTTGTTAGATAATTGTAAAGCTTAATAGATTTTTTAGGAAGTGATTTCTTTTATAGAAATTTTTGCTGTTGCTTTGAGCTATACTTATCAACTTTAAAGATATTACTATATTTTTAATTCCATATTGCTGTAACAATTATACACATTTATTTCGAATTTATGTATTAATATATATGCCTTATGTGTACATAAAATTGTATAAATAGCAATGTATATACATGTCATATGGTATGTAACAAAGTTAATAACGGTCAAAATTATAATAGATTAAGTGATGTTCAATAATTTAAAATATTTCAGTTTTCTTACAAACTATCCACTTATACTTCTTCTTTTAAGTATTAAATGTTTATATTACACGTTGTATAAAACAGTTCTAAGTTTGCAATACAAGAATTAAGTTATATTACGTGCCATATAAAATGCACAAAAAATACATGTTATAAACCAATCCAATTGAGAACGACATGTGTATTTGGGTTAAGCCAGTGTAACATGTGACTGACTGTAATTGTAGATATTATATAAATAAGTAGGTAATAAGTCTGTGTTCTATAATTATCATGTAAAAATTTGTATACTGAATGCCAAAACGGACATTGCAAAGTTTATTGTAAATTAAACTAGTTACAATTTTGCATAGATTGTATGTATAGACAGAAATCATATGCACATACATATATATATTTATGTATATACAATATATATATTGTATTGTTTGTATATATGTGTATTTATGTATGTATCACTTGATTTGATTGTTGTCTATAATGTAAAGATACATAAGAAAAATAGACATGTATGATACCAGTATGATACGTTAACAAATTTTGGTACAGAAATAGAACACAATGAGAAATATAAATAAAATCTCTGTTACAAAGAAACATCTCATTACACAAAGTCTCAAACTAACAATGCTTACTTTTTAAATTAAAACGTTTTTTTTTTTCTGTTATCCTATTCTTAAAATTTACATTTTTTTATTAATAGTTTCTACAAACTTAATTACAATAATAATAGGCAAAGCATAGATATTTGATAAATCTATAGAAATCTTGTTTCGTCAAAGTTTTTTTTATTAATAAATTTAAATTATATTTTATATAAATAGATTATTAAAACTTCTTGTTTACGAGATAATGAGTTTTCTCCATTTGAGCGTATAAAATAAAATTATGAAGGTTACATTAAATTATCCAAGGGTTTTATTTATTATCTATTTTTTATTTATACTTCTTTATTATTATTTTTATCTATTGTTTATAAAATAAACAAAGTTGCGGATGAATTGTCCAGCGTATGTGTAAAAACACTTTGCATTGATTAATAATATCACCTAAATGATAATATCCAATATGTTGAAATACAAAATTCTTATATAATTGAAAGAGTTCGTAATATCGTAGCAAATAAATTTTCAAAACATCGTGTAATATTACTGCTGAAATTACTAACTTTTGAGTTGCTGTACTATGTATGAAAAACATTATGATACAAATTAGACTAAAATAATGCATGAGTAAACAAGTTTTAATTACAACATTTTGAAAGAAGAAATATAGTTTTACGGTTTTACTTTAAGCCGCTTTTCATTGGAGTTTGCGTGTTCAAGTTACGACAACCTGTCGTCAGATGTTGGTTGTTGGCTTTGCGTCAATGGTAAGGGAGCTATTTTAATTTCGAATTTTGGACGGCCCTGATGTGCTCAATCAGATACACGACACATTTGTAACACAACTCGACAGTCTAGTAATCAAATTCAAGATTTTTCGAGAAACAATCAACAATATCAAAGGTAAGGTATTGTACCTAATTTTCACAATTTAAAGTAGGTAACGTGTATAACAACCATGTGTTACTAACCACGCAACCGATTTACCAATACGAATTTGTAATTCTGTCATGTTTGCGTAATCGTATTTTTATTATAGATCAGTGACTTTTAGAAATTTAGATCACATATCTTTTTTATTCGTTTTTAATTTTTCTTAATATCTAATATGATACTGGTAAAAGGCACTTTTGATTTCTAGTTTAGATGGGTGAACCACTAAAATACTATGGAAAAAGAAGGAGCATTGTTCGTAGAATTGGTTCGTTGTTACCTTTGAAACCTCCACCAAAAATATATGTCAGTGTTACACCTTTGCATTCAATGACAAGTTCCATGATTAACGAAGAAACTAGTAGCGATTATAAAGACACGAATGGATATGGACAGGCAAAGTTTGTATATATAGTTTTATTATATTTTATTTTGTTTCGCCGATTTAACAATTTATTAACTTAATAATATTTGTTTATACCAGGTTTTCTAACGTTAGGCCAGATTTATTGGAACCTATCAGTTTTGGATCTGAAGTTAGATTGCTCGCTTTGGAACAAGAACTTCAAGAGCTCAAGGAACAAATTTCAGCAATAGTTAAAAACAAGAAACAATCTAGATGTATGTATATATAGGAAAGAATTTTTATTTTATTGTTTACTCTACTATAAGCGCATTTTAAATATATTTCAATTAAAAAATCTTTTAGATACATCCACTGCATCTTTAGTGAATGGAACTAGTACTGAAGATGTGACGGAACCGCCGCCACCGCCGCCGCCTCCATTACCACCGCCTACAACTCCACATATTGCGAGAAGAGCAAGTTTGCAAGATCATAAAGTCGAGGAACGCAGAAAGCCTCCATTAAATTCTCAGGCATCTATGGGCAATGTACTTAAGGATATTGCAAACATTCAACTGAAACCAATTACTAAGTAATATTGATTATTCTAATTACCACATAGGGTTGGGCATATTTTTATCTAGATGAAGGAATACCGAATGACGCTTTATTCTGGTACATTGTTATTCGTGTTGCACGAATAAAACGTTATTCGTTATTTGTTACTTGTTAATAAGTATTCGCGTAACCTTTTCTTTTAATAGTAAAGATGGCTGAATTTATTTGTTATGCAAATAAGAAAACAATTCTTTGCGCATGCATGCGAGTGTTTGTTGTCTGTAGATGTATAATGTCTGTGTAGTATTATATGTAGTATCTGTGGACTGTATGTGACTTTTGTGTGAAATTTGTGGTTTGTACACTAATAAATATAAATCAATACAAATACGACATATAGTACACAAAACTAAGGCTAGTGCCATACAAAATACATATTCCATATGAATATAAAATAAGTAAAATGTAAAAATTATACACAGCATATACATACTATATTTAATATTTCACAGACGTATATACTATAAACGTATGCTAAGATAAAGAATTGTTTTCTCATTTCCATAATGAATAATTACTTATTCATTCATCGTCATTTAAAAGAAAGGTTATTCGAATAATGAATAAGGAATAGTAGATAAGAAATTAATGGGTAATGTTTTTATTATTGGTCCTTTATTTGATTAAAGGTTATGCAGTTGTGTATCTAGATAAAATTTTATTCGTCACCGATAAATTCTGTGGCTAATATCGACTATTTGGATACCTTATTTGGATAAAAATGTTTTATCTAGATAAATATCTAGATAAAGATTTTTTTGAAAATTATTAATATAACGTCCAATTCTGTAACTATAATTGTACATTATTGATCGATATAAGTTACAGTATGGTTTAATATGAATTTTCTTAGATCACCAGGAGGTCGTCCTCTTCGCGTTAAACGTGAGAACAGCCCCTGTAACGACTTACAGGAGATATTAAGAAGAAGATACATTGCAATGAATTCAGACGACAGCAGAAATTCTTCTACTACTTTGGCAATGGATGATTCATTCTCAAGTGACGCGTGAAAACATTCTATAGATAGATTCCCAGTGTGCATTATGTGAAAAAACGTGCCATGTAAAATTTTGGACAATGCTAACAACAGGATAACGAATCTGATCGATTAAGTCAAGCAAGAGCAGCATTTAAGATGCAATAAGAATGCAAAACAAACGTGGCAGGGATCTTTGAAATTGTGATTAATAATTTTATATTGCAATCTAATTTCCTTGATGTAATATTAATCACATTTTTCAAAGAGCACCGTTGCTATTAAAACATGTATATACACTAACCAAAGATATAACGTATTGCATATTTGCACGGACATGTGTCTCAGAATATTGAGTTGTAAACTATGAGTAATGGATAAGGTATTTTTAAATTTGTATGAAACCAAATACAAATAACTTCTCTTTTTAAAGTAAAAAAATTGAATCATTAATTGAAATTGTGAAAGAAAGATCATTGAAATATGTATATTAAATCAGGGGTGGCGAATTTTGCTGAGAGCCATAAGAGTTTCACCTCTTTCGCCCAGCGAATCTCCGTCCCAACTTTGCAGAGCAAGCATAGTGGGGACGGTTGTACGCTTGCGCGGAACAGAAAAATAAGGGAAGGAACCACAACTAGCTCTTGGGCCGCCAGTTCATCACCTCCGTATCAAATCATAAATAGTAAAAGTTTATGTTTTATATTTGAAAGAAACTACGAATCAAAAAGCATCATAAGTTTATATGTAAACTTTGTTGTTAGTTTTATTTTTAGCAATCTATGGTGAACTATAGATTATTATATTTTTAAGTGTTTCTTTTATTCGATTACTTCGTTATTTTGGAATTTTTATTTCATTAAATAAATAACTATATTTTTAACAAATTTTTAAAGCAAGGAAGGAACATGTATTCAAATGTTCGATGCTTTATATAAAAAACTATGAACTATAATAATTATTTAATTAATTCTGGTGGTATTAATACACAGCCAATTTTACATATCAATATTTTAAAATCCTTCGTATAGTGTGATTTTTAACCTATTAATAGAATTATAATGGATTAAGTTTAATACCGGTTGTGTTAATGCATACAAATAAAATTTTCATCGCAGAAAATATTCTGATACAGTTTATAACTCAATATTGTTCAAATATAATATTGAAATTTTTAAACAGGAACCACGTTTGAACTCTATATAGTAAACAGAATTAGTTTTTATTCTAATTTTGATAAGATGCAGCTGATCGAGCACTGTCCAATAACGTCATGTTAGTTTATTTAATATTACGTGTATTCAAAATTACTTATTCAGATTCCTAGGCGAGAGTGGAGTGATATTAGTCATGCGATAACTTCTGATACCTTAGATCCTGCCATAGGAAACAGTACGTATACTCTCTGTAGATATACATTAGCACTGGCTTGTCACACAATAGATAGACACATAATTACTTGTGTCATTTGTTATATGAAACATGTTTTCATAATAATGAGTGATTGAACATAGCATGCGTATACACAATGAGAAGATAACACGAATTATGTCTTACGACATTATGCTCTTGAAATATCACTGTGTGATAAATATTAAATTTATTTGACTTACAATTGCTCTTATAAAGAATTTAAGAACTACCTTAATACGAGATCACGTTAGTAGTATGTGATCAGTTGAAAGCTGAAAATATTTTAAGTTCTGCGTATTCTTTATATAAGTAACTTGTAAAATTTTTGACTATTTTCTGACACGAATGTATTTAGGATGTATAATTTTCAGTTGGAAGGGACGTCATAATAGATTTTGGAGACTGAGTGAATCTTCAACGATATTACAAATGTACAGAATATCTGTTTTATACATGAAGCTTTTATCGATAATTAAAAAATAAACGTTATTGTTAAACAAGAAACCTTATATTTATTTCTATACTTATTGTTAGATTAGATTATTACAAAGTAACGGAAAAACATTCTGAATGATTATGTTCTTTTTAAAATAAAATTTAAAACATTTATTGATTGTTTTTAGACATTTATTTCTATACAAATCTAGTCTTATGTTTGATTAATTAATTTTATCCACTATTTCGTTAAAATCAATTTTTTTGTTAAGGTAAATCATAATTGTATACATGATGCGAACGTAATCATGAATTTATAGGTGATTATTTTTTCTGTATAAAGAAATTATACTGTATTTTCAATATTTTTATAATAAAACTTTTCTATACCGATTGTTCCACGATATTGTCTTCAATTTGTAAGGGAACTTGGGGTAATATTGTTATAATTAAGTGTATTTTACAAAATAAAGAAAAATACACAAATTTAAATATTATAAACGAGTGCCATTTGTAAAAACTATACAAAGAGTCCGGCAACCCCTGGGAAAAATTTTAATGGGAGATTCTAGATGCCAAAATAAGACGAAAATCAAGAATACCAATTTGTTGATCGAGGCTTCGTTAAAAAGTTATTAAAGTTTAAAATTCCGTCCGTGCTGAATTTTTTTCTAGAAAGTGGATAAGATTTCGGATAGGTCTATTCACAAAAAAATTATTGTAATTGATCCTCACAACCGAAAATAATTTTTCCAGAACGATTTGAAATTTTTTAATTTTGTCGATAAATTTCACATCTCGAATTTTTTTCTCGAAAGTGGGGAGGATTTTGAGGGTATGTCTAATGACCAAAAATTATTGTAATTGACCCCCGCAACCGAAAATAATTTTTTCAGAACGATTCGAAATTTTTTTTTTACTGAAAACTTTAGGCACCTACCTCTGTCGATTTTTAGTTTTAGTAATTTTGTTTGACGCTTTACAGAAAAGTTGTCTAATACTTTTTTGTAGGTACCCATGAGCTCTACTTCCGACAAAAGTTTCATTGAAATATATTTACTATTGCAGAAGTTATGGCTGTTTGAAAATTGGACCATTTTTATGGGGGTTTTCTCATTTTCCAGGGTCAAGGATCAACTTCTCAAATATTTTTGGAATTTCTACATATTCTTGACCAAAATACGCGTTGTTTGCATTTTGAAAAATTAAAATTCTTCAATCCGTTCAAGAGTTATGACATTTTAAAGATTCGCATGAAATTTTGGGCTAACATTCTGGCCTTACATTAGATTTTCGATAAACAATTTTTTTCTGGAAAGTGCGTAGGATTTCGGGGCATGTCTATTTACTAAAAATGCTTGCAATTGACCACTGTAACTAAATATAATTTTTTTAGTATGATTTTAAATTTTTTAATTTCGTCTAAAAATTTTTTTAGACAAGACCTATTCGAATTTTTTTCTCGAAACTGGGTAGGAATTCAGGGGTATGTGTATTCACCAAAAATGATTGTAATTGAGCCTCGCAACCAAAAATAATTTTTTCAGAATGATTTGAAATTTTTTAATTTAATTTTTTAATAATATTTTGACCTCTAGAATTTCCCATTAAAATTTTTTCTGTGCGTGGCGGAACACCCTGTATACCCTTTATAAACTTTGCATATTGTTTCATACAATTTTATTCTTGTAGAAATGTAATTAGTAGTATCCAGTCTAACATTGATGAAAGTTGTTTCACTTAAAAAATTCTTTTTAAAGGCAGTCCAAGTTATGATTAATAATAAATTCGTAATTTGATATTGAATTTTTCTGAAGCTCTTCAAATTGATTATTCGCCGTTTTTTGATATTACCCAATTGTGGATCACGCGGCATAATACAAAGTTACAAAATGTTTTATATATATTTAAAAAAAAAAATATTTTTGGATACCAAAGAAACCTAACAAAAGCAATTTTATAAATAGTCCACAGTTTATAAATATTCACAGTTCTATGAGGTTTGTTTTGTAACATTAAGCAAACAGTTTAACTCTGGAATGGTGGGCAATGACTGGGTTATTTTGATCCACAGTAAATGTTTTGGTACCCTTGTGTTAGAATAAGATTTCATGTTGATTTCAGATCATTTCGATTTCATCACAGCACATTTGGTACGAAATTTCCTAAAGTTATTCGCTTGATTTTTTAATTCAAATCTATTCCGAGACTTCCTAGGCCAACAAACAAAATGGCTGTCTCACATTCCTAACCACTTCCTACAACAAGTAGAGTTCAATTATGATTTTCTTGTCTTAACAAACGTTATTTATCTCGTACAACAGATCATCACTCTGAGGATTTAATAGCCTCGTAGAAACTTTGAACGTCTCAATTAATATTTATTTTACAATTTCCTATAATTGACGCGATTGATTACAATACTGCCTAATAATAATTAGTGCAATATTATAGGTTTTATTGATAGTTACTGTACAAGGATACTCTAAACTTTTGATAATATGTTATAGATTATATAATGGATCGATTGAAGGGCTATTAATTCTGGGCTGTTAAGTCCTGTAAATCGAGGGTGAGACAGAATTTTCCTATATAAAGCTGGTTCAAACGGTCAAATGCGTCAGTATCTCAAATTCACCTAACTCACCACGATACTGCCAATCTCTGCGTTGTCTTTGGTCAATTTTAAGGTAAACGAACATTTATATTGACGTATAGATATATATTAAACATCGTTCTTTTAACTTGTTCTATGACGAGTCGATGTACTGTTTGTAAATGTATATGATCAGTAGCCCTTTTCAAAAATAAAATTTCAATATGCATCCTCTCGTATATAATAGAATTAATAAAATTAATTTTACCTCGTATCCAATAGAATTAAGAAAAATTAATTTTTTGCCGGTGAAATCTTTTTTTACTACGTTTGCACGGATTGCAGTTTTAAACGATCGATGTCTTTGGTTGTGTAATGACTTGTTCGCGTGGGATTCCATTGGTCGCGTCGGTTTTTTTAATCCGTTAACAAAAAATTTATTTTCAAAACGATCGGCACAATTCGGCGTGGACATTCGAACAAGCAAATCTTTGTTTCAATCTCCGGTTAGTGTTACGACTATTCTGTGTTGAATGTGTTGGGATTGTGTTTGGTTCATTCTAAACAATTCTAAACAACTCATTATTATTTCAACACATTTATTTCTATTTTAACAATGAACGTACATAGGTATTTTTACCTACACGTGTTCCCGCACAACGCCATTACATACTTCACGGGAGCTCTACTCCGGTATTCCCCCTCATATCCCTGTTCCAGCGCTACAAACTCCAATCAGTAAAAAATAACTACATAGAATGGATCTCAATTTTTATAATGCAAATTTTATTTCAACGAAAGGCCTCTGATATAATTAACATAAGACAAATATGCTCAAGTTTCCTAGTTTAATATTTACAATTTTGAATAATTTGTTTAAATATCAAATATAAAATTAATCTTGGCTTAAATATATGTCTATCACGTTTAGTGAATTTTTAAAAAATGTGTGGGGGTCCTGTTGATGAGAAATGGAAAAGGAAAGGAGTACGGCATTCTAGCAGATCCTACCTTAGACTTCGCGATATTGAATAGCTGATTAAAAAGCGTACATATCACTAGATTTACGGAAGCCGTCAATTTGACGGATGTCTGATTCCATATTTAAAATTGCAGAACGCGTAAATATTATTTTTTAACAACTTATGTTGAATTTGATTGATGCAATGGCATGAATACATATTCTAATTAAAAGAAAAATCGTATTGTAAGGTAATCGTCAACATGAAAGGTATCAATACATACGATCAATGCCCGTAAATCTAGCGATATAGAAACAGAAGGTTGGTCGAGCGCTTGCGAGAGAGACAAGAGCGTAGCCCTCTAGTGGCGAGCACTGGAGGCGATGGACCCCACAAATGTCACATACGTATACTCAGTACAGATAGCCCTCCTACAACACGGTTTCGCTATAACACGATTCATAAATTGTGAGAACCCTCCTACAACACCGCATCTTATAATACAGTTTCGCTTTAACACTGTACACAACACTGTAGTCCTACAGCACTGGATAACATGATTTTTGCTTACCTTAAAATAATGATGCGGAGGAATAATGAACTATAGTGGTTTTACATTAAAAGATATAAACAAATTATAATTTATTAAATTAAGGTTGCGTTAAATTAAAATAATATTTTTTGTCTTTTGTTTTATTTTGTTTTGTGTTATACATACATTTATATTCTTCATAAAAATTAAGTTGCTTATGTAGAATTAAAAAAAAATATTTGCTTTTAATAAGTTTTCGGAACGTAACTCTCCTTTTTATACTGGCTTTGGGTCTCATATAACACGGTTTCACACAACAGGACATTTTCTAGGAATCTATCTACCGTGTTATAGGAGGGTTACCTGTACTCGACTCTTGGAATAAGTTAATGTTGGAAACAGTGATTTTTAACTAGTCTGGAACGAAAAAGTAATAAATATTTTAGCCGTAAAAATTGTGATACACGGTATACACAACTTGGTCATGCTGTTTTAAAATTGCAAATGCGTAATCACTTATGGCTACACTTTCATACATATTGTGCAATACGCGTTTCGAATTTGTTTCGACGGTCCCCACATTGTAAAACAAATTGTTTTCGTTCGACACTACTAAATTTTTGTCGAAAACCTTTTTCGTAAGACGACCGTAAACGGCTAAAAACTAAAACGATAAAGTGAGAATTGCGAAGTGTCCGAATATTAAAGTTACTCATTGTACAGTAGAGCCTCGATAATTGCAGGGAACAGAGGTTGAAAATTCCTGCAATAATCAAGGCAACCAATCCAACGAGAAATAGCGTATCCCCACTATTTATGGTCCATGCCTAACGTCTCCAGTTTAACTTGTTGCTTAGCGGTAATCCCCTCCAATTGTCGACGCCATACAACGAACGAGTCTCTCGTGCAATAATCGAGATTCTGCTACGTATATTCTGGTCTTTAGCGCGCTATAAAAAGTACTTGGTCGTACGGTTTCAATAATCTGCACGAATGAACGGGTAAGCCAGATTCGCATAAATCGACCGTGTCGACGCGGACGGCGTGATTTCAGTGGCAAAAGGATCGCATGCGCCGCCATTATTGGCTAAAGGTCGAACAATGCCAAGACGCGGGCACGTTTCGCGCCTTTTTTAACGACACTCAGAAATGGCTCGTCTCTATGCGACAGAGATGCTGGTCACGTTTCTTATCCACGGGACACTTAGTAGCACTTACTCTTATCTTAATGACCGGGGACGCGCGTAGCGTTAATGGTTCCTTTAAAATTAGCACGTGGAAACGTACGAAGGTACTCTGAAATTTTTCGAAAAATCCTCACGTGACGGTGTACGTACGCGCTTGTCAATGCACGCAGATAAACGACTGGGTTCTTTTTCTTCTTCTTCTTTTCTCGAGTCGCGATTCTGGAGCGTCCGTAAACGGATGATCGAACCGGCCATTAATCGTAAAGTAGCCGGTCTCGAATCGAAAGCGTGAATGTTAAGTAAATGCGTCTTAACGTTCCTGAAACATCGGAATCGCGGCTTTCCTTCCTTTTTCTTTCTTTTCTTCACGTGGTCTGGTAATCGGAGAATCTGCGAGTTAATTTGTGGAGTGGACGGAATTAAGGGGTAAGACCACTGTAAAAATCTGAAATAAAGCGTTCTTTTACGTTTTTTTTTTCGATGGATGGAAAAGTAACAGGATAATAATATTCAAGATTGTTATTAACATTAAAAAAAAACTATTTATTCAAAAATAGTGCAAAATGACGACGCTGAAGCCATTCTCGCGAGGCGTGTTTTGAATTTGAGGCTCTCTGCGGTACACAGTATAACTGACGCGTATCTGGAAAAAAACAAAAAATGTTCTCTTATTCTACATGAGTATAGCTAGAGAAATATCTAAGGGATTTTTGAAAGATTAGTTTTTGTGTGATTGGCGAGTATTTGAAGTAGAAAGTTTAATTTTGTACAAAAAATGGGGCAATCATTTGTCAATAAATAATGTTAAAATTAACTTATCGAAGATCCTCTACGTATGTCACTAGCTATACTCATGTAAATTAAGAGAACATTTTTTGTTTTTTACCAGATATAAAGCATGAGTTACACTGCGTGCTGCAGAGCGCCTCAAATTCTTTTTTTTAACACTTAACGACATGGTTAATAACAATCTTGAATATTATAATATTATCCTCTTACTTTTCCATTCATCCAAAAAAAAACGCTTTATTTCAGGTTTTTACAGTGGTCTTACCCCTTAAGCGTACCATAATTCTTGAGGATTTTGAAACAGTTCTTAGCCCGTTGTCTGTGTCTTCGTCAGTAACGAGCGTCCTCGATTAATTGAAAACTACAGAAATTAATGTTGAATGGATTTCTGCAAAATTCTATTGTTCATGGAAAAAACTTTATTCGAATAAAAGTAATTATTCGTATATTTAGATACTGATTATTTAAATTATTCGTTATTCGTTGTTCATTTCTTATTCGCGTCTATTTCTCAACAAATTAATTTAATCCTATTATATTATACTTTCGTTGAATAATATTTTAGAATATAAATAAATAATATAATTTAATGCTTTCAATTTTTCAATGATAATTAGTGTTTCTTTAGACTTTTGATTCCATTTTGTTCGTCCCAAACCGTTAAAATGTAGATACGAGAATTGCAAAATAAATTCTGGGTGAAGATCCAATTTGGAAACGTATATAAAAATATTTCTTTTCATTATTATTTGACTTATTCGTTTGAATCTTGAATAGTTATTTTTTGTTTTTATTTATCATTTAAAATAAAGTTTATAGAAAATATTGCACTAAAAACGCAACTCTCTTGCGTTTGCGAATTTACTGCTTTCCGATTACGTATCGTTAATTATATTTCTTTCAAGTGTAGGGAAAAAGCTTTAAAGAATTGCAATATGTATAACAAGGTTAATGTTTGAAACTGAAAAATGCAGATGTGCCGTTAAGAGAACGAATTCTATCGATAGGTAAAGTTTGAAGAGGAAATCTAACTGTGCTTCGTAATTAAATTATCATCGAATTCGATTTACTGTACACATAGGATCGGACATTTCGCTTTACGACGTTCCACCGACGATTTCATTTGAACGAAGCGAAAATTGCGGTGGTGAATTGCGCAAGAGTGTATTGTTTCGTTTAATCTGTTATTGCATCACCGCGGATATCACGTTCGATTCTAAATTGTTCTACAAGATTACTCGAGATTTGAACATTTCCTTGTATATTCTATCAACAGCATGAAATTTCGAAATTTCTCGTCGTTTGGGTTTAGGCTCGAAGTTAAATTCGAATACCAGTGCTTCGACTTCGTATCGATTTTTATTTATCGATATACTTTTTTACATTACGTATCATAGTGCACATATTTTACATTAATAAAAATAAAAAGTTAAATTCTATAGCCATCTTGGTAACACAGTGGAACCTTTATTATCCAAATTAATACTAACGTTGTAATTGTTAATTTGTCGAATGTTTCTGTAATATAAATTAGTTATAAACACACTTCGTACGTATTTTATTAACGAATATACTTGCATGATATATGTATTATAGTATATTCGTGTCTCCAAATCAAATAAACGAAAACAAAAAGCTGCTTAGTTGAAACAACATGGTTTCTTGGAAATATCGAAGGGAAGTTTACGATTATTTGCAGTACGTATTGTTCGAGTATACGTGTAGCTTGAATTTTAAAACAGGTGGCTGACACATTAAACAGTTGGGGCTATAACCGTTCTTAAATTGTACAACTTCGAACGGATCGTTGATCCGACAAGTCAGCCGTGACGCAAGAACAGTCATTGTTTCACGTTCACGATCAGTGCGCATCGTAAGTTAAAACTGTGGAAGGAATGAGGTCAATTACGTGTAATCCAATGTTGTTATTTTGGATAATAATGAATTATATATTTAATATATAAGTAACATAAATTTTTTGCTGTACACAACTCTCATAAGGCAATGGAACTGACGCGTAGATCCCCTCGCGTGCCAGTGCTGCCAACATTAAGCCTACTTCACATTACATTCACTCACCAGACATACAACTAATAAAAATAACTCTACAAAATCTACTTATTATGATGATGGATAATGTTATTAAACTCTTAGTTATCTAAATATTGTATAAACATGATTTAATTTTGTGAAACTTCTTAAAGTTAGAAAATTGCTTGGTGTAAGCAATAATAAAACCGTGTACATATTATTATACGTAACTTTAATACAAGAATAAAGAATGGTCAGATTTTTTAGCGTCCAAAGTTAAATTTCAATAAGGAAAAAATATTTTTGGTAAAAATATTAGTGCATATTAAAGTAAAAATTTGGTACTCAAAGAAAATAACAACCCTACAAAAACTACCTTTTTCGCGTTTTGACCGCTGGAAAATAACGCACGAAAGAGGCACAAATTCAAATCAGCTGTCGTGGAATACTTCCACAGATATGCTTTCGTATCGAGTTACCTCATAACAGTACTTGGAACACGAAATATTTGTTGCCATGATTCAAATTAAAATGGTTTCGAATAAACAAACCAAGCAATTGTGTCGTTAAGTCCTAAGGTATTTGGATTTAACCTGGTGACCTTTAGTATAATAAAATTTTGATTTTTAAGTTTATATTTTGAGGTATAGTATAATACAGTAAAAATTTATTTTCGCTTTCGACGACTTTTCAAATGTAATACATTGGTTAGTTGATGTGTTTGTGCCTTTTATCATCGTAATTCGGCAACATTATTGTTATTAAATTTATCCTTAAATAACTTTAAATTACCCGGTGTTTACGGTTAATTTTGAATTTAAGAACAAATTGAATTCGTTTGCCATGCTTCCTTTTTTGGTAAATATTTCTTTAACGATAACGTGTACATTTTTTTGTCTTTTCAAGATGGCTACCACACGCGTACTGGCTTTCTTCGTTTTGTCGTTAACGATGACAATGGTTGTCTGTCAGACGTTCCAATATAGTCACGGTTGGACAAACGGAAAGAGATCGTCGTCCATGCTGGAAGAAGTGGCAAATCCTGCCAGTAAGAATGCAGGTCAATTAGACAATGTCCTTGTTAACTGTGAGCTACAGAAGCTGAGATTACTGCTTCAAGGAAACCTTAACAGCCAAGTAAGTAACGATACGTATAACGTTCTGTGTCTCGTAAATTGATAATTTTAAGTTGCGAAACTCGTGAATTATACATATTTTTCTCGTCGAGGGACCGCAAAGCTTAAATACATTTTAGCAGACGAATCGATATTGCAATTATCTATTTTATTATATTTCTTCATTACCATCGTGTATCTAAATTAAAAAATTTTGCATTTTCACAGATATTAGAACAACTTCCCTGTGAATTCTTCATGTCTTCGAAAAGAAATTTTCCGGAAGGTATTACCACTCTGGATCATATGCGACAACAGCCTACTCCTGTCAATAATAATTATTAAATATGTTAGTAGTGTGTTCTTCGTCATAGCAGTTTTAATTAATAGCTAAATTGTTCTAATCAAATAAATTACTACTACGGTACTTTTGTTTCGTTTAATTCTACTTGCCTTTTAAGCGTTTTCGATCAGTAACTTTAATTAGTTTCTTATAATCAGAATTTAAATAATAAGATTTTTTAAAAACATGTAACAAAAAAATTCGATTGGAAGGTACATATAATACTGGACCTCCTAATAACTGAAACAAGTGTCATTGGTTTAGAAAATTTGATATTCGTTAAAAAGATGGCGTCAAGGACCGCCATAAGCGCCCCGAATGTGGGTATAAATGACATTTGTTTTTCTTTACATTTTGATAACTTTCCTACTTACTTTTTTTGTATATACTTTCCTATTTTACAATACTAATGTTCTTTCTGTATTTTTTAACAATTTTTTTCACAGATTATTATATTTACATTCTTTACGTTTTACATCTTATATGTATACATAATTCTTTTGAATTATAAGTTAATCGAAACATCGACGATATACAATACTATCACTGAAAATTGATGCTTTCTTTTTTTTTATACCATATCAAGCTTGTTCTAAAGATTAATGAACACCAAATTTACAATCTATACCATAGTCTGGGTTAGGTTTGTAGTATTTATGTTTGCATAAAATATAATGTTCATTAAGTAATTTTCTATGCACTGCACGAACTTCGTAAAATGAAAAAGCAAAGTAAGATTTAGATAATTACGCTTTTCAGGTTTACATATCAAATTATGATTATTCATCAAAAAAAAATTCCAAAAATACATGTTACAAATTCTTGAAGAGTTACAGTGAAAATAAATCCGACTATTTTCCTTTGTATATCAATAAAAGCAAGATTCAATTAACTATTAATTTAAATATAGACAAGATGTAAAAACAAAAGTACAATTTGACGTTAGCAAAACTTTGTATGTTTTGTTAGTATAATACGTAAAGTAAATGTCCTAGTAAATTATACAAATTATATTTTAATGATTTAATTTTCATTGGTGTTTATTAGTATTTATTTGAAATGGCAGATTCTGTTCCATTAGAACCTAAAATATTACTTTTGATGTAATTTAACATATTATTAAAAATATCGAACATCAATTAGTAAATATTAGTAAAAATGTTTAATACAAATGAAAATTCAAATGATCGTTTAACCACTGGGACGGTTACCTTAAATGGAAAAAGTTGTTTATCTTTTCCTTGAAAGTAAATCCGACTATTATGGATATTAATAAACGCTAAATTCAATTTTGATATTAAATTTAAATACTGACGTAAAATTAGAACTGGTAAATCAGCGTCAGTGAACTCGATGCTTGTCCGTAGTTGTTAGCTCACCCCTTCTTTGTTTCTGTACAATTTGTCGTCAACGTTTTCAGCTGGCTTTATTCCCGCCGCGCGAAATTATATTCATTTCGTCGATAATAAATGAATTATTCATCGATGTATAGTTTACTCGTGCATGGGGATGCCTTCGATCGAAATGTTAATTGTTTATCAATCATGGTTAGCGGATAATTGTTTTTATCGAACGCTGCACATCTGGATTTGTATTAATTATCGAGTTTTCACGCGGGGGTTCTACGGGCCATCCAGTTTTCATCGGGTCCATCGCAACGGTTAATTAAGTTTTCGCTGTCCTAATTGGACAGACGGTCAATAGGATAGATCGCGGCGGCCGTTGCTGCTCGGCGTAGGGGATTTTGTCTGTCAACGGAAGATGGAGTGAAACCCTGGCGAATCGAGACACTTGCTGAGTCCATGGATTATCCCTACGGACAACTTATCTCGAACTGCAATTCGGCACCTGAATTCGCGGACTTTATATAGGGTGGACTGTAAAAGACGGTCCCTACTAGAAAGGAAGAGATTCTATGGCTTGAAATAAGGAATATAGTTAATAATCTTGCCTCGTGCATTATTATTGGTTTGGCAACTAAGTGATTGCGTATTTTAAATAAGAAGGAAAATTCAAAATTTTTGCTTAAAAATATAACTTTATTCAATTAGGTATTGTCCGTTTTTTTCGATGACCTTTTGCCATCTTTCAGGCAGTGTCATAATTCCATGTTCATAAAACTTCTGATTTTTGCCAGCAAAAAACTGAATTAAATGTGATTTTTCATCATCAGCGCCATTCAAAATTTTACCATTTAAGGAGTTCTGCATGGAACTAAATATCCCAACCTAGTTCCAATAATTTTTGGCGAGTGACCAAAGATGTGTGGAACTTTGCATTATCATGCTGGAAAACAACACCCTTACGATTTGCCAATTCTGGCCGCTTTTCTTCAACTGCATCGCTCAGTTTGGCGAGTTGTTGAACGTACACGTTTGAATTAATCGTTTGGTTTCTTGGTAAAAGTTCAAAATACAGAATTCCCTTATAATCCTATCAAACTGACAGCATAATCTTTTTTTGGTGAATCTCAGCTTTTGGTGTCGTCTGGGCTGGTTCATTTTGTGTTACGAGGTAACAACATTAATTACAGCGGGACCCATGTACGCCCGCCAAAAGGTCTAAAGAAACCCCCTGACTCGTAGCAAGAATAAGTTTATGAAGCCATCGACCATCGGTTGTCTTCCACGCCGTTTTATAATCCGCAATTTGGTTCTCTATTTTAGGCTTAAACATTTTTCAGTTTTATTTCGTCTTGCATGGCTTAGTAAGGTCAAGGCGCTTCATAAAAATTATTACCTGCTACGGTCGAGGCACGCGGAATTTCCCGGACGTCATTCGATGGTGCCCTCGGTACCTAACGGTGACCGATGGCTTGGAGGCGGTCACTTGTAATATGTTCAACAAATACTTCTCCAATCAGGGAAAACGACCGCCTTCCCTGACAAAATTCAAAACACCACAGCAGCCAATCCGCGTGCCTCATCCCCGTCAGAACCCAAGGCCGATTTGTATTTAAGGGTAGCTTTTCTGACGGGGAGAGAGATAACAACAAAAAGTTTGAATCGGTTACCATCATATATACATTTTTTAAACCAGGAAAAAAAGTTAAACAAGAAACGTGAAGACCGCACTGTAGTAGACTAAGATAGATTATTAAATATTAAAAATAGTTAATTGTATCTCAATTATTACACCAACCACCAAATGTTCAAGCGCTATTAAGTTACCGCTTGAAGCGCATCACAGAATCAGAAAAGGATAAGTGTGCGCCTTGAACATTTTGCTTCACCCACGATCTTTTCCGATTAACGTTGTTATAAACTATCCACATTTCGTCACCAGTAATCAGTCGTTTCAGAAATGGATCAATTTCGTTGCGTTTCAGATGCGAGCCGCAGATGCTAATGCGTTGCGTCAAATGAATTTCCTTAAGCTGATGAGGAACCCATAAATCGAGTTTCTTGACATAGCCAAGCTGTTTTAATTTTTGTTGAGTGCATGTATGCGATACATTGAGCTTCTCTGCAATCTCACGTGTTGTGCTATGACGATCTGAATCGATAATGGCCTTGATATAGGTCTCATCAACTTCAACTGGACGGCCAGATCGTTGCGCATTTTTCAGTGAAAAATCACCAGAACGAAATTTGGCAACTCAATTTTGACCCTGCTTTTCTTTCAAGGCTTCATTCCTATATACGGTACATAACTTTTTGTGTGCTTGCGATGCGTTCTTGCCTTTTCGGAAATAATACAATAAAATATATCTGAAATGCGCGTCTTGTTCTTCCATTTTTAAATTGGGATAAAAACGAAGCTAAATAACTAATCGATACAATTTTTTTACTAAATTAAAGGTGGAAGTCCAAACAACAAGAAAACAATATAGATTAGGTGCTTTGAACTATTGACATAATCTGCAATCATTTAGTTGTCAACCCAATATATGTATGTTTTAGAGTGGCTGGAACGTATTACTTTCTGTACATGAACCTTTAAAGCAACCATTGAGACACGTGAAATACTTTTTAACCGATCAAGGAATCTCTTTCGATATCAGTTAACCCTTATGTTGGTAATCAAAATTTATATGCTCGTTTATAGTATTCCCTCGTTAATGTTCGCCAGTTCCGTGCTGCGAACGTTATCGAGGGAGGTGTACTATTTCAGGAATCGTCAATTCTTATCTCTGTTAACCCCTTGACGTACTATTTAATTTCGAATAATTTTTCAAACGTATACTATTTACTTTTGTTCAAATTTGTTCGTATAAGGAACAGTCACGAGAAGGAATAGATTTGCTTTATGAATACCTCGTGAAGGTAAAAATCTGTTGATTTTAATATACAAGACTCGATGACCAGTGAGCGGGCTCATGATTGTGAAACTTGACATCAAGAAATGTAACGAGTCAGACACGTTATTGTACGGCAAGAGGTTAAGCTTGATTGCATTGCAGACGAAAGTAAGAGAAATAGAGAGAAATGTTCGACGTTTGTTTATTCGAAAGATTCTAAAATCGTTCAGAAATCAAAGTATATGTACATGGAGTTTTTTCACAAGGTTGATTTGTTAATAACGCTACGCCTTTTAGTATTCACCAGCCGATCATCAATCTATTCCTTCGTATCGCATTTTCAATTGTTTTGTACCTTTTTAGCGAGTTCAACATTTAGTTCTTACGTATTTCTTCTTATTCTTAAATTTTATTTATCACGTTTTCAAAGATGTGTTGTTAGTCTTATGTATGTGTTAGGATTGTGTTTGGTTCATTCTAAACAATTCTAAACAACTCATTATTATTTCAACACATTTATTTCTATTTTAACAATGAACGTACATAGATATTTTTACACGTGTTCCCTCAGAACGCCATTACACACTACCGAACACTCTACTACGGGATTCCCCCTCATATTTTCGTTCCAGCGCTACCAACTACAATCAGTAAAAATAACTACACAATATGAACATTTAATGATTAGGCTTGCAACGTACACCTCGTCGATGTAGTTATAGTAATTGATGTGGATGACTTAGCGAACAATATCAAGGAAGA